AAATATGGCAACCCTACCTAAGCCAGATCCAAAACATCAGTGTGTGGAACCTTTGGCCTTCTGGATATTGCTGAACTACAAGTCCCCTCGCCCCTTGCAAGCAAGGCCAATGGCCAGGGATCATGGGAGTTGTAGTTCAGCAACATCTGGAAGGTCAAAGGTTCCCCACACCTGCTCTGCACAAAACACATCACTGATGTAGTCTGAGCCAGGATGAACACTTAGCAATGCCATTGGGCCAGCAGTGTCTATAAGGACCCAGATGAAGGGACATTTGAAAAGTCAGGTGGTGATCCAAAAGGATTCATCTGTCATTCAGGAGACCCTGCCAGGGAGCAAACTGGCTGCTAGGATCACTTGCTCCTCACCCACAAGGCCTGTTTCTTAGTATTTGTATTGGCTGTCTGTCCCTTTAGTACGCCAGAGCTTCTTGTAGCTGATCCTCACCAATATTAGCTGTCCATGAGATGTAAAACTGACAGAGAGAACCTTGGCAATGTGTGCCAGGGCTGTCTAGGTGGCTCCTCCTTCCGTGTTCTGTCTAGTGGCAACTTTTTACTCTGCTTGTACGTAGCAATAAGTAGGCATTTAATAGATCAGTTGTAGGCACTGCTACCTTTCCACGGGCAGTGACAAAAAAAACCCCACAATCACCACCCCTTTTGTTAACCCTTCTATTGTGAATGCCACCACCTGCTGGCTTTGAATGCTCAAAATACAGCCTCCTAATTCAGGAGCAGAATTTACTTCTTATTTCTAGATGCATTGTGGCCAGTTAGAGGGCATAGGGAGAAGGAACTATCTGTGGCCCTCCAGATATAGTTGAAAATGAACAAATCATGTCAGTTTCAATTTCTCTCCATTTCTCCTTTCCCCACACTTTAAGTTCAGCTCTTCACATTTCCACATCAGTTTGCATTTTTTTAAAAAAGTTATCAGCATTTTACTGCAAATTTCTCCCAATGTACTCAATTTTGTATGCAATTTTGCCTGACGCACTCGGGTTTTTTTGCAAGACAGTTCCCCCTAACGTCATGCCCTTTGTATGTTATTTTCACGGGTACATGCTTTTTTTTAATGCACACTATGCCCTAATATATGCATCTTTGTACACATTACTTGGCTTATACTTGGTTGGAGAACTGCTTTGCAAAATTCAGAGCTGCGCGGATTTCAAAGGATGGCTGTTTGCATATTGTTTCGGAAAGCGTGAGTTAGGTAGGTTCGCCTTTAAATGCAAACCGGATCCAATTTCTCCCCCTAGATATGACTGGACTACAGTTCCCATCAACCGTGGCTATTTTGGGTATGCTGGCTGGTGCTGATGGGAGTTGAAGTCTCTTGCCCTTAGGTAAACTATGTCTGTTGTGGCCTGTACATCCCCAGCGCAGTTTGCTGTGGGACCAGATTGATGTTGGTTCTTGTTTATCAGTTCTCCGTGGTCCCTTCTTCATAGCTCCTGCTTGCATTGTGGGCGTCCTCTCTGATCCACGGCAGAGTTTGAATGTGCTACAAATCTCCTTGTTTCCCCTACCCCCTGGATAGCAAAGGCAAGATAAATTACACCACATGTGCAAATATATGAAAAGGTGCTTATGTCATATGCTGTGCGGAGCTGACCTAATACTATTTTCTTGTTTTGACCCGGCCCTACCTGTCGCACGCTCTTTGGCTGTTGTGTTATGCCGCTGTTTCACACAATTGCCAGTACAGCAGCATCAAGGCAAGAGCCTTCCTTGTTTACCCAGGCAGGCAACAGTGGGTCAGGGTTCTCCTAGCCTCCTTGCTTTTATGTAGCATATGGGCTTTTATGTAGGGATTTGATTGGCCACTGTAGGAAATGGGGTGCTGGTGTAGCTCAAGAGTAGCCAGAAGTTGCTGGACCACAATTCTCTCCATCCCTGACTATTAGCCATGCAGGCTGTGATGGAGCAGAAATCTCATCCATAAATATCTGGACAATCCATTGGACTAGATGGGTATGCCTCTGGTTGCCATTTGCTGGGAATCACAAGCAAGGAGAATGCTGTTATGCTCAGCTCCTGCCTTCAGGCTTCCCATAAGTTTCTATGAGAATAGGATGTTGGAGGAGATGGACCATTAGCCTGGTGCTACAGAGCTGCTGCTGCTGCTGCTGCTGCTGCTGTTCTTTTTAGGATCTTTGGTCTAACTCAAAAAGGTTCTTCTTAAGTTCTTAACTGTCATGGCTCAGTTTTGGCACTGTGGGACTCTCATTCTATTGGCCTTTGGTCACAAGAGACAGGCCAGGGTTGAAATTATTGTGCCAAATTTCCAGATTAAGCCAACCTGTTCCATCAGTCTGAGCCACCATCCCTGTTCTGTTAGTGATGGGTGGAGTTGGTGGGATACTGCTCTGGACCAATAACAGAACAGGAAGGAGAACCTGTGGTCCTCCAGATGTGGCTGGACTATAGCTACCATCCTCCCTGAACATTGGTCATGGTGGCTGGGACTGATGGGAGTTTTGAGGGCGATAAGGTTCCCATTTCTGGTTTAAAGGTGGCACAGAACACAATGGTCCAATGCTTGACCCATGAGATCATGGCGTGCTAATTGTGATGGGATATGAGCTGCCCGTGGATATCAGGCATAGCCTTTTCATCTCATTCAAGCAAAGCGTCTGCACCTGAGACCACTAGGATGCTCAATGCAACCCTTTGTCACTCCTTGGCTTCATTTGGGCAGTATCAGATAAGACTAAAGATACCAAAGAGAGGCAGGTGTATTGGTAAGACCTGTGCGGAATAAGCTGGGGCAATGGGATGTGGAATATGTGGCCCAACCATGACAGTGTGTGTGTGTGTGTGTGTGTGTGTGTGTGTGTGTATACTCAGTTTGGCAAAACTACTGCATTTGGGCAGAGGATGCTGTCTGTGTTCCCAGAACTCTTGTAGGTAGTTTTGGACAAGGATACCTCAGAAATCTATAAGCAGGATAGATGGTTCCCAGACTGTTTGAGTGAGACAGTGGTTAATGGAACGAACTGTTATGGTTTCAAGAGGCAGCCACACCACGGCGTCTCTAACTATCATACCTGGAAGATTATCAGTGCTAGAGCTGACCCCAAAGGACCTTTCAACTTTTGACTTGAAAGTGAATTGAGGAGGGAGAGAAAGTTTCAATGACACCCACCCAATTCAGCTTTTTTTTGTTGCTATCACCTGTTTCATTGCCTTGGCATTGATGGAGTCCCTGCTGCTGGTGGCCATTAAAAAAAAAAATCACCCACAAGGCTATGGAGTGAGAGGTCAGGAAACGTTTGTCCTCGCTCGGATTGGCCTTTGTGACAATCCGAGGTCCTTAAGTACAGTGGTGGAGCTTTAAGCTCCGGCAGGGGGTGTGGAGAGCAGGCAGGGGCGTGGCTGGCATGGGTCCCGGGGGCATGGCATGGTGCGGCGCATGTCCTGGGGGCACAGCATGCTGCCTGCAGGGGTGTGGCATGCGTCCTGGGGGCATGGTGCTCCACCTGCCGGGGCACGGTGCCCAGCAGGGGGGGCAGCCGCGATCGCACCCCACTGGGATCGTGCCGCAAGGGGCGATGCGCTCCCCCCACACTCCTGTTCCTCCACCAGTGCTTAAGTAACAGCAACATGAAGTAATCTGAGTGAGGGCAGTGCTTCATTTCCTGACTGGTGCATTGTGGGTGCATAGGACTCCCCCTCCAGCAGCTGGGGATACTGTCAAAACTGCTGGTGACCCACACACTTTTGACCCCTGCTCATGCCCCCTTAAAATCAGTGAAACCTCCTCCAAAGAACAAAACAGAAAAACTTTACAGCCTGAAAACCAGGTGGCAAACTTACGTTGGGGCATTTGAGTTCAACTCACTAACACCCATAAACCATAATGTATATTTTCATTTACCTGGTTTGGGACTATTGTATATTACATTACGCTCAGGGCAGACTTCCTTGACTTGGTGCCCTCCAGCTGTTGCTGGACTCCAGCTCCCATCAGCCCCAGTCAGAAATGGTCAGAAATGATGGGAGCTGTAGTCCAGCAACATCTGGGTGGCATCAGTGTGGGAAAGGCCGTGGCATATGAGAAGGTTTAGCAACATCCCGACACTGTTGGAGGCAGTAATGCCTTTGAACAGCAGTTGCTGGAAACCCCAGGAAGGGAGAGAGCTCTGGTGCTGGGCTCCTGCTTGCAGATTTCTCACAGGCATCTGCTTGGCTGCTGTGGGTACAGGATGCTGGACCAGTTGCACCACTGGCCTGATCCAGAAGGCTCTTCTTGTGTTTTTACGTTCCCAAGATGAGTGCATTCTGTTCCTGTTACCTTGTTAAATCAGAACCAGTGTGCAGACACACCCGGTGATTGCTGCCTCTCGTTCTTCACATGAAGATCTCTGCTAAGCCTCTGTTGAAAAGCATTGTGTCGCAAAGCAGAAGGAGACCTCTGCCTGTTGCATATGACGTATTGTGGCTCTTTCATCTCAACAAACAGTGCAACACCAACCATACCAGCTCAGAAATACCCCCACCTCCCGCAAAAGCCAGCAAGAGCCACACGCTCTTTAAAGGGTGTGCGGCTCTTGCAGGTTTTTCCCTCCTGCATTCGCTCCATAAGACGCACACACATTTCCCCTTCCTTTTTAGGAGGGAAAAAGTGCGTCTTACGGAGCGAAAAATACGGTAAGTCCTACTGACAATGGGGCTTACTGCTAGGTAAGAACTGCAGCCTTTGCCACTCTCGGATCTCTTGTACTCCCAGAGTTCCGGTAGCAAAACGAGGTGGTAGAATCTCTGAGCAAAGAGTGGACAGGACCACCTCAAACTGTAGTCACCGCTATTCTGTTGAAATGCTGGTGCTTGAGTAAGTGGATCACATGGATTTGCCATGTAAGCAGAAATCGAGGACATCCGGTGGAAAGATTGAGGCCCGAGTTACCGTATTTTTTGCTCTATAAGCCGCACCAGACCATAAGAAGCTACTAGTTTTTGGAGGAGGAAAACAAGAAAAAAAATATTCTGAATCTCAGAAGCCAGAACAGGAAGAGGGAGTGCTGCGCAGCGAAAGCAGTGATCCCTCTTCCTGTTCTGGCTTCTGGGATAGCTGTGCAGCCTGCATTCGCTCCATAAGACGCACACACATTTCCCCTTACTTTTTAGGAGAGAAAAAGTGAGTCTTATAGAGCAAAAAATACGGTAATGTTCCAAGGAAACCCAAGCATTTCAACCCCAAAAGGTTATAAGGGCAAGCAAAACAATGAAAATACAAATGCTTGCATGTCAGATATGGGAGGTCATTTAGTCCAGAGTTTTTCAACATGTAGGCCCCTAGATGTTGCTGAATACAGCTTCCTTCATCCCTGACCTATGGCTAAGCTAGCTGGGGATGACGGGAGTTGTAGTCATTAAAAAATCTGTGGACTCCAGATGTCAAAGGACACTGATCCATTCCAAACTCCAGCTCATGCACGGAATTTATGGCTCCAGCACCAGAGGTGGATTTACGGTAGGGCAACCTGTTCTGTCGCACTGGGTGCCAAGCCTGGGGGGCGTTTCAAGGTGTCACGGCTATGATGTAGTGAATTGAGCAGAATGGAAGACCAGAGACATGTTTGTGTGTGCCAAATTGTGGCCTTGCACGGGGTACCGCTGACTTTTGAAAGACCCAGGGCCACTCTGCCAGCATCTCTGATAGATAGACGTTCCAGCCTCTTCTTCCAGCAAAGGTAGAAAGATTCTGGCCCAACCTGCTCACTCGTTTCTAACTCACAGGAAGTGTGTTTGTTTGACACAGACGAACGTCGCCAACGTTGCATGGGCGTTTCTGACTCCTTCTTCCTTGTCAGGGGTAGCCATGTTGAGGGACTGCAGTGCCCATCGTCCCTCACCATGCTACATGCAGCGAGTTGTGAAGCAATGAGCGCATTGGTGCACTTGTGTGTCAACTGGACCTTAGCGGCGTGCCTCAGCAATGTCCCTTTGCGGCCAGCACCTTTGCGGCCCAGTTCATGCCTCTGAGGGGCATCTGCCACAATAACCCCCCACACAAGGGAATCTCTTTAAATCGCCACCCGGCCGTTTGGGCTTTTGTGTCTTTGGAACGTAAGATGAGGGGTGCGCTAAGCACTTTTGGGGGTAGGCAGCTGTGGCCCCAGACTTTTAAGTGGATATAAGATCGTCGTGCCCCGGGGGGGCAGGAGCGTGTGGATCCCACAAATCTAGCGGAGGCCGCTTTCAACCCCAGCAAGTTCCTGGCGAATTAATAGCCAATGTGTTTGTAAACAATCATGTGCCTTAAAATTTTCTCACGGTGGGGTGGGGTGGGAAGGAAATAACCCAAACCCTTAAAAAGAGTGGAATTTAAAGAGAAAGAAAGAAAAGACAATTAAAACCAACAATGTGTGCTTCTGTACTCTTCCTCAAGGTGGTCGCTCTGGTTTAGACTGGGGGAGGGCGGTCGCAGGGCTGGGGCCGGGGAGTCTTTTTGCATTGTATTTAAACTGTACTATAAACAGACTGGTTTGGTTTTCAGATTCAAGAAAGGGAGGGGTGGGGGGGTGGATTATACGCTTTACAGAACCAATGTTTAACATAACCCGAATGTATTAATATTATTCTAGGAACTTTCCGTAACACAGACAAGTAGAATGCTTGTTGGAAGCAGGTGTGTAGGTTAACAATTTGGTGTGTTTTCAATAAACAATGCCTGGAACAAATTCCTGTGTTCTCTGTTATTTTGCTTTTGGTCTGCGCGAAATCTTTGGCCTCGGATGCCTGTAGTGATTGGTGGAACAGCATCTCTTCTGGTGCCGCTAGCTAAGGAATGGGCAAATCTGTCCATTCCAGTTTCTCCAGTCTTAAGCACAGTTCTCCACATTACCACCTCCATCTGGGTTTTCTTTTTAAAGCCCTCGTGAGAATTCATCAGCATTTTAGTGCGAATTTCTCCTCAGAGACATTTTCTTTAAATGCAACTTTGCCTAACATAAAAATAATAACAATAGTAATTTTTGTATGTTACGCTCACAGATATATGCATTGTTATGTACACTGCTGTAACCCCTTTATTCCTTTGTTCCATTGTTTATTTCCTACAAGTTCCTGTCTGTTTGCTTTTCTTTTCTTTTTACCCTACCCAGTTTGAAAGAACATGACCTTAGTGAAAAATGACTTCACTAGCTGTTTTGTATGTTTCCCCAATCATGAGTTTACCTTTGGAAGAAGATTATATTATGTGTACAAACACCATTCTTTCATACCAGATATTATTATATAAATTTAATTAATAAATAAAATAATATTTGCTGGTGGGACAGGATTAGTGTGCAGGTATTTACATTAAGTATTAGGTCATGAGAACTTTTATTCATCCCTTCCAGGTTACGTTTAAGATAAAGACCAATACCAAGGTCAAAATTGTTCCATGTTGCGGAGTCTTTTTTTATACCAAGTTATGCCATGATCCTCAGAAATAAGCCACAGAAAAAGTTCAGATTGGCACATAATGTTACGCTTGCTGAACATCTTCAATGTTCTGCTCCACTGGAGGGTTTTTTCCAGGGTTTCCCCCCTCTTCCCAGGTGGACTAAAATGCCCATAAGCCATAGATGCTGCCTGAGAGCTACGGAAGTGAAATAAATTGCAGTATTTCTGCATCTTGACCTTTTCCAGCTGTCAGAACTGCTTCATTGGGAGCCCATCACAGCCTGAGCATATTGGAGAATGGAGTCCCAAAGGTCAAAGGTTACCCTGGGAATCGCGAGCATGAAATATAAGGGCCCTAACCTTATATTAGGGGTGGGGATCTAACCGAATCAGCCGTGTGCTCCAAAAGTAGTCACTGGAGTAGCTTTGGTTTCTCTTGTGAAGGGAAAACTTTTGTGTTTCAGAATTGTGTCTGAGTCGCGGGTTGCATTTCCTTTCAGGATTTGTTCACAATTTGTAAGAGTGAACAAAAGAGTTCACTTGTAAGAGTCATGGCTTCTCCCAAAGAACCTTGGGAACTATAGTTTGTAACGGGTGCTGAGGGTTGCATGGCGAGTTCCCGCCTCCCCCAGAGGAAATAACGACACGTGACACCAGTATTAAGGTTGATGGGCTAAAAATGGCCAAAACTTTCTTGGTTACAAGTAATGAGCGGTATGAAAGAGACGCAGGTGGTGCTGTGGGTTAAACCACAGAGCCTAGGACTTGCCGACTAGAAGGTCGGCGGTTCGAATCCCCGCGACGGGGTGAGCTCCCGTTGCTCGATCCCAACTCCTGCCAACCAAGCAGTTCGAAAGCACGTCAAAGTGCAAGTAAATAAATAGGTACCGCTCCGGCGGGAAGGTAAACGGCGTTTTTGTGCGCTGCTCCAGTTCGCCAGAAGCGGCTTAGTCATGCTGGCCACATGACCCGGAAGCTGTACGTCGGCTCCCTCGGCCAATACTGGAAGGAAAGGAGCTTTAAAAGATATACAAGTGGTGACCATGTCATGCAGGGGTTCCGTTACGCCATGCCCCCATTCCACCCTGTTGTGCCCTCTTCCGGATCGCGCGTCCACTGGCAGTGCCAAAAATGGTCGCCACCTGTATTCCAATATGCAACTGCTGAATCAGAATTCATCAGGAAGTTTGATTCTGTCCATTTGGGCAATGCCTGGATTGAACGCTGGGAAAACATCAGCTAACTGGATGCTACTTTGTATTGAACATTGGACTATTAAGAGGAACTCTTGCAGGCCCAAATTACAGATGGAATAGTTGGAAGGCACTGTTATTTATCTCTTTCTTTCTCTTTATTCTTCTCTCTCTGCTTGTTTGCTTTCTTCGTTTTCATTCTTTCTTTCTTCTTGTCTTGTTTCTGTTTTTTATTGTCCATTGAAAAGTTTTAATATTAATATTAATAATAATAATAATAATAATAATTTTATTATTTATACCCCGCCCATCTGGCTGCATCCCCCCAGCCACTCTGGGCGGCTTCCAACCAAACACTAAAATACAATAACCTATTAAACATTAAAAGCGTCCCTAAACAGGGCTGCCTTCAGATGTCTTCTAAAAGTCTGGTAGTTGTTGTTCTCTTTGACATCTGGTGGGAGGGCGTTCCACAGGGCGGGTGCCACTACCGAGAAGGCCCTCTGCCTGGTTCCCTGTAACTTGGCTTCTCGCAGCAAGGGAACCACCAGGAAGCCCTCAGCACTGGACCTCAGTGTCCGGGCAGAACAATAAAATATAAAACTATTAGGAGGAAAAAATCACTCCAGCCTGAGCATCAGAAATAGGAGGACAGCTGGTTACAGTGGCTAGTTTGGTTCTGAAAGACTGAAGGGTTTGGAAGGCTGCTTGCTTTTGTTCTTCTTTTGCTATTATTGACTGAGAACAGTGTCTGGCTCCGTCTCCTTCCTCCTGATGTTTCCTGATGCAGCTTATTAAAAACCACATCTCGAATAAATGAGAAGTAGTCAAGAAAATGAATCAGCCATTGATCCAATTGTTTGCTCTTGTGTTAGCAGATCATTAGCTACTGGGCCCAGCCAATATATCTTGTTTGGCTAATTGATCTTAATTAGGCCTAATTGTTTGAAATCAACTTGTCTGAAACACACACAGAGCTCCCTTTGGTGTGGGGTAGGGTGTTATTTTGACCTTGTTTTCAGTCCATCAAAGGTGCTTTGCTTATTGACATCTTTCCCTCAAAAGAATTGAAAACAGATCCATAACTCCTGAGCTATAGAAATCATACTGTGGGTTGTCAGCTCAGAGAAAAGTACTAACCTTTATGCTTAGAAATTGCCTTCGCCTTTCAGGTGGCATTAAATATATAGCTGCAATGCATCGTCAAATAGCTGAAGAGCTGCCACAACGAAGAGGGCAAAGGTTTGTTCTCTGCTGCCCCAAAGCGCAGGGCTGAAGTTTTGGTTGAACGTTAGAAGAATAGCTTAATGGTATGAGTGGTTCAAGGGACGCAGGTGGCGCTGTGGGTTAAACCACAGAGCCTAGGACTTGCCGATCAGAAGGTCGGTGGTTCGAATCCCCGCGATGGGGTGAGCTCCCGTTGCTCGGTCCCTGCTCCTGCCAACCTAGCAGTCTGAAAGCACATCAAAGTACAAGTAGATAAATAGGTACCACTCCGGCGGGAAGGTAAACGGCGTTTCCGTGCGCTGCTCTGGTTTGCCAGAAGCAGCTTAGTCATGCTCAGACATGACCCGGAAGTTGTCTGCGGACAAACGCCGGCTCCCTCGGCCCATAGAGCGAGATGAGCGCCGCAACCCCAGAGTCGGTCACGACTGGACCTAATGGTCAGGGGTCCCTTTACCTTTATGAGTGGTTCAGCAGTGGAGACAGTTGCCTGGGGACGAAGTGGGTGGAAGGGTAAATCTAGATCAGTGATGGTGAACCTTTTAGAGCTTGAGTGTCCAAACTGCAACCCAAAACCCACTTGTTATAATAGTATAATAATAATAATAATTTATTATTTATACCCTGCCCATCTGGCTGAGTTTCCCCAGCCACTCTGGGCAGCTTCCAATCAAGTGTTAAAAACAATATTAAAAACTTCCCTAAACAGGGCTGCCTTCAGATGTCTTTTAAAGAGAAGTTAGCTGCTTATTTTCTTCACATCTGAAGGGAGGGCGTTCCACAGGGCGGGCGCCACTACCGAGAAGGCACTCTATCTGGTTCCCTGTAACCTCACTTCTCGCAATGAGGGAACCGCCAGAAGGCCCTCAGCGCTGGATCTCAGTATCCGGGCTGAACGATGGGGGTGGAGACGCTCCTTCAGGTATACTGGACCGAGGCCGTTTAGGGCTTTAAAGGTCAGCACCAACGCTTTGAATTGTGCTTGGAAACGTACTGGGAGCCAATGCAGATCTCTCAGGAACGGTGTTATGTGGTCCCGGCAGCCACTCCCAGTCACCAGTCTAGCTGCCGCATGCTGGATTAGTTGTAGTTTCCGGGTCACCTTCAAAGGTAGCCCCACGTAGAACACATTGTAGTAGTCCAAGCGGGAGATAACTAGAGCATGCACCACTCTGGTGAGACAGTCCGCAGGCAGGCAGGTAGGGTCTCAGCCTGCCTTGTTTATCGCAAAGTGCCAACACTGCAATTTAACCTGTATATCTCATTTTTTTCTGTGCATTTCTTATTTCTTCTTTATGACTGCTGTTGTAATAAATAATCCTTCATAAAAGTGATTGCATTACGTTCTTCATTAAATTATCTTTCCATTGATATATAATTTTATGGTATAACTCAGTGCTTTTTTCCTAAACAAAATGTTTAGGTGTACTCTCATTTTGACTCAAGAAAATCACCACCGAGGGAAAATAAATACAGTTCAAATCGGGGAAAATCAATACAGTGAATTTCTTCTCCTGTTAAATTCACAAAGTGTTCAAAGCGTTTAGGGGTATGTGCCCCCCTCCCTGCATTCCCACAGGGGGGAAAAGCACTGGTATTACTCCAAAACAAAGTGGTGTTATGAGCCATCAAACCTCGGAAATATATTTTTTCCAGAAGGTTCCACAATTTTGGCCACTAGTATACACTAGAGGGCTGTACTAAGAGCCACCCTCTCCCAGTTTTTAATATGAGATAATAATTATTGTCTGTGTGTGTGCACATATAAATAAATAAACATAGCTGTCAATGTTTCCCCTTTTTTAAGGGAAATTCCCTTATTCCAAATAGGATTCCTCGCAAGAAAAGGGAAAAGTTGACACCTATGTAAATAAACCCAGCCAGATGGGCGGGGTATTATTATTATTATTATTATTAATTTGCTGTTTCTTCGGCTGCCATTTGATCGCAACCGCCATGGAATGAATTTCTCTGTTGGCTTCCATGGGGAAACCCAGCGAACACGCAAACCCAGCAGCCCCTTCTTAGGTTGCCGTCTTTATATGCTTACTGGCCTGGGAGTTAAGCCCTGCTGAACTCAAGGTGGCTTACTCCCGAGTAGGAAAAACAGACTGGCGGGATGCCCTGGCACATCAAAAGTCAACGCCTGCGCAGCCCCTCGCTCGCCAGGCCCTGTTGCCACAGCCTCCTCTCCTCCTCACGTGCCCACAGAGAGGGCTCGGAGTGCCCTCTCTGGCACGCATGCCATAGGTTCACTACCTCTGCTTTAGGTGGAGACTTTTAAAAAAGTCTGGATAGCCACATCTTGATGAGACTCTTTACTCTTGATTCCCTACCTCAGGTAGGAGATTGGGTTTAGGTGGCCTACAATACCAGTGCAGTGGATGCCTGGGTTGCAAATGTGATCCATGCGGGATGCATGTTTGCAACTCGCAGCGGCGCATCTGCGCACACGCGGGTTGCAATTTGGCACTTCTGTGCATGCTCAAAGCGTGATTTAGTGCTTCTGCGCATGCGTGACAGCCAAAACCCTGAAGTACTTCCAGGTTTCGGCGGGTGCATAACCCGAAAAAACACAACCTGAAGTGGCTGTAACCCGAGGTATGACTGTATCTGATTTTGCCGGATGCCTGGACTGGACACCCACTCTTCCTCCTGTTCGGAACAGAAGAGAAGAGCAAAGAGCTTTTCAGCGTAAGCAAATGCCGCCATATGCTTATGTACTGTAGGTGTGTCTTGTCTACACTGGTGGAGGTGTGTTTTGTGGTCCTCTTTTTCTGCTCCTTTAAGTATGGCAGCCATTTTGTCTTATGCCACACACCTGACAGCAGCCGTTATGTAGTTATGCCACACCCCCATGGCAGCCATCTTGTGAGCAGCGACCCCAGCATCTTCTCAAAATTCCTCATTTGCCCACAGGCCCCGAAAGGCTGGCGCCCCCTGTGCTGATAATCGTTGGAGGCCCTCTTGGTTGCTAGCACCCCATCTAGGGAATTCTTCCCCCAAGGAATGCTCACCTGGTCCCACCTGCTATCTTTTCAGTGATTGGCAAATAATTAAAAAAAAATTGTCAGGGTTTTAATTCTTAACCAATTATGGGGTTCCCTCCCCCCTCAGCGGCTGTTCTTCATCTTGCTTATAAATTTTAGTCCGTTTATGATTGTTATATTATGTACCAGTCGTTACTACTGTGTGTGTATATATACCTTCAGGGATAGGCGCATCTTTAAAGGCAGTGCGGAAAGAAATGAAACAAGTGCGTGATATATAAGAGAGTCTGCAATAACGTTGAGAATTTATAAAAGAGTACAGGCATGAGTGATGCAAGAATGGCAAATTACACAAATGGTTCTCTTTGGGTGGGTGGGTAAATCTATTTTTTAATTTATAAATCTGAATTATATACGCCCTTTGGGACCTGCAAGAGGGAGTACACAGCCAGGGGATTTATTGAAAGCTTTGAGGAGAGACATCATCACTCTCTCTGCATTGGTCCCTCTCACCTTGGGAAGTGAGGAAATCACTCAGCAATTTTACAGTGCAGAACACAAACGACAGCTCAACCAATGGGAGCACGACTATCAACTGTAGCAACATGAATTTCCCACGGATCATTCCGGAAGGATTCCCTTGGTTTACAAGCAATGCCCAAAGAGATAAAAGTGAAGAACAGCTACACCTCCATCAGGGTCTTTGTCACCTGCACATTCTGGGCCTTTAGTAGAAAGAAGCGGCTTCTCTTTCTGCAATTACTACAACGTGGTAAGAATTCATAGAATCAAAGGGAGTTGGAAGGGACCCTGAAGGTCATCGTCAATCAGTTCAGACGAAGGACCCACCATAAATCCAAGCATTTATTTTTTCATTTAATCTGTTTACAAGGCAGCAGTATAACCTCTCCCCAGATGTCACTGGGCTGCAACTCCCATCTTCCCTGACCATTGGGCATGCTGGCTGGGACTGGTGGGAGGTGGGAGGTCCCGACACCGTTCGGAAGACCACCAGATCCCCAACCCATGCACTAATGGGAACACAGGGGAGGTAATTTTGTCCAAATTCCCTCAAAAATCTGTTCAGGAGGGTGGGGACAACAACAGTGTCCACGGCCCCAACTGGTATATGTTTAGTGGTACAGTGGTGCCTCGCAAGACGAAAAGAATCCGTTTCGCGAGTCTCTTCGTCTTGCGGGTTTTTTCGTCTTGCGAAGCAAGCCCATTAGCGGTTTAGCGGATTAGCGCTACAGTATTAGCGGCTTAGCGGGCTTAGCAGATCAGCTGATAAGCGGCTTAGCGATCAGCTGTTAAGCGGCTTAACGATCAGCTGATAAGCGGCTTAATGATCAGCTGATAAGCGGCTTAGCGATCAGCTGTTAAGCGGCTTAGCCGATCAGCTGATAAGCGGCTTAGCGGCTTGGGAAAAGGGGGGGGGGAAGGAAAAAACCCCCGCAGGAACTCGCAAGACATTTTCGTCTTGCGAAGCAAGCACATAGGAAATTCATTTTGCGAAGCACCTCCAAAACGGAAAACCCTTTTGTCTAGCGGGTTTTCCGTCTTGCGGGGCACCACTGTATATCTTCAACCTAAGAAACCAACACTCTTTTTGAGTTTTAAAAATGATAAGCGACAGGCAGTTTCAGAGTAAATGAGAAAACCATGAGCAGGAAGGTGAACCCTCAGCAAACGTGTATTAGGGAGAGGAGAAGCTCTTAATAAAAGGATGCACTTTCTGTAACATTACATATTTGTCAACGTTCTTTTCATTAATGGACCCATTTTTGCGCACACGCTTGCTGAATATATGCTATTTTTGACAAACGTATTATCCCAAAATACAGATGTGCTTTTACACTTGCAAGCCTGGATGTTTTGCCACTTGAGGGTCAAATCCAAAAGATCTCGCCTGAGAAACGTCTTTGCCCCCCTGTGGAGATGGCAGCACCGAAACAGCGGCACACGTCCTCCTGTCTTGTACTCTCTACAAAGACCTGAGGAACGAGATCATCACCCCACTCGTACTAACCATCCCAGGGCGCTCAACCATTGCCACAATGTCCTTTCTTCTATCAGATCAAAATGAGCAGATAACAGCAAAGATTGCTAGGTTCATAGCAGGGGCAATCAGAATAAGGGACACTAACTGACGGCTGATTCAGGACTTTTAATTGTGCTCTTATACCAAATTTCCTTTTCTGCGTATACTGTAGTGTTTTACTGTTGCTATGGCCATTGGCTAATGCGAATAAAGTTTTATCTTATCTATCTTATGCTATTTTTGGTTGGTGTAAAAATGCAGAGAAGACTGGATTTTCGAAGAGAGCTGCGTTTTGATGCTTCCAGTGGCTCAGTAAAAGTGTGGATTTGCTGAACCACTGGACCTGCCAAAGTATACCTTCCAGATTGCCAGTTTGAACCTGCTTGCTTGTCTATCCACATTCTGAAGGCTTTACAGGAAGAAGCTCTTGTCAGGCAGTAGGAACCCAGTAGGGTTTCCGGGAGGGAGGGAGCGGGGCCGAGTACAAGTGCTCTGACCTTCTACCTTCCACTGCTCTTTCAGTCAGCGCCCCTCAAACTTGTGGGTTGTGACCATATGAAGCTGAGAACTTTTTCTGTGCGTTGAGATTCTTAGTCTGTTTTCGAATCCAGGGTTCCAAAATGGGAAGGGGGAAGACATTGCCTTCCACATGTTGGAAGGCGACTAAAGTGACAGAAGGGGCTCCCATTTCTCCTTTCCAAAACCAGCAGGGGCAGGAAATGGACCAATTTGTAAGCTTAAATTGCACTGTGCATATATGGCTTGCAGTGCAATGACTAGTCTTGTCACAGCCACATCCAGCCCCTGCTGCTTACTATGGAACAGACTCTGCCTCCCAGTTTGCAATTCTCATGTCGCTTCTGGCCACTGCGTAGGAAGGAGATGGGTCTGACTGTTCATTGCTTTCCCCCATATCCCCCCCCCCCAGAAATACCCCTTTTATGTCTGTCTCCAAAGGCAGTTTGGTCTTGTTTGGCTGAGAAACACAAAGCGAGCCACTGGGCTTTGGCATTCTTGGTTAAAAAGCAGAAAATCCAATAGGTGCAGTCCATCAATGAAAATGGTCATTCACTAAAATGGAAATGTAACAAAACTGCCCATCACCTCCGGATGGATCCTTAGCTGCCTAGCCTATTTATACACAAGGGGTTGTATCCTGCTAGGGTCTACTCTGGGTATACCCACTGAAATCAATGAACCTAGGTTGGCCATGTTCATTCATTTCAGTGGGTCTCAGTTGACCATAACAGAAGCTCCCTTGTTCTCCTGCTGACTTGCCTTCTTTGCAACTTCTTCTACTGTGACAAATTCGCTTTAGCCACAAGCCCAAAACTACAGAAAGCTAACGCCGACCCACAGACAGGACTACGGTGTGTGCTCACACATACAAGCAGTGGCTTGACACTAAGGTTTTAATACTCTCACTCTCATCCCATGTAAACGGCCTTTTCCATTGCGTCCTCCACTTTCATGTACTCCAGGTGAGAGGGGTAGTTAGTGCAGTCAAAGCTTTTGTGGCTACGGATGTACTTGATGAAATCTGGAGCCCCTGGGTAGACGATGTTGTCCGCCAGAAGGATGGAGCCCTTCCTTAGGTAGCCACATTCCTGAGAAAAGAGACAGGAGATAGACGATTAGCTCTCTCTTGAGAGTGGTCCTACCACTCTAAGGGAGGTCTTTACTTCATTTTGAAGAATCCCAGAAGTTCTTCAAGGAGATGTTCGGAAGATCTACCACATAAAAACGAGATTCCAAGGAATCTCTTGGACTTCCCTCCTCCCCTTTGTGGGTCCTATTGTTAATCATTTCCTCCCGCATCTTTTATTATACTAACCCAAATCTTTTACCTCTCCATTGTGTCCAAAATTCACCATTAAACTACAAGCGATATTCCAATCCTACTAATGATTTTAACTGTTTGCAATGGTCTTTAAGATAAGTTATAAATTTCCCTCATTCCTTATTAAGATTTTGGTCTTCCTGACTTCTGATTCTTTCCATCATTTCTGCCACTTCGGCATAATCCATCAACTTAATCTGCCATTCTTCGCTGGGAGGGGCTTCATCTTCTTTCCATCTCTTATCTAATATGGTTGGAAGTGGAAATGTGGAAGTTTGGAAGTGGGCTGGGCAAGTTTGTTTTGTTTCTACACTGGCTTGAACTGTACTTTTTGCATTACTTCCATTTGTTGTTCGCTTTATGGCTTGAATGGGAGACCTGGCCAGACTTCTGCTGCCTCTAACTTCTGTGTTTTCTAGGCATTCTGTGATGATACCACCTTCCCTTGGCTGGGTGCAGGCAGGACCCCATTTTGTGGACCCCATTTTTAGCTCCGTCAGTTTTACTGTTCTCCCACACCCTCCACCCCTGGTGTCTTCCTAAAATCTTGCTGTGCCCTTTACACCTGCTTCAAACTCTTTCACTGTTTTCATCCCCGTAGAAACCAATGAAAAACAAAGGTAATTTTCATTTGGAACTCGTTCATTTGAATTCCCATTTGTTTTCATAGCTAAAACAAATGGGACTCCTTAAAAAATGAATGCAAGGCCCCTAGCTAGCAAGCTGATAGCTTCTCCCTCTCAAAGGATGCAAGGCAGTCTAACTCAGCCCTCCCCAAGCTGGTGACGTCCAGATGTTTTTGACTCCAGGTGCTCTGAACTTCCATCGCCTTTGGTCTTTCGGAAGACCAAAATGAAAGACAAAATCTAGCAGGCTCTAGGCCACATGAGAGTTCAGACCACTGTGTGTGGTCCACACCAGGAATATGGAATCTCTTAATTTCCAGAGAGGCATCGCTCCAACTTACTTCGAGGAGGATGGTGTCGGGACAGTATCTTTCTTTCCAGTGGTCCAGAAAGACAAAATCGACCTTGTCCACCTGATATTTTTCCCTCAGCTGTGGGATGATGTCCTGAGAATGGCCCTCGATGATTGTGATCTGAAAGCAAAGAAGAGCTGTGTTACAGAGAGGTTCGGCGTCAGTACCCAACTTCCTTGGGCAGTTTTTGGGGTCTCAGTGCACTTGGGTGGGGGGCATTGCTGACGTCTCTTCTGGAGCCCCCTTTAATCCCTCCTCCCTAACCTGGTACTGTGAGCAGCATCTAGTGGCTGGGTCCAGCGGCCATTTTAAATTTTCCACAGTGCCCCTAGGCCATGCTTCCTCAAACTAGGCCCTCCAGATGTTTTGAGGCTACAGTTCCCATCATCCCTGACCACTGGCCCTGCTAGCTAGGGATCATGGGGGTTGTAGGCCAAAAACATCTGGAGGGCTGAGTTTGAGGAAGCCTGCCCTAGGCAGTGTCTCTCTGGGCAATATGAGACATCAAAAGGGCAGCTAAAAAGGTAAAGGGGCCCCTGACCATTAGGTCCAGTCGTGGCCGACTCTGGGGTTGCGGCGCTCATCTCGCTTTATTGGCCGAGGGAGCCGACGTACAGCTTCTGGGTCATGTGGCCAGCATGACTAAGCTGTTTCTGGCGAACCAGAGCAGCGCACGGAAACGACCGTTTACCTTCCCGCCGGAGCGGTACCTATTTATCTACTTGCACCTTGACGTGCTTTCGAACTGCTAGGTTGGCAGGAGCTGGGACTGAGCAACGGGAGCTCACCCCGTCATGGGGATTTGAACCGCCGACCTTCTGATCGGCAAGCCCTAGGCTCTGTGGTTTAACCCACAGCGCCACCCACGTCCCGCAAAAAGGGCAGCTAGTGCGAGTTAAAATGGTGCCGCTGTCTCTCGCCAACGCCAGGTAAGCCCGCCAGGTCCCACCAACAGAAGAGGAGGCTCACAAGAAGGCACTTTGCCCCAGGCCCCAGAGCCAGCCCTGGATACAGAACCAAGATTGTATGCTATGGATAGACTGCCTAATGCTCTCCCTAAGGCTGACTCACCTGGGGCCTCCTTTTATCTATTTTTAGACACCAAGCAAAAACTCTTCTTTTAGCTCATAACTGGAAGGGTTTTGAGCACTTGTGGTTGTTTTTAGAGGGGTCGGTTATGAAAGACCTGCCTTTTATTGGCATACTTTTTAAACATTTCAGTGGCTCGTTTGAGTCACTTGTCAGCAAAGCAACTAAGAAATTATTACAATAATAGCAATAGTCAGCTCTTCGTTCGAAGAGTTTCAAGTACTTGTGGTTGATTTGCATAGACTAACCATTTTAGTGGCTTGTTTGAGTCGCTTTCGGAAGTAAATCAACTAATAAATTAATAATGATGAGGATGATGGTATGCTTTAGACGTTGAAAGCAGGAGGGCCATGTGGGTGGTCCACAGCTGAAAATTAAACTAAATCATTTTAATTGGACCTTGAATAAATGTGCAATTGATTGCTACTGTTTTGAATCTTACTGTGCTATTATCTTCCATAGCGGATTGTGCAAACCGCTGTTCTGAAGAATGCTTTTTATGGGGATCAACAACAACAACAACAATTTATTACTTATACCCCGCCCATCTGGCCAGGCCTCCCCAGCCACTCTGGGTGGCTTCCAACAGGATATTAAAAACACAATAAAACATCAGACATTAAAAACTTCCCTAAAAGGGCTGCCTTCAGATGTCTTCTAAAAGTCAGATAGTTGCTTATTTCCTTGACATCTGAGGGGAGGGCGTTCCATAGGGTGGGTGCCACTACCGAGAAGGCCCTCGCTTCTCACAGTGAGGGAACTGCCAGAAGGCCCTCGGAGCTGGACCTCAGTGTCCAGGCAGAACGAGGGGGTGGAGACGCTCCTTCAGGGGGCACTGGGGATGAGTTTATGAAGCCAAAGGGCAGTGGCCTGAAAAAGTTTGGAAACCATTGCAGTAGAGGCTGGTTTATTAGGGGGCACGGCCCTCAACCAGCCCCCATGCACCTGCCTCCTTATTTACAACAAATCCAAGAGGCCTGTCAGCTTCTTCCTCCTTCGTCTCAGTGTTACCCCTTGCAGAACTCAGCAGGGACAAAACTAGAATTGGTTGGCTCTGCCTGTCATTGCCTGCAGCGCCACCTACTGTTGGTCTCCCTGCCTTCTGCCTTATCAGTCCCATTGCGCACCAGCCACCAAAGCAGTTGAATTGCCCTGCTGTAAACAACAAAAAATGCTTCGGTCAAATATGACTTGGGGGGTCACTTGGGTTTTGTGTGCGCATAATAAGCTGGCTTGGTTATTTCTTCCCCAAACGTTTTCTCTCTGTGTAGTTATAAAGTAGATGACCTTTGCTCCTGTTCAAGGGAATGTTAACACTTCTGCCAGTGGCAAGGGAAGTCTCTGGTGGGAACTAGTGATTCGCTTGGCTTATGATCCGGGAAAGTTTATGAGGCTGCAATTGTTTCTTCTGTAAGGGCAAAATAATAAAGAGCAAGGCCTTTCCCAACAACTCAGCTTGGACAAGGGTCACTCAGGGCCAAACTACCCCCCAGTCAAACCCAGATCTGCCCCAATCATCTGCAGGAATGGGGAACCTGTGGCTCTTCAGAAGTGGTGGACTACAACTCCCATCAGCCCTGGCCAGCATGGCCAATGGCCAGGAACGATGGGAGCCGTAGTCCACCAAAGATCTGGAGAGCTACAGTTTTGCCATCCTTGATCACAAAACAGAGTGTGCGCTCCATTTCATCAGCAAAACGGATATGTAGTCTAAGATAGGGTTACCAGGTGTCCCCAGTTCCTGGAGATTTGCAAATCTGTCCCCAGACAAATTCTGTCCCCAGAATGTCCCCAGATTTGCAAATCTGTCCTCGGGAAATGTGGCAGCCTCAGCATCCCGGAACCAGCCTGGTAGTGCAGTTGGCTCTGGCTGGCTTCAGGAGCTGCTCACTGCCGTGGCACCTGCCATATTTCCTGCACCAAAGCAGCGAGCAGCTCCTGAAGCCAGCCAGAGCCAACTGCACTACTAGGCTGGCCTCTCCTGGGCAACGGCCACCTGCCCGTGACTCCCGAGCCTCCCCTGATCTGTCAAAAAAAGGGGGAAGGAGGAAGGAGATCAGGGAGGGCTCGGGAGTCACGGGTGGGTGGTGTGCCGTTGCCCAGTTTTTAAAAAAACTCTGGGCATTTATGTTTCACAGGGTGTGAAAGAAGGGCTTTGCACCTTTATACAATATGCATGTGTGCTTGGGACCAGGATCTTTTGCCTCAACATCCCCACTACTGACTCCCTGTTGCTACTCAGCTTCACACCAAAAAAAAGTGTCCCCAGATTCATTGAAAAAAAATCTGGTAACCATAGTGCAGAAATCGTGCTTTAAATGTGTGTCGGATATGTTTCAAATGTATAGTTTGCATCTTCCCTTTCCTACCTCATTCTGGCCTGGCATCCACCCACATCCTTAGGCAGGGCTACCAGGACTGATGGACAGATGCCCTGATTTCCAATCCAATGAGCACTGGGCCTGACATTTTAATTTCCAGCAGCACAGCTGGTGTGGAGGTCTGCCATCTAAATTTCCCACAATGCCCCAGAGCGTTGCCACCTATCAGGGATGCTGTGGGAGCGTTGGGAAGGACTTGGACCAGATGATCTTTGATGGTCCCCCTCCCAACTCCACAGTTCAACGGAATTAAAAACGACGACTCTCTCAGAGAGCCGCGACCACCATCCATTTGATACTGACAAACATTTCGGAGATCTGTGTGCCGGATAGTACCTTCTCGCTGAGTCCAGCAATTTCGATGATCTCTCTGGCAATGGAGGCAAACTCGGGGTTGAATTCGATGGTAAGAAGACGGGCGTTTGGTTTCAAAAGGCGAGCGATCCTGATGGCTGAGTAGCCTACGTACGTTCCAAATTCCAAAGCGATGGTAGGATCCGCCTCTTCGACGACCTTATCTAGGATCACACCTGGAAAAGGAGGGTGTTGACTTTAGCAGGGCTCGATTAATAGGCCTGGAGACCTGATTAGTTGACAGAAGAGCCCAAAAAACTGCATTTTTTTCTTTTTTCTAAATTACAGTAGAGGTGTCTGAGACAGGGTACCTGGGAGCAAGATCATATGTATAGATTTACCACTGAATAGCTATTGAGAATTTGGGACATGGTATACCCAGTGAAACTGACTAAGACAGTGAGAGACTGAGAGAGGGGGGAAATAGGCAGTGCTTCTGTTTGAAAATGGAGGCACTGGGATGAGAAACGGACAGGACAATGTACAACTTTAGGTTTTATTAACAAGTGTTTAATATTGTTTAAGAACAGAATGCATTGGAGTTTTTGTTGTCGGTTGTTATATCTGTTTCATTTGTCTGAGTTTGACTTGTTGATGTTTAGAACAGAAATGCCATATCCTAAAATTTTTAGGTTACATTCTGATTGAAATTTTCAATCTGCGATGACCATAGCTCGAGACTGAATTGTGCACATCTTACCAGGAGGCAAGGCAGGTAATACAGAACTGTTCTGGGTACTGAGAGGGAGAATATTTTCCTTGCCATGAGCCAAATCCTGACATGTATCCTCACCTCTTGAAAGGGCTATTTAGGGATGCATGCAGTTGGTAGGTAGGGCCAAAGTCACTCCTCCCCTCTCTCTGTCTTTCCCATCACAACAACACCCTCCATTCATATCCCCTATCAGTCCCATTCATTAACAAAAACCCCATCCATTCACATAAATATACACTGCATTCCTTCATCCCCTGCATCACCAGCTTCTTTTATCCATGCCCAGGGGCACTGCTATGTACTCAAAATGAACTGGGGCTCCCCTTCCCCTGTAAATGGTAAAAGGACCCCTGACCGTTAGGTCCAGTCGCGGACAACTCTGGGGTTGCGGCGCTCATCTCGTTTTATTGGCCGAGCGAGCCGGCATACAGCTTCCGGGTCATGTGGCCAGCATGACTAAGCCGCTTCTGGCGAACCAGAGCAGCTTACGGAAACACCGTTTACCTTCCCGCCAGAGGGGTACCTATTTATCTACTTGCACTTTGACGTGCATTCGAACTGCTAGGTTGGCAGGAGCAGGGACTGAGCAATGGGAGCTCACCCCGTTGCGGGGATTCGAACCGCCGACCTTCTGATCGGCAAGTCCTAGGCTCTGTGGTTTAGACCACAGCGCCACCCGCGTCCCACCAGCACCAAAATGCAGCAGGCTGCCAATGGGAAAATGAAGAGATTGGTCTTTTCTCCACCAGGTTTCTCAATGGCCAACATGGAATTGTAAGGATGTGCCTGAATGGAATTCCTGGCCGGCTGTGGCTACCAGGCACGTTGTTAAATGCAAGGCTGTCCGGAGGCAGGCTGCCTCCACTGGCGGAAGCAGAATGCCTCTGAAGGCCAGTTGCTGGGAATCACAAGGAAGGCTAGTCTCTCTATGGTACGCCTCTCCTGGTATGCCCCACGGAGGACCTTAAGGTCCATAAACAGCAACACCCTAGTGGTCCCGGGCCCTAAGGAAGTTAGATTAGCCTCAACCAGAGCCAGGGCCTTCTCAACACTGGCTCCAGCCTGGTGGAACGCTCTGTCTCATGAGGCCAGGGCCCTGCGGGATCTGATTTCTTTCCGCAGAGCCTGTAAGACAGAGTTGTTCCACCTGGCCTTTGGCTTAGAATCAGTTTGATTCCCTCCCCCTCTTTCTTTTTCCTTTCTCCTCCTGTGAAGAGGCTGCATCCTAATGTTTTAATGTTGTATTTTAATCTTGTTTTTTAAATTGTATTTTAATCAACTTGTTTTTATTATTGGTTGTTACCCGCCCTGAGCCCGGCCTTGGCTGGGGAGGGCGGGGTATAAATAAATTTTATTATTATTATTATTATTATTATTATTAGTGTTGTTCTGCTGGCTCCTTCCCATGAGACTCTGGATGGCTATTGATGCTGGACTAGACAGGCCCTTGGCCTGATCCAGCAAGGCTTTCATTATATTCTAAAGAGAAGCCATCTCCACATCTCTTGGTGGTGACCAAAGACCAACTTTAAAGAAGCTCCAGCCCATTGTCAAAGAGCGAACCGACAGCAGATCACACTGCTCAAAGTTGGAGTTGACTCTTTTTAAGCACAATCATCCCTTGGCTGAGTGTCAGGACTAAGGAGCACAGCAGCTCATCTCTGGGAGGTCTTACGCATCAGTTGCCAAGACTGAAAGTCTCCATCTCCCCACAGCCCTCCTCTCCAGGGCTTCTCCCAAGCAATCAGAGACTGTGTCTGCATGAAGCCAACCTCTCCTCCACTCTTTTCACACCGCTGGGAGACCAGGGAGAAGGGAGCTTGCACCGCAGCAGGAGGGAGAGACACTTGTGACTCTGCACCACAGACTCTGCATCCCAGCTCACTAAGCCCTGTTACCTCTTCGTCCTTGGACACCACCTATTCCCAGTCTTCTCCCATTGACCACTCATTGTCACCCCACCACCACTCCCCGGGCTCCGAGCCTCCTTCCTTTGGGGGTTCCCCAGCTGGTTCCTCCCACCCTTCCTCTGCATCCAACTCGTCCACGACACCCGTTTACCTTTCTCATCGCCCACGTTCATGGCCCACTCTTTCTGGGAGCAGTAGTTGTCGATGCAGTCCAAGACGCTCTCGGGATCCCCTTTGACGGCATTGTAGGACACAGAGTTCAAGATCCGCTGCTCTTTGCTCTGATCCATGACAAAGTTGGTGATTTTCTCTAGCACGATTTCATTCCAGAACATAGTAGCATGGATGTTGTTTCTGAGGAGGATCACCAGCGCCACCATAAACAGGAGGGAGCCGACACCGACAGATACCAGGATGGTCAATATCCATCCTTCCAGCATCTGGAAACAAGAAAGACATAGGTAGGCAAGCAGTTAGGGATGGGGAAGAAATCCATTTCAGAACACATTGAAAGCTGGATTTATCACATGTGCGCTCTCCGAAACAACATGTGAACCAAAACATTGCATCCTTCAAAATTTGCACTCATCTGAATTTTGCAGTGCTGACTAAACAATGATCGCAAAAGATACATATATTAAGGTATGCATAAAAATGAGGATATTAGTGAAAACGACATACAAAAAATGCATACTAGGGAAACTGCATATAAAAAGGTGTCTATTAGGAGAAAGTGCTGATGAATTTTCATGATGACGTTTGTTGGTTTGTTTTTTTTAAAAAAAACGACAATTGCTGCAAAATGCAGATAACTGAATTTAAGACCAGAGTAAGAAACTGAGCTAATCGGGGTCGACAGTTCCTGCAAACACTTATGATCACCATGTGACTTGCACTGGAAAGATAATCCCCCACAATCTACAACCAGGCAATGGTCCGAGGACCTTATTACCCTTGCATTATAAATGTCTATTTCATGTGGATATGTCTCAAGGTGGCGGGCGTATTTCAGCTTGTATGTTTAAGCTGAGACGGGTGTATTGACGGCCCCTGGCCTCGTTAATGTGAGCTGGTGCGCTAAACTTGGTATAATATTTTTTTTTTTAAGATGGAACATTTATTTTATTGAAAGATTAATACATCAGTCAATGAGCTCTCCAGGCAAGGTACATCATAAAACCGCAGATAAAACCACAGCTAAAATCCACAAGACGCATTAAAACCAACTATACAAAATGTTATCATGAAAACACAGATTAAAAAATACTAAACATTTTTAAAAGGTCTCAGCAAAGCTGCTAAGGCAAAGAGGCGCAAACCACCACTTTTGTCCCCACCCAAGTTTATTATTATTGTTGTTGTTGAATTCAAATTCAAATCTTTATTACGGTCGTAGACCAGGATAAGTAGGATGGGGTACAATCATTTAAAAACTGTAAAACATTTTGGAAAGCTAAAAAGTATTGAAACATAATGTATATATAAAAGTCTATAAGAATCTAATTAAACGGGTGTGGAAGAGCATAAAGGGTTAGTATATTAAAAACTATGGCTATCAATTTACAGAGCACTCCGATACGAGTTTTCATCCAATCTGGTTTGTGACACAGGTGGTTGCTGTTGTTATTCTGCAAGCCCTCCAAAAAAGGATGATTCTGAAACGGCTAGCATTCCCTTACCTTTTCTTATTGAAAGAAAGTTCAGGAGGAGAGCCTCTAGTACAGTCCAGCTATCGAAGACAAAGAGAAGTGAACCCAGGCATGAAAGGTCCACTCTATCATAGGCAAGGTTTTGTAACTAGCTAGTCATCTAATGAGACTGAGCCTACTGCTTCTATGACAGGCATAGGCAAACTCGGCTCTCCAACTGTTTTGGGACTACAACTCCCATCATCCTTAGCTAACAGGACCACTGGTCAGGGATGATGGGAATTGTAGTCCCAAAACAGCTGGAGGGCCGAGTTTGCCTTTGCCTGTTCCATGAAACCTAAGCCAAGATTCTATGTGTGCCTATTTTAGCTATTTTACAGAGCAATCCTACCAGGTATGGTCGAATTTACCACTTTTGGTTTCCCATTCCCATACTCAGAAAAGGCCTTTATGATGATGATGATGATGATGATAATAATCATCATCCTCATCTATTCAATTTATATACCACCCTTTATCAAAAGATTCCAGGGTGGAAAAATTTTAAATCTATTTAAGAGACCATTGCAAGCAGATGAAAACATTAGCAGGATTTTAATCTCACTTGTAATGTAACAAATACTATGGACAATATGGATTGATATAAAATATAGAACAGAATAATATGCGGTTGTGAATGCTGACAATAGGACCCACGAAGGGGGTGGGGGGAAGTCTTGAGATTCAGAGTATTTGGATTGTTATAATTCTATATTTGTAAAATCCAATAAAAATGATTTCATAAAAACAAAAAACAAAAGATCCCAGGGTGGTGTGCAACGTTAGGAGGACATTACAAAACATCAATGTTAAAAATGTAATAAAGACATGGTAAAAAGCATACTGACTGACAGCCTAATAGTAAAATAATCATAATAATATCAGTCCTCCCCCCACACTTTCACAGGCCATAGATTATTTAACAGCCATAAGCCTGGGTTAAGAAGAATGTTTTTTGCATGGTGTCTAAAGACATGTAAGGATGGCGCCAAGCAAGTCTCTATAGGGAAAACATTCCACAATCGGAATGCACAATTTTACATCTGCTTAGATGTGACATGATTCGTGGTGCACCAGCGAGGAAGGACCACAATTTCACTACCTAAGCTAACAGGCGAGTCATAATCTCAGGTGAACGATCGGACACAGGCTGCAAAAACGGCGGAAAGGTGTTACCAAATGATGCCACTGTAACGGCAGTAGAAGCGATGAACATGGTCTCTGCACAAATTGCTGAGCTGCATGCCGACTTGGCAGCAAAGCTGTAAAACTTTGGAGGACGAAAATTGCACCTTTGCTACCTGAGTGTCAGGCTTCAGTGAATCCTATCCCTCCCACAGTGGCAGCCAAGGAGCAGATAAAATAAGAAGAGTTCTTACCGATTATTTATTCAGTATTCACACAGAGAGACAATCTCCGCTAAATAATGGTGGTGTTCTGAATAAGTCGCATCCGCGCCATATCTCCTAATTCTACGTCATCCCTGCGATGGCTAAGCTGAGCTTTCTGCCTCTGAGCTTTCTGTTCTACTACTCTCAATGCTCACCTGGTCCTGGGAGAGGGGGGGTCAGGAATGCTTTCTAAAGACACTGTCAGCTGTCTCTCCCTTGGTTCTTCTTCCTGCTGCTCTTCTCCCAATATTTCCCAGCTTCTCCCCTCTGCAGCCTCTGAACTGTGCCCTTCGGCAAACCACTGTTCTAAATCTATGCTGTCTGTTTCTTCTCTGGGAAGTGTAGGAGAAGGGGGGGTCTCCACCATTCCTCCTCAGTCCCCTGACACTGAGTGGTTGATGGCTGAAGACCTAGAGGTAAGTGCCTGACATTCGGACAGGATTCAATGCTCAGTGATGAATCCAAGAGACATACAGTCGTACCTGAAGGAACGTCTCCACCCCCTCATTCTGCCTGGACACTGAGGTCCAGCACCGAGGGCCTTCTGGCGGTTCCCTCACTGTGAGAAGCCAAGTTACAGGGAACCAGGCAGAGGGCCTTTTCGGTAGTGGCGCCCTCCCTGTGAAACGCCCTCCCACCAGATGTCAAAGAGAACAACAACTACCAGACTTTTAGAAGACATCTGAAGGCAGCCCTGTTTAGGGAAGTTTTTAATGTTTGATGTAGTACAGTATTTAAAAAAAAAAATTGGAAGCCGCCCAGAGTGGCTGGGAAAGCCCAGCCAAATGGGTGGGGTATAAATAATAAATTATTATTATTATACCTCTACTTACGGATCCCTCTGGATATGGAATCTTCGGGTTATGGCCACGGCAAACCCAGAAGTGTATACTTCTGGGTTTCGCCGCGCATGCATGTGCAGAAACACTCAATCACGCCACGTGTGTGCGCAGAAGCATGCCTCTTTTTACGTAATTTTCGGGGTGCAAATGGACCCCCAGAAGAAATTAAGTTCGTATCCGGAGGGTCCACTGTACAGGTAAAACCAGAGGACCAGAGAAATTGGGGACACCACCACCACGTTCAATTTTAAGACCTGAAGGTGGCCAATGGAGACCTTGTTGGGTTTTTTTACTTAACTGGCAGAGTGAGATTATCCCGCAGGTAGAGATTGCTCGTATAGACCCTGAAACAGTTTCTACCCAAATGCGATTTTGGGTACCCAAACGCAGTGTATGGGAGCATACTGTATTTAAAAATGGGGTATCAGAGTTTTTAGGGGGGCAACCAGGTTGGGATAGCTGGGATAGCAGGCTTGTAGTTTTGAATGTTTTATGTAGATTTTTCAATTTTGTCGTTCTGTATGGGACAATGACAATAAAGATTATCGTATCGTAAAAGAGCTCACAGAAGCCTGGGGGCCTGTTCGTAAGAAAAACTCCCTGCCGCAGGATATTATCATTGGCTTTGCTAGTTTGGAACCAGGGACTGCCTCCTCGCAAAGCTCTGCCATGGAGTTACTGTATGGTCCTTCCCCCAATGCTGGCACCGCACAGGGCTGGCATCTTGCTTAAACAGGACTGGCAGCGGCTACACCTGCCCTGATAGCTTACTCTCTCCAGTCGGTTTTGCTGGGGAAGCAAGTGGGAGAGATGTCCCTCCTCCTCCCTTTAAACTTCTTATCATTATGCAGGACGCAGATTGAAGTCAGAAAATAATTACGTTGCCATGGAGACCCCCTCCGCTCACAGTGCAGTTGGTCTTTGTTCACCCATCTACTTATCTTGGCTGCGCGAGGAGCGTTATCCCTTTCAAAGTCTTGCAAACGGCCTCTTTTTCTCCTCCACAAAACTTTGTCATGCATTTCCTTTGCCTTGCATAGGCTGGAACTTCAAACTGCCCTTTTATATTGCTTTGTTTTGCTTTTTGTGCACAGGAGCAATTCGTAGAAAACCGCAACCGTAGCAGAGTGGTAAGCGAAAGCAGGCCAGGCTCAGGTTCAAATTCTGATCGGGGAAAATATAAGAAATATGAACCTCTAAGTCTAATGCATTTCCAACAGAGTTCTTCCACAAGGCAGCCTTGAACGACACAAGGTGTATCCGGATCTCTTCATACGGTTGCAAAGTAATTCAGAATTATCTTGAGACAAGGGGAGGAGGCCACAGGTACAGAAGAAGCTGCCTACACCAAATCAGACCCACTCGGCCATCTAACTCAGTGTTGCCGACACAGACTGGCAACAACTTGCTCAAGGTTTCAGGCAGAAGCAATTCCAAACCCTACCTGCAGATGCTGTGGACCAGACCTGGGACCTTATTCTTGTAAGACAGACGCTCTACCTGAGCACCAGCCCTTGCGAGAGGAAAAGGTCAGGACTGAAAAGTGGAAGAACACCATTTCCACATAGGAAGCTATGGAGTCAGACCATCGATGCATCTAGCTCACAGTGTTAGAAACTGAGATATGAAAGACAGGAGCTAAATGGCACCGCAAACTTTGGTTATGGGAGCAACAACAGGGTGTCTAGGTGCACTTTTTTATAAGAATACAAAGCTGAAAATGAATAAACTGCAGCTGAAATACTATGTTCATTTTTCGCATGGTCTAGTCCTTCCCCTGCCCACCCCCCTAATATTCTTAAGAGGGTCTCTTCTCCAGTCTTCAGAGACTAGTTGGACCGGGGAGGCAGAAAAAGGTCCTCCTTTCCTTCCAGTTGAAATCTTAAGCGCAGTACTGCACCCAGAGCTCAGAACCGGCTCACACTAATGAAATTCCTTGTTGCAAAATGAGCTATGACAATGGGAGTTTCAAACATTGTTAGCTCAGTATAGTCTACAGGCAGCCGTTCTCCAGGGTTTCAGGCAAGGGACTCTCCCAGCCCTACCTGGAGATGATGGGGATTGAACCTGGGACCTTCTGCATGCTAAGCAGGTGCCCTACCAATGAGCTATGGCCTTTTCCCTTCCTGCGCTTTCACCATGTGATACGTATTTGTTCTTTTTTTCTCCTTGCTTCCTTTCTTGCTTCTTCTCAGTGCCAAAATAGAGAAGATGCCACACTTCCTTCTGTTTCCAGCTTTCGAGTTGTGAGTGCTTGTGTAGTCCAAGCATTGGCACCCAGATATAAGAGGGAAACAGTAGCAGGTTTGCAGAAACCCCAAGGTATGTAGAAGGATGCACAAATACACACACAAAGAGATCCTGTGTGTGTGTGTGTGTGTGTGTGTGTGTGTGTAAGAAGCGCCCAGAATGTTCAATGACGACCGGATCTGTTTTATAGCCACTGTGCACCTTAAGTGCTACCGTAAATGTATGCTTTGTCAATAAATAATAAAACTACCAACCATTTGCCCTCCTTGTGCTCCAGACAGCTGGGTGCATCCCACATGCACAAATGTGACAATGTCCTGTAGCACACAGCCTGATGTTTCATATGTACACAGGGGTGTGCCTTACACGAAACCAGACCTTCTCCTCCAACGTGCTCTACTGGGATTGCTTCTGATCCCAGTGGGGTTTGCCAGCAATACAGCGCGGCCATCATGAGTTAGCAAGATGGGGTTGTAGCCAACGAAGTTTCACTCCGGCCAGACCCAATTCAATGACCCTACATTAATTTCAGTGGATCTATGCTGAGTACGAGTAGCACTGGATACAGCTCCTGTTCAGCTCGCTTTCTTTCCCCTGTGTACCGCTCTTGCTGTTTTGTGCTGCCAGATTAATCTGTTTGTTGTTGTTTCGGTTGAAGCACTGGCAGCTGGTGCCACGAAAGACAACTAGAACAAGCCAGCACCTTCACCTTCCTTCCTTATCCCCAGGGTGCACACAGCAGGGGCAGAGGAAGGACCTTGCTGTTGCAACTGTTGCTCCACAACATGCAGAAAACGAGGGATCATTTTGCTGCCAGCGGGGTTTATGCAGGTGGTTGTTGTTGTTGATGATGATGATGATTAATTAATTAATTAATTCCCTGCCCATGTGGCTGGGTTTCCCCAGCCACTCTGGGCGGCTTCCACCAGAATATTAAAATACAATGATTCATCAAATATTAAAAGCTTCCCTGATCCATTGCCATTGCCACCACAGACGAGAGGCGATGGCCAAAGCAAGAGGGAGACCAGCAGGCCAAGGGATCTGGAGTTGGTTGTGAACTAAGGCCGCGGAGGTGTTGATGCAAAGTTCATGACATTCAGCACCACGGTTAGCAACCCTGCAGCTGAGCCAAAGATGCAAGTTGTTTCAGCCCCAGCTTGGAACAACTGCCAGAATTTTTATCTTCTGGGCCATACAATGGCCATACAACTGCCTCTGCAGTCGAAGGTAGCAGTACTAGTTGCTGGAAATCACAGATGGGGAGAGTTCTCTTGTGCACAGGCATTTGGGCAGCCACTGTGAGAACAGGATGAAGGTCTAGATGGGCCATTGGCTTGATCCAGCAGGCTCTTCTTACATTCAAAGTCAAGATTAAAAATTCATCCCCCAAGTGCTACATCTGGCCATGCAAAGGATGAGCATCTTTTAATGCAGTCATTAGCTTCTTCTAGACAGTGGGTTTTCAAGCTGTGGGGGAAGCTGCTCATATGTTTCTTGATCTTTCAAGGTATCTGGTTTATTCACAGGAGTCTTGTGGCAGAGCTAACTCCATGGGGTACGGGGGACAAGGTGACAGTGGCTCCACAGTGGCTCCTAAGGTGTGGAGCCATCTCCTTCCCAGGGTGGAGGTTGTAAGAGGACACTGGAATTGGGTATTCCTAGTCTAGAGCCTAGACAATTCGTGCATCTTGCTGATTAATCATTCAGCAAGTTTCACAGCAATTGTAGTTAATTGCAGGAGGGTTAATCATGTGGCTGACACAGCTCCTCACACCAGCAGAGGACAATAAGATCTGGGTTGAAGATTAAGCCCAAGTGGATTTGACCCACCAACAATTGGTGATGAATTGGGAAAAGATAATTACTTTCCGCTCGCCTGAACTCAAGTCTGAAAATCAAACTTGGCAGCTTCACACTGGAGTTTTCTTTTGAAAAGTTATTGTTGTTGAGAAGTGGCAACTTTCAAGTCAGTTAAAAGAGTGTTCAGGACGACTAAAATATTCCCCGCTGGTTTCTGTGCGTGACAATTTTTTAAATAAAAAATGTCTCTTTTATTCTCTTGCATAGAAACAGTCTCCGTTTAGCCTCTGGGAATGGCAGGGAGCCAACATGGTGTGCAGAGGCTGACAATCTTTTTGCTCCTTGTCCCCCGGACAGAAGGGGTATGTGTGTGTGCGCATGGACACATGTGCAATATGTGCACCTCAAAACTCCTGAAGGCGCAGTAAAACTGTTCTACTTTGCCAAAAACTAAATTCACAACGCACAGATAATTTCAGGAGCTCGCAGAAAACCTGGCATAATCATGCCATTTCTGGTAACATGTCTCACAACAACTCAGTGGGGAATTTAAAATTATGTCCTGAATAATGGAATTATGCCCGTGAAGCAGTTGGCTTGGACGAAGAGACTGTGTTTTGCTCCTTCTTTCTACTTTACTGCTGCCAGTCAGTACAGCAATAGTGAGCTGGATACCCCAATGGTCTGACTTGGGGAAGAGGCACCTCCTTATGTTCCCAATATTGTCTCAGCCATGTGCTGAGGCCATCCGGGGTCTTATACAGGCTGGCCCAGCCTCTTTGACCAGTTGGCTTGTGTGATAGGAATTTTGAGGTCTTGATATATGGTAATGTTCATAAGTGTACCAACCAAGCACGTACGTAGATCAGCACAGGAAGACCGACCCAGAACCATTTTGATTCCCAAACTGACCAAATGTTTTCCCTGCAAGGAGGGAGTGGGGGTCAGGGAGCCTTCCCCTTGTCTCAGGAATTGAGTAATCAGCATTTTAATGGGTGACAGACTATCAGGAAAGACAATCAGAAAAGGCAATCAGATAACTTGGCAAACAGGAAAAACAACATTCAAATTTCTGTTTTAGACCGCCTTTTCTGTGATGTAGGTATGATGTATCTGGGGGGTGGTCTTAGGTTACACCCCTTCTGTGATGTATGTATGATGTTTCTGAGGGTGGTCTTGATCTACAGGGTGGCAATTTCAAAAGTCTACATAAGGCCTTGCGCACCATTGTTCTGGGTTCCTCCTCCTCTCCTGCGGGTGAGGGGAGCACCCTGTTGCAACAGATCAATAAAGATCAGGCTTACTAGCTGCTTTGCTTCTCAATATTCTCTGGTTGGCCTCTGTTATTTTCTCCTACCAATATGGAACCTACATAAGGACTCTATATGGGCTCTTGGATACCCCATAAGGGAAAAGGGCAGATTTTGTTTACAACACTTGCTGGCCTAAAGGGTCCTCGAACAATTCTGTTGGCACCAACATCCACACTATGGAGTGGATGAGGATCCCACTAGGGGTCCATCCTCAGAGACTGAAGAAGGCAGGAAAACTACGTCCTCAGGACAGGACAGCCCGGTTACTAAGGGGCAAACAGCAAGGGAGCACTATTGCCAAGCAAGTTCTGCTCGTGGCTTCCTGGAGCCATCTGATCTGCTGGTGGTCAAACAGGATGCTGGACTCAATGGGTCCCCAATACAGGGCATTTCTCTATTGCACCCACCCCCATTAAAATGGGGCGTTTCCCGACGGGTCTATGGCGTGTGGAAGAGTTGTAGCTTGGTGCACAGACTTTCACATACAGGTTCGGTCCATGAACCTTCAGCTTGGGCTGGGAAAGGCTTCCGTTTGAAACCTCAAAGAGCCGGTATTATAGGCCAAGACATTAATAGACAAGCTGTCAAACTGTTCTTACATGCAACAACAGCGGCAAGAGTATTGTTAGCCCAGAAATGGAAGCAGAAAGAAGAAAGATGAAAGAAGAATGGCAGACGAAATTAATGGACTATGCAGAATTGGACAAAATGACAGGAAGGATTTGAAACCTGCGGGACCAGAGATTTACAGAAGATTGGAAGAAGTATATGAAGAAGAAGTATATGAATTATTTGAAGAGCAGCTATAATCAACAAATTACATTAGTAGGACTACAAGAAGTTTTGTAAAGAGGAATAAACGAAGTGTTACAAAGTAGAAAAAGATAGAGATATTGGTTATGAGTTTGAAATGTAATAGGGAAAATAAGAAATGCATACTAAGAGATTAGATTGGAAAATTTTCAGACAGGACTGATGGAAGTAAAAAAAATTGAATAAGATGTAAAAGTATGTTTAATTACTGTTGAAAATGATATGTTAAAAAACTAATAAAAATGTGTGTGTGTGTATAAACTCCAAAGAGCCACTGCAAATTGGCATAGACAAGGGATAGAGAACAAAATGCCCTTCATGTTCCCACCATGTTCCCTCCATGTTGGCTGGAGCTGAGTTCAACAACATCTGCCCTTCTATAATGTGTTGGGGAGGGGGGGTTATTGGGTTGTTCTTGTTCTATTTTGATGATGTTTTTTATGTTTTCGCAGTGTAATTTTATCTTGTGAACAGCCCTGAGACCTGTGGGTATAGGGCAGTATACAAATTTTAATCATCACCATCATCATCACCATAGAATCATAGAATTGTAAAGTTGGAGGATCATCTAGTCCAAGCCCCTGCAATCCAGAAATATGCAGCTGTCCCATACGGGGATTGAACCTGCAAACTTATCAGCACCATGCTCTAAACAACTGAGCTCTCCAGGGATAATCTGGAAGGCAACATGTCGGCTATCCCAGGCTGTATGTAATAGGAATGCTCTTGAGATTTTCTGCCTCAGGTGTCAATATAGCTTTGCCCGTCCCTGTGGAGCGGGTGGAGCCATGGTCTAAACCACTGAGCCTCTTGGGCTTGCCGATCGGAAGGTCGGCAGTTCGAATCCCCGTGACGGTGGTGAGCTCCCGTTTCTCTGTCCCAGCTTCTGCCAACCTAGCAGTTTGAAAGCACGCCAGTGCAAGTAGATAAATAGGTACCGCTGCGGCGGGAAGGTAAACGGCGTTTCTGTGTGCTCTGGTTTCCGTCACAGTGTCCCGTTGTGCCTGAAGCGGTTTAGTTCTGCTGGCCATGTGGCCCAGAAAGCTGTCTGTGAACAAACACCGGCTCCCTTGGCCTGAAAGCGAGATGAGCGCCACACCCCATTGTCCCCTTTAACTGGATTTAACTGTCCAGGGGTCTTTTACCTTTACCTTTACCTGTTGCCTGTCCCTGTATTTTTCAAGCCACTGATCATTTATCTCTAGGACCGAACGGTAACAATACTACATCCAGTTGCAGCATTAGTTTTCAAATTCCTTCCAGGGGCATGATTAGCTTCTCAAGGTTTATTACAGGGTTTTGAGGTTTGTGCAGCGGAATTCAGACACACAAGAGTTTACAATTCAATCTAGATGTTATTAGCTCACTCTGGCCAAAGGAGTGCTTAGGAAATCCAGTCCACTTTTCCACAAAAATGAGCTCTCCATCAGCCTGGTGGTGCTGATGGTAGCCGACGCAAACTTTAATGGCACAGTGCCTGGGGGAGAGCAGTCCTGATCTCATTGCAGAGGTGTTACCACTAATAACCGGAGTGTAATGATACTTTGCAATTACACAGTGGGTTTATTTTCCAAAATGGCAAAGCAAAATTAATTAGCTCTTTCAGCAAGTTGCTATAGCCAAAGGCCATTGTAAAACCGACGTGTACAAATTAAAACTCTCCCTCTCTCTCTGTCCAGAAATGATACGACGAAAAGTACAGCAGTCTAGAAACTGTAGTCAAAAGAACAGGCCCAGTTCTTCGTCCTAGAAATTCATTTACCTGTGATGGTTGTTTTTGTGATCAATTCAGTATTAATCATGATGGGTTTCAAAAGATGTTGAGAAGTAAATTTTTCATGCATTTTTTGTTTGTTTGTTTGGTGGCCACCAAATGTTATGACACAAAAATAAGGGATGAAATAGATTTGATGTGGGAGATAAAGGACCGGGGTGAAGGGGTGGGGAGAGGATGAAACAGAGGGAAAGTTTGTTGATGGAAAGGCAAAAAAAGGGGGCCGAGATGGTCCTATTACAGATCTTCTGCATCACATCTACCTTCTCCCTCCATTAGTCACAAGAAGCTGCCTTAGTACCAGATCTTTGAGTCACCCAGCACAGTACTGTCCACACCGACAATCAGACTGAAGTTTCTCCCAGACTTTTCTGTGAGCCTGAACTATGTGGCTGTTCCCTGAATAAAGCTATAGATACCCCTTGCCTGAGAATCTACACAAGCCACTTGTCACAGATTAACTCAGAGCATTTATTGTTATTTATTTACACCCTGCCCATCTGACTGGGTTCTCCAGCCACTCTGTGTGGCTTCCAAAAAACTATAAAACCACAGTAAAACATCAAACAATAAAAAATTTCCCAATACAGGACTGCCTTCCGATGTCTTCTAAAAGTCAGATAGTTGTTAATTCCTTGACATCTGATGGGAAGGCATTCCACAGGGCGGGTGCCACCACCGAGAAGGCCCTCTGCCTGGTTCCCTGTAACCTCACTTCTCGCAGTGAGGGAACCGCCAGAAGGCCCTTGGAACTGGACCTCGGTGTCCAGGCTGAATGATGGGGACAGAGATGCTCCTTCAGGTATACAGAGCCAAAGCCTTTTAGGGCTTTGAAGGTCAGCACCAATAATGTGAAGTGCGCTCTACAATGTATAATGCTGTGTATTTCAGTTTTAGAACTGGATCAAGGCCAAGTGATACTGATTAGCCCAAATTGAACCAAAGGCTTCACAGGCTGGTTCAGACTAGTTCTCCCAAGTCTGACACTCTTAACAACAGAGCCCTCATGCTTTTGTGGATGGTGAAACTGATTTTTCGGAAGATATGGTCACCAGACATATATTCACAGAAAATCTGTAGAGGAGAGGGTGGTGCTCAGGTATGCGTAAAATCCCTTACACTCTCATTTTCCTGGCTAAAGGATCTGAAGCAGCTGGAGTTCTGTTTGTCTAGTGGATATTTTAATTCTACCTACAGCACGTGCCCAGCATGTGTCACACGAGCAATTCCACTGTTAAGATTATGTTGCTGTGGCAATTTCCATTAAAACAGGAGATGGGTTGTTAGGGAATATTAAGGAATATTCTTACCTTCAAAAAAGGTTTCTTTGGTCATGAAACAAAATTAATATTTTTTTCTCTGCCAACTAAGAAAACCGACTTTGCTCTAAATTTCAGCAACTATGAGGAATAAGTTTTCTCTTCAATATCCTGGATTTTAAATACCAATTTCCCCCCCCCCATATGGAGAACTTCATCATAGTCAATGTGAAACCAGCAGTGCAACTTATTCATGTCATCTCAGAAGTTCATTAAACCAGGTACACATGGGGATAGGATTGTGGCATAAATTGTTTTCTTTGCCCATTTACCAAATTTTATAATTTAAAACTTCATTACAATGAAAACAGAAATGAGTACATTAAAAAAGCAAAAACATAGTGTTCCGATTTCATTTTTGGCTTTTAAAAATCCCACTTATTTAGAAGCTGCAGGAACTGTTTTTTGTTTTTTTAAGGAAGTTAATATTCCCTTCTCTGAAGATGTCTAAAATTGGCCACACAGCGTGTTTCAGAAAGTGAAGACCACATCTCACAAAGAAAGATTGAATGTGTTGAGATTGTTTTGTTGGGAGGCGATGTGACAGCTATCTTCAAAAACCTAAAAAGCTGTGATTCACATAGATGATGGAGCAAATGTGTTTTTTCGTTCCAGAAGATAAGCCCTGAATAAATGGGCTCAAATGACAAAATTTTGAATCAATATTAGAAGTACTTCCTGGTGATGTAACAGCAGAACAAGACTGCTTTGGAAGGTGGCAAGCTCTTCCTCACGAGAGGTTTCTACGGATTTGTTTATTTAACAAAGTTTATATACCGCTTGGTTGTAATAAAACCTCTGTGTGGTATGCAAGAAATATTAAAATCATAAATAAAAACATTTAAAGATAATTAAAATTAACAATAAAAAACAGTATATGTAAACATGGATAGGCTTGCCCAAACCAAAATGTTTTCAGACAGTACAACAAAGTGTCAGCCGGCAGGGAGTTCTAAAGCATACTAAAAGATTGATTTCTTGCAAGTACGGCATGAGAAGGTAACAGAGCCCAGATTGAAGTGGTTGAGTGAGAACATATGGGGCGAGGTGATCCTGCAGGCAAACCGGTCTCAGGCTGTTGAGGGCTTTATGCACCAATAGTAGCACCTTGAACTTTGGGCTGGCAACAAGGCTGTTTACAAGGCTGACAACCGCCCTGTGGTCCTCGGTTGAAGGGCGGTATATAAAGTTAATAAGTAAGTAAGTAAGTAAGTCAGCAATCTCTGAGCTGAGCTGTTGAATGATGACAGGGTCTCACTCCTGCCAGCAATTGTGCTACATGGGTAGATAGCTGCCACCGACCAGGAAGTGCAGGCCAGAGGGCCACCCTACGTACCAGGGTTGCCGTAGAGTAGGTCTCCTGCATTAGGGTTTATAGGAATATGCTAGATCAGGGGTAGGCAACCTAAGGCCCGGGGGCCGGATGCAGCCCAATCGCCGCCTCAATCCGGCCTGCGGACGGTCCAGGAATCAGCATGTTTTTACATGAGTAGAATGTGTCCTTTTATTTAAAATGCATCTCTGGGTTACTTGTGGGGCATAGGAATTCGTTCATATATTTTTTTTCAAAATATAGTCCGGCCCCCCACATGGTCTGAGGGACAGTGGACCGGCCCACAGCTGAAAAAGGTTGCTGACCCCTGTGCTAGATGTATTCACAGGGCCTTGCTAACACAAGAACGGACCTTCTTGGTGGTGGCTCCCCATTTGCAGAAGGCTCTCCCCTATGAAGCATGCCTAGTCCCATCACTATCTGTTTTTAGGCACCAAGCAAAGATATCTATATCCACCTGGGCTTCTGGACCATAATTTCCTGCTTTTTTAAATAGTGGGTCGGCTTTTTGGTACATATTAGCATGTTAGGCTTTTAAAAACTCTCTTGCTTTTACTCACTTTTAATGCTGCTTTGAGTTCATCTTGCAAAAAAAAAAAAAAAAAGGGAACTACCAAATATTAATAATAATTATGAATAATATATTTAAGCTAAAGCAAATGACCCTAAACATCACAAATGCATTTCAACGGCCGAGAACAAATGCAATGTTAGGGTCTGAGTATGGGGATTCAAGTAACCTGAATGCTCAAAGCACCCTGTCTCTTCATAATCGCATCCCTTCCGCTAGGCACCGACGTACCAAAGAAGTTCAAAATGAAACAGTCGTGAAAGAGACAGCCAGAGGGTTGGATCCAGACCATCAGCACAATCTTAGGTGCGCTGACTTAAAAATTAAATTCCACTAAGGGGTGTCTGCCAAGGGAACCAGGGAGATTATCATATCCTGAGCTGGTTGAACTTAGCTCCCATTGAAATCAAGGCCCACCTGACTTATCCCCTAGTCTTCAATGAGATTCAACTGCCGCTCAGCCTGGATCTCAGAACCAGATACGCAAATTACCGTATAAACACCACTTCACTTGCAAACTCCCTTTCGATTTTTTCGCTTCTTCAGAATCTGAGGGTGGGAGTGGGGATTTGCTTTGGAATTCTAGGCAAATTGGCGTTATCTCTAGCTAAGTGCCACTCAAGAGTAGATCCGCTGAAATTAGGGGTCCTAAGTTAGTCATGTCCGTTGATTTCAATGGGTTTGTGACAAGTAGAGTTTAGTTGGCTACAGCGCCCCCGTTTCTGAACTTATTGATAAATTAAATGGCTCAAAAAGGAATGTCTTTAGAAATGGTTTCTGAAACAGCAGAACCCAGCAATCTTACAATTCCACGTATGGACAGGAGTCAGCAAGGTGGTGCTAAGCAACCACTCAAAATCTGTTGCTGCATAAGAAATGTGGCTTTCTCCCCTGAATAGCTATTTTACAGACATTTGCTGTGTTGCTTTTTTGCAGTGGCGGGGGCAGGGGAGGTCTAAAGGTAAATATTTTCTTACTGCTCTTGTTTAACAGCTCGGCTCCCAGCAGAAGGTTGTCTGAGGCCAGACGGCAGCTGGACCGACAAAAATCTTACAGGCCCCAGAGACGACAGCGGTGTTCTGGCATTCAGGCAATGGAGTGGTATAACGGACAGCATCAACTGCTCGTGTCAGACTAGCATTTATAAACTTGCAAAAGGAACACCCGATAAGACGGCAATAAAATAAAACACACTGAACAAAAGCAGCATTTTTGCACCTCAGCGATTCAACACCAACACTAAGCGGGTCTGGAAGGTTTACAGCGCAAATCAAGCCATCTGTTTTCCAAAAACAAACCAATAGCATTTGGGCAGGCAAATGAATTTTGATAGTATAGTTATTGCTACTTCCCAGTAAGCAAGCACAGAGGCAGACAGGAGCATGGAAATGAAGAAATCAGCTTTTAAAAATGGGTTCAGGGGTTGGGGTGGGGGATAGAAAAGTTGTTCTCACAAGCAAGGAAACAAACAACCACTTTCTTCAAAATCAGGTTCCCCTGTTGGGAATACAAGTGGCAACCCGAATTGATTGCCTGCTTTTCCATTTCAGAGAAAGGGAGAGGGAGAAAGATTATAACAGAAGCTCTTTAAGGTGAAACACAATCCACGAGTTAACATAACTTGGCAGCCGACTCTATTTAAAGTATCAGCCAACCCCCACTTCTGCTGTTCTGTCATTTCTTGAACAAAATCCTTTCTGTACACATAATATAGGCTCCACTGCAGGTAGTTATCCAGCCCTTACGCTTTCAGTTAAAACAACAACATCAACAACACAAAGCTATCTTGTTTCACCCCTTTGAAGTGCCACTGTTCCACACTGGGTGCATTAAAAATAAAACGTTCTTTTCCCCGCACAGATTAGCTTCACGAAAGCTCGTGCAAGCGAGAAGCAAAGTGGAATTAAGAGAGACAAGGAAGGCTCCCCTCCGTCCCTCAAATTTCTCCTCCATCCTGGCTCCTTAAATCATGGCATTAAAACGCAACAAAGATAGAGGTCTGCAGAAAAACAGGAAAAATATAAACGGGTACCTTTCCGACAAGGATGGGGGCAGTTTGCAGTGATCTTTCTCTGTGTTGGAGGGATGTGGATCTTACAGAGATCTTGGAGGCTGCAGTATTCTCTTTGGTCACAATTGATCACATTACGACAAGAGCTTAGGGATTCCGAGAGCAAGAGCTTCTTCTAAAAGGGGCAGCGTCCTCCCTTCTCGTCCTCCTTCCCTGCTGCTCCCAAACCTCACTCAGCTTGCAGGAGCTGTTTCTTAAAGCTGACCTCAGAAAGCACCTCGGGATGCGCGCATTTTCTTGTGACACGCCCCCTGTTACTTGGTTACTGACACATAGCTGACATGGCCAAGAGCCCAGGTAAGGAGCCAATTCACCCCTGAGCTGAACTCCTCTGAAAGAAAGTGCTCTTGCCTAGGGAATACCATCTGGCTTGCTTTGGCAAGTGCTTTGCAGGCAAAAGGTCCCACTAAAGGAGTTGGGGCTGGAGAAAGTCTCTGCCTGAAACCTTGGCAACTTGGCACCCATGCACACTTTGGGGTGTTGTAAAATAAAAAATATGCCCTTTTCCCTTATGGGGTATCCAAGAGCCCATATAGAGTCCTTACATAGGTTCCCTATTGGTAGGAGAAAACAACAGAGGCCAACCAGAGAATATTGAGAAGCAAAGCAGCTAGTAAGCTTGATCTTTATTGATCTGTTGCAACAGGGTGCTCCCGTCACACGCAGGAGAGGAAGAGGACCCCCAAAATTGCTGTGCAAGGGCTTATAAAGACTTTTGAAATTCCCATCCTCTAGATCAAGACCACCCCCAGAAACATTATGCATACATCACAGAAGGGGTGTAACCTAACACCACCCCTCAGATACATCCCACCTACATCACAGAACTTTTAATATTGTTTTTCTCCTGTTGTTGTTTATCTCCTGTCTAGCAGGTTACTTGATTGGATTTCCTGGGGAGCCTGGCCATTCTTTTGTAGTGGTAAAATACTTATTTCCTGGGCCAGGTCACAGGCTCACACCTTATTCAAACAGACATATCCTTGAGACAGGATTTGTGGGGAAAGAGACAATGGGGAGGCTTTTCCAGGTTAACCTTGCAGAGAAAGGATTTGGTCAGTTTAGGAATCAAAATGGTTCCAGGTTGGTCTTCCTGTGTTGATCTATGTATGTGCAGTTATGAACATTACCATATATCTAAGACCATAAAATTCCTATCACAGGGGCATGTGCTTCGTTTTCTCAGCATTGCTGTGTTTTTATATTCCACATATGTGTTTCGTTCTGCCAGCAACAGGAAAAGAAGCTTGGAAAGGGGGAAGAGGGACTGATGTGTGACTGAGGTCACAAAAGAATTCGGTGCAAGGAGGACATAAAGACACACGCTTGATCCTTTGCTACATTAAGCCTGTAGATTTCACCCGTTTACTTTCACATCTTTTGATTCCCTGTACTTTGGCTAAAACCATCCCCATTCTGCCTCGATTCTTAAAGTCACATTCTGCTCTAAGAGCAGCTTGATTCTGCAACTTGATTAAATTATGCAAGCAAAACTCATTTATACAATTTCTTCTGCATGGCATGGGGCCGTGCTGTTTTTACTGTAATTATCGGTATGGTTTTAATAGATTTTTTAGAAGTATATAGTTTTAATCTTATCCAGGCTTATCTGTTTTTAGTGACTGTTTTTAGGGGTTCTTATTTTTGTCTGTAAGACGCCTAGAGTCCCATGAGGGGGAAAAACGGGGTATAAATAAATATATTATAATAATAATTAATGCATACCAGCCTTTCCCAACCTGGTGCCCTCCTGATCTTTTGAACTACAACTCCCATCGGCCCCTCAGAGGCTTAACAAACTGAAGGACATCGTCCTCTTTCTATGCTCCTCCCGATGGAAACATGCAGATGGGGACAGATATGCCCCTGCTTTAAGTCATTTACATACTGTCTTCTCTTTTGTATTATTTACTACAGAGTTTGATGGCTAAGCTCTTTAGTAACGAAACGTCTGATTCCTGGAACAACATCCAAGCACTGAACCACTGGTATATAAAAAAAGGACTCTTTATTACTGCGTTTGCAACTATTCAAGATAAAATCTATTTTGAAAAGAGAATAAATGAACACTGAACCACTGATAAATTACAAGTGAACTATTTATTTACTGTGTTTGCAATTGTTTAAGATAAAAAACTACAGTGGTACCTTGGGTTAAGAACTTAATTCATTCTGGAGGTCCGTTCTTAACCTGAAACTGTTCTTAACCTGAAGCACCACTTTAGCTAATGGGGCCTCCCGCTGCCGTCGCGCGATTTCTGTTCTCATCCTGAAGCAAAGTTCTTAACCCGAGGCACTATTTCTGGGTTAGCGGAATCCGTAACCTGAAACGTCTGTAACCTGAAGCATCTGTAACCCGAGGTACCACTGTATTTGGGAAAGAAACTACTTTTGCCATACTTGTGGACATTTATTGTTTGTTTACAGATAGTTGTCTTGATGATATTATCTTGCGTCGGTTGCAGTAGTCATTGTACAGTGGAACCTCAGTTTTTGAACGTAATCTGTTCTGGAAGACCATTTGACTTCTGAAACATTCAAAAACCGAGGAAAAATGGGCGGTCGGCAAAAAAGAAAAAAGAAAAACATGCAGCGGAGGCTGTTCGGCTTCCGAGATGCTCAAAAACCGAGGTTCCACTGTACCACCACCCTGTTCATTGTTTTATTGTCAGAGCATCACATGCCAGGACAAGGTTTCAAAGAAAGATGTGCTCTTCCAAGCCCACATTCTCAGCATGTTTGCACTCCTGTCCCAGCAACAACCACCCTGGCTTTGTCACAGCCGCAAAATGGCACGATCCCCAAGGACATGCTGTATGGGGAACTGGCTTCAGGCACCAGGCCCACTGGCAGACCAACTCTGTGTTACAAAAATGTCTGCAAATATAATAATAATAATAATAATAATAATAATTTTATTTATATCCCGCCCTCCCCAGCCGAAGCCAGGCTCAGAGCGGCTAACAACATTAAAAATAACACAGTTTACATAAAATCACAATAAATTAATTGAAATATTCTGTAATCAATTCATTCTAAAATCAATTCAGAGTCAAATTAATGGCAATCATTGGGCTAGAGTTCTATGAGGATTACAGAAGGAGGGGGTCAGGCTGTGCCCTGGCCAAAGGCCTGGTGGAACAGCTGTGTCTTGCAGGCCCTGCGGAAAGATGTCAAGTCCCGCAGGGCCCTAGTCTCTCGTGACAGAGCTTTCCACCAGATCGGGGCCACGGCCGAAAAAGTCCTGGCTCTGGTTGAGGCCAGCCTAACCTCCCTGTGGCCCGGGATCTCCAAGATGTTTTTATTTGAAGACCGTAAGCTCCTCCGTGGGACATACCAGGAGAGGCAGTCCTGTAGGTACGAAGGTCTTCGGCCGTATAGGGCTTTATAGGTTAAAACCAGCACCTTAAACCTGATCCTATAGTCCACCGGGAGCCAGTGCAGCTGGTATAGCACCGGGTGAATGTGATCCTGCGGCAAGGACCCTGTAAGGAGTCTCGCCGCGGCATTCTGCACCTGCTGGATTTTCTGGGTCAGTCTCAAGGGCAGCCCCACATAGAGTGAGTTACAATAATCAAGTCTGGAGGTGACCATCATGTGGATCACAGTGGCTAGGTCAGGGCGAGAAAGGTAAGGAGCCAACTGATTAGCTTGGCGGAGATGAAAAAATGCCGCCTTTGTTATAGCTGTAATCTGCACCTCCATAGAGAGGGAGGTGTCGAAGATTACATTTTTCACCTAACAGTCCACAAAAGCACAAAATGGGGACAGCGGAACTGGGAAACGGAGGCTGTCCTTGCTCAATACTGGAACGTTGGGCGGCTAATTTAGGAGCATTCCCTGCGAGTTTCAGGGCAACCACCTGACAACGCCTAAGCTTAGCCGGATCCTACGAAGCTTGGCTTTGCCTTTCAAGACAAACCCCTTCCCTCTCAGAGTGAAGGGATTCAGCCTGGGCCCATCACTGCCCCTCCTGGGGATCATTTGTGCAGGTTCACATCTGCTCAGCATGTAATTATTGCACCATCTCTAGGGAAGCCGAAATGCTGATGTGCTAAATCTGCCAACAGCAAACATGTCTTAGTAAACAGGAGCCATCCCCATCAGCACCAGATCTGTAGGATCAAGGGCTTAGGACAATTTCCCGGATTACCGTATTTTTCGCTCCATAAAGCTAAAGGTAAAGGGACCCCTGACAATTTAGGTCCAGACATGGCCGACTCTGGGGTTGCGGCACTCATCTCGCTTCACTGGCCTAGGGAGCCAGAGTACAGCTTCCGGGTCATGTGGCCAGCATGACTAAGCCACTTCTGGCAAACCAGAGCAGCACATGGAAACGCCGTTTACCTTCCCGTCGGAGAGGTACCTATTTATCTACTTGCACTTTGACGTGCTTTCGAACTGCTAGGTTGGCAGGAGCAGGGACTGAGCAACGGGAACTCACCCCGTCGCGGGGATTTGAACCGCTGACCTTCTGATCGGCTAGTCCTAGGCTCTGTGGTTTAATCCACAGTGCCACCCGCATCCCAATTTTCGCTCCATAAGACACACCTGACCATAAGACATGCCTAGTTTTTAGCGGAGGAAAACAAGAAAAAAAATATTCTGAATGAAATAGTGGATGTAAGATTTTTGTAGTTCATGCTGTGGCCACAGACATGATATGTGATTTGACGGTGAGTTTGGGGTAGCCCAATGCAAAAATCCTGAGAATACATATGGATCCGTGCTTTGTAACCACATTTTTGCACCATTCCTGGAGCAGTTTTTTCCTCCTCCTTTTCTTCTAATTTCTCTCCTCATTGCTTGTTTTAGTATTCCTGTCTCCTCTCCTTGCAAGTTCACTGTCTTTACCTCCCCCCTCCCAGGCAGCCTCCTTTATCGCTAGAGTCCCTTATCTCCCTCCCAATCACTTGCCGATCAGCTGCTCAGTGGCTTTGTTTCAACACCCCCTTCCCTCTTTCTAAAAAAAAAAAAAAAAAGCACAATCTGCTTTTTGCCCCTGGGCAACTCGGCTCCAGGGACCAAGCATTCACTCCATAAGACGCACAGAAATTTCCTCTTACTTTTTAGGAGGAAAAAAGTGTCTCTTATGGAGCGAAAAATACGGTCATAGGATGCATCCAAACACCCAGAATTAAATTAGTGCTAGAACTGATCCTATAACAACATCTGCATTAACAATTTCACTTCTGCCCCACTTGCAACTATGGCAGAAGCGGCTGATGGCCACAAAACAACAGCCCCATGGACCAGTGGTCAAAAGTGCCGTTATGACAACAATGTGAGTGGTAGAGGCCTCTGTAAGACAGCCATCAGCCCCTTATTCGTGACTCTCCTGATTTGAGGACATAGTCCTGCCGCCATCCTCTGCTTTGATCCTGTTTTCTTTTGAGCTGTTTTAAGATATATATTTTTAACTTTGCTGCGTTAAATGTGAATTCTGTACTTGACCTCTTTTGTAATGTTTCATTTTGAAACATTTCAGGTAATATTTTAGTTTCCTGTTAATTAAAGGTAAAGAGACCCCTGACCATTAGGTCCAGTCGTAACCGACTCTGGGGTTGCGGCGCTCATCTCGCTTTCTTGGCTGAGGGAGCCGGCGTACAGCTTCTGGGTCATGTGGCCAGCATGACTAAGCTGCTTCTGGCGAACCAGAGCAGCGCACGGAAATGCCATTTACCTTCCCACCGGAGCGGTACTTATTTATCTACTTGCACTTTGACGTGCTTTCGAACTGCTAGGTTGGCAGGAGCACGGACCGAGCAATGGGAGCTCACCCCGTCGCGGGGATTCGAACTGCCGACCTTCTGATCGGCAAGTCCTAGGCTTTGTGGTTTAACCACCCGCGTCCCTTTTCCTGTTAATTACATTGCTTTAAATGGATACTTTATATCTGACTTTCTTCAGCAATGTTCTGTTCTGGATTGTATTGTTTGCTGTTTTAATGCAGGCTGTGAACCGCTTTGAGATTGTTTCCCCCCTTAAAAATATGAAGTGGTACAGAGATTAAATGAACAGCAATACAACAATAATATTCTATGAACTGGTAAGTCTGCATAACTCTGCAAAGGAGTGGAACAACAATTCCATCAAAGGAGCAAAACGATCCACCCCTCTCTTTTTTAGACGTGCGCAGTGTACATTTCACAACACGGCGTCTATGCTGACACATTGCTTCAACAAATGTTTCGATAGATAGCAATGTGATGAATCCATGACTAAGCAAAGCCGCTGGGCTTTCAACATGCAAAGACCAATGCTGGAAGAGACTAAGGTTTTTGGATCACGTTACACCAACAATTCCCTTCCTTTATTATCAACCTTTTATATGTTTATATGGCCAGGTATTGGCATTGAAAACAGGAGCCAGAGGTGAAATTAAATCCCGTCTGTGCCCACAAAGCTTCTAATGTCTTTAACGTCACCTTGATGCACAGGAAGTTGGGCCAACAAAGAACTGCTCTTGGGCATGAAAGGATGGAAGGAATTTATTCCGCTCTCTGTGGAGGTGAAGTTCTTTCATACAAAATTGCACTTGCCGTATCAGTACCAGGCGAGTAATTACCTCCAAGATAACTGTCTTCAAGGTGATTACTTGCATGGCAAATACAATTTCATATGAAAAGACTCGTGCTGTTTTGAAATTAATTTTTATTAAAGATTTTCTGCGTTACAAAGCAAACAAATAAACAAGGAAAACTACATACAGCGTCTCCACTTTCAATTAATCAAGTCTTTTTCACAGTTCATTTACATTTGGTGTGGGACTTTATTGTTACAGATATTTGGGGGGAAAGAGAGGGGGGAGAGCAGGGCCGGATTTAGGTTTGAGGAGGCCCTTAGCTACTGAAGGTAATGGGGCCCTTTATGTCCAGCTGTCCTTTGTCAACAACAAACTGTGCCTGTTTTTTTGCGTTGAATATATGCTGTATGGTAATTTATGGACATAATACTTATCTAAAGCCATTTGCACATAACAAAATATGTATTTTATTGAAGTAATTGTTGAACTGAAATACAATTACGGAGAAGTATATTAATAGTGAAATACAATTAAGAAGAAGTATATTAATGGTGAAATAATTATTAAGCTCTAACTTAAAATGATTTTTTATTCATAACAAACTTAATAATGCAAACACACTGGCATTTGGCAATAACAAAAGTTCCTTTAGAAACACAGTTTACAAAGACTCACCCTAGGCACCCTATATATAGAAATGAGCAAACCAGTGATATTTTAGAGAGCAGGCTAGCAGGCGAGGCCCATTACTTCCATCATAGGAGCCCACATAACACAAAACACTGTTGCTGTTGTTGCAGGTTTTATTTTATTTGTTTTTTATATTATATTTTGGAAATGTACATCCAGTTGTGTTTTTCCCTTTAAATTTTTTTGGGGGCCCCCAAGAGAGTGGGGCCCTAAGCTATAGCTTGTTTAGCTTATACAAAAATCCAGCACCGGGAGAGAGAGCGATGGCAGAGGATGGTGTAGGGATAATGATATTTCTTTCTATTGATATAAGGATGCGGGTAGCGCTGTGGTCTAACCACAGAGCCTAGGACTTGCCGATCAGAAGGTTGGTGGTTCGAATCCCCGCGACAGGGTGAGCTCCCGTTGCTTGGTCCCTGCTCCTGCCAACCTAGCAGTTCAAAAGCACTGTCAAAGTGCAAGTAGATAAATAGGTACCACTCCGGCGGGAAGGTAAACGGCGTTTCCGTGCGCTGCTCTGGTTTGCCAGAAGCGGCTTGGTCATGCTGGCCACATGACCCGGAAGCTGTACACCAGCTCCCTCGGCCAATAAAACGAGATGAGCGCCGCAACCCCAGAGTTGGCCACGACTGGACCTAATGGTCAGGGGTCCCTTTACCCTTTACCTTTTTTTCTATTGCATAGTGTTTGTGCAGGGTTTTTGTGTCGAGTTGCAGCAAAAGGGAAGGCTGGGAATAACCCAGGCAGCCTACAAGGATTTGATTTGAGGTTCCATTTTGGTAGAGCATGTTTTCAAATGCACTATTCCATACAGGAGTGACTGCCCTTAGGTTGGGTTATCTGTCAGTTCATATATCAGGAGGGGGAAACTTGGGACCTTTGTCTAGAATTCAGGGCGGCCCAACACATGGCCTGAGGGCTGTATGTGGCCCTTAAAGCCTTTTTGGCGGCCCTTGGCAACCTTTGACGTCCCCACAGCCCTCATGCTGCCTTCCTAAAGCTGGGTAGGAGGCACTGGGCTTTGGGAAGGAGGCATGGGGGATCTGACAAAGTCATAGAGCTACAGTTCATCAACATCTTTGGACAGGCATAGGCAAACTTGGCCCTCCAGATGTTTTGGGACTACAACTCCCATCATCCCTAGCTAGCAGCACCAGTAGTCTGGGATGATGGGAATTGTAGTCTCAAAACATCTGGAGGCCCGAGTTTGCCTATGCCTGTCTTTGGTTGCACAGACATCATTTCCTTCCTGTTCCTCTTGTGATGTGCTCTGACTAAACAGCAACAAGTCCATCTTAGTAAGCAGAATCACACAAACAATGCAGCGTAAACATAAACAACCACCTTCCAGCCATTCCCAACCTACTATCTGCGCAAAGGAATGCTGCACCTGTTGAATGCCTTCCTTGCCAAGCTATGCTTTACCTGCTGGACCTCTGCCAGGGTAGAGAAGAGGGGTCCCACCCAAGTGCCTGGAATGCTCCACCTAATGAATGCCTGCTATTGCCAAGCTGTGCTTTACCAGTTGGACCTCTGCCAGAGTAGGGAAGAGGGCTCCAAATGAAGTGCCTGGAATGCTCTACCTGTTGAATGCCTGCCTTTGCCAAGCACTGCTTTACCAGTTGGACCTCTGCTAGGGTAGAGAAGAGAGCCCCAAACCAAGTGCCTCGATTGCTCCACCTGTTTTGCCAAGCCCTAGTCTACCGACCTGTGCCAGGGTAGAGAAGGGGGTCCCACCCAAGTGCCTGGAATGCTCCACCTGTTGAATGCCTGCCTTTGCCAAGCCATGCTCTACCAGTTGGACCTTTGCCAGGGTAGAGAAGAGGGGTCCCACCCAAGTGCCTGGAATGCTCCACCTGTTGAATGCCTGCCTTTGCCAAGCCGTGCTCTACCAGTTGAACCTCTGCCAGGAAAGAGGAGAGGTGGCTGGCCCCTCCCTCTCCGCCCCACCCATTGGGCCGGGCCCTTCCCACCGCGGACTCCTCCCCCGCGAGTCTCACCTACCCGGCACCTAAGGCGACCCTTCTCCGCGCCGCCCGCCTGGCTGCTCCTCCTCCTCCCTCGGCGACGGGGCGTCTGAGGCGGCGCGAGCAGGCAGCCAGGCACTCGCGCGGGCAGCCCCTGATCCGAGGCCGGGGTCCTCGTGGGGAAGCTGGGCTGCCGTACAGCAGCATGGCGGCGCTGTGCCGAGCGAGCCCGCGCTTCCTGCGCAAGCCCGGGCTCTGCCGTACAGCGCGGGCCCTGTCTTCAGGTACGGGGATCCCCCATGGTCGGCGGGGGTCGCAGGCGGGCGGAGGCGGAGCAGGCGCCTCTGCAAAGCTGGGCTGGAGAGGAGAGGACCCTGGCAGGCAGGAATCCAACCGGGGAAGCCTTCCCCAGCCTGGGGTCCCGCCTTTGCATTCTCCCCTATTGGGGGAGGCTTTGCCTGTTGAATTCCTGCCTGCTACGCTACCGGTTTAAGCCACGACAGTAGGAGGCAGGGAAGAAAAAGAGCAGCCAGCAATGGTCATTATTACGCTTAGAAAATCTGTGCGAGCTTTAGTCTATTTTATTGTGGTCTTAACTTTCTGTGTGTTTTTAACTGGTCCTAATTTTTTAAGGGATACTTTTATTACTTTATCTTTTTTTGGGGGGTGGGGACCTGCTGTGTGTTTTTTTCTACACTGAAGCGGGGTGTGTGGGTGTGTGTGTGTGTGCAAAGGGCCCAAACCAAGTTCCTGGAATGCTCCACCTGTTGAATGCCTGCCTTGCCGATTATAGGCAGGGTGTTTCAGAGCACATATCTTAGATGGGTGCCCTGCCTTGGCGCCTAAGTTATCAAGAAATTTGAAATTACACACAAAAATGGTGAGTGGGTATCAAGATGGTTATTTACATTTTTGGATCTGCCAATTCTCAGATTAATTTAGCAGTGCGAAGGGAAGAGTTTTATTTGTTTGCCGAAGTATTTCTGTACCACCAGAAATACGAGTTATCAAGGCAGTGTATGGTGTTGAACCCTAAAACACCATTTAAAATAAAAAATAAAAATGCACAGGGGTGTACTGGCTGTTCAAAAATAAAAATTAAACTGCTACAAAGGCATAAAAAGGTTTTTAAGAGACACTTGAAAGTCAAAGGCCATTTAAGCCTCTGATCTCAGTGACTGAGCTGGGATAAAAGGTCTGAGGTGGTCCTTAAAGTATGCTAGGCCCAAATCCTTCAGGTTTTGTCAAGCAGGACAATTATATCAACAAAGTACCCCTTTGTAAATACAAATAATTGATTTCTGTCAACAGTTGATGGCCTGCCATCTACATAGACCTGCAAATGATAGGGTTCCCAGCTATGAAATAAAATGCAAGAATCCAGTGACATCTTAAAAGACCAACCAGTGTTTTGTGCTCTGTACAGAATAGGATATGTTGCAATCGGTTTGTGTGCTTGCTTCCACAGCACTCCACGCCAAACCATGGTTTAGTGTGAACATGTGGGCTCCCGGTTTGTTCTGGGTTTTACAGGTTGTGGTTAGTCTGGAGAAAACTAAACCACAAACCTGGGTTTCAGTAACACAAAAGCCAGGTAAGCCTGTCGTAAGCTTCCCTGAGTGTAGCAGCATCTGTAATCTCTTTCCTGTCTTCACACTAAACCATGGTTTGACTTGTGTGTGCAGAAAAGGCCTATATGCAAATCTCCACAAGAGCTTTTCTCTTGTTGTAGTAGCTTAAAATGTGTCAGCTATGAAATAATTTTGGTACCTTCCTGGACGATTACATTCTTTCTCTGAAAGGTGTCTCTGTGAGGGGCCTTGTCACAAATACTACCATATTTTCACTCACCTGCCCATGTACCTTTCTTCTCTTACCTAAAATCTACCAACTGTAATTCGGCTCTTTGCTTGATTACTTGGCTGTGATTCGCACTCGCTCCAGCTGACTAGGCAAAGAGGTTGTTCCAAGCATTACTGTTTACTTTATCCGGGTGGCAAGGCCTAGTTCTTACCGCAGGGATCAACTTGTTTCTGTCTTGTAGCTCTTCAAACTGCAGGTGTTCACTAACATGACTAGATGCACTATTGCAAATAAATCTTCCTGCGTAGATGTCAGGGAGAACTATTGTAGACTTGCCTTTTACCTGATACAAAATCATAGAATTGTAGAGTCGGAAGGGACCCCAAGGGTCATCTAGTCCAACCCTCTGCAATGAAGGAATCTCAGCTTGTTTAAAACACAACAGATGTCCATCCAACCTCTGCTTAGAAACATCCAAGGAAGGAGAGTCCGCCATTTCTTGTGGCAGTCTGTTCCACTGTCAAATGGCTCTTACTATGCTGTGCTTATGGGGAAATTTGTTGTTTTGGTTGGCGCATTCATATAGAGTCATACCTCGGGTTACAGACACTTCAGGTTGCGTTTTTTCGGGTTATGGACCCGCCGAAACCCGGAAGTACCGGAATGGGTTACTTCCGGGTTTCAGCGGTCGCGCATGCGCAGAAGCGCTAAATCATGCTTTGTGCATGCGCAGATGCGCCGAATTGCAACCCGTGCGTGCGCAGACATGCCGCTGCGGGTTGCAAACGTGCCTCCCACAAGGATCACATTCGCAACCTGAACGTCCACTGCAATTCACAACTTTAATCTTTAATCGATCAAGTACAAAAGTAATAAAACTGAGCAACAATCAAGTTTAAAAAACCCGTTGTATTCAGGAAAACTTTTTTGGGGGTGGGGGGATTCCTTGATGTGAGCACCCATCCAGTCACTGCGGTGGTACAACATTCAAAATACAGTTAGACCCATTTTTAAAAGATCGTAGCAATTTGAATATGGTATTTATCAACATTGCTAATTTTGGGGGGGAGGTCCTTCGAACCACAGCAGGATCTGCTTCCGAGCTGACTCAACTGACTCACCCCAAAGGATCTAGTTTGTTAAGGTTGCTGGGAACTATAGCTCTGTGAGGGTGAACTACAGTTCCCAGCATTCTTTGGGGAAAGCCATATGCGTTAAGTGTAATGTGTGTACACAGCCTGAGTCTGTGTTTATAGAGATCAGCCTTGCAAGGGAAGATTCTTTTGCACCCCCCCTGAAATGCAGTATATTCTTTTGACTGCCAACTGTCTTAACCGATTTTAATCTTGCATTTTTATATTTTTTTAATCTTATATTTTTGCATTGTTTTCACCTCCCCTGGGACCTTGCGGTGAAGGATAGGTAAGAAATCTAATAGACGGTTATTCTGATAATACTAAGTACATAGGAACAGAGTTCAACCATTGGTCTATCCAACTCAGTATTGTCTTATACACTGACTGACTTCAGCTCTCCAGGGTCTCACCCAGCCCTACCTGAAGATGCCGGGGATTTGAACCCAGGACCTTCCGCAATGTGAACCAGGTGCTCCACCACTAAGCTGCAGCCCTCCCCTAAAATAATAATAATACAGTGGTACCTCGGGTTACATACCCTTCAGGTTATATGCGCTTCAGGTTACAGACTCCACTAACCCAGAAATAGTACCTCGGGTTAAGAACTTTGCTTCAGGATGAGAACAGAAATCATGTTCCGGCGGTGTGGCAACAGCAGGAGGCCCCATTAGCTAAAGTGGTGCTTCAGGTTGAGAACAGTTAACCTGAGGTACCACTGTAATAATAATAATAATAATAATAATAATAATAATAATAATTTTTATTATTTATACCCTGCCCATCTAGCTGGGTTTCCCCAGCCACTCTGGGCTGCTTCCAACAGAATATTAAAATACAATACAGTGGTACCGCGGGTTAAGAACTTAATTCGTTCCGGAGGTCCGTTCTTAACCTGAAACTGTTCTTAACCTGAAGCACCACTTTAGCTAATGAGGCCTCCCGCTGCCGCCGCACCGCCCGAGCGCAATTTCTGTTCTCATCCTGAAGCAAAGTTCTTAACCCGAGGTATTATTTCTGGGTTAGCAGAGTCTGTAACCTGAAGCGGCTGTAACCCGAGGTACCACTGTAATCTATTAAACATTAAAAAGCTTCCCTAAACTAAAATAGGAACTGCAAACAGAATCACACCCTAAATAAACACCTTGTTACTGAGCTGCCACACCCCATAACCTAGGGAATGTCCAACCTATTATCAATCCGTCCTACTTACCTTTTTTTCTCTTCCCTCTTTTTGCCTGCCGGGAAGATGCTAAAGGTGTGAGAGACAGGCAGTAGAGAAACCAGTCTGCTTTGGAAGCCAGGAGTGGAAGCAGCCGGCTGTCACATCAGCTTGGGTTTGATGGCCTGTAACGTTCCCTTCATCCCTCTGATTCTATGATATTTGCTTTGTTGTTATGCAATCTGGCCAATTCTGGGGGCCGTCTGAGGCGACTCGGGGAGGGCTGGCTGGGTTCAGATACTGTCTGTGCTTCTCAGGAAAACTTCAGCAATCTGATGGTTGATCGGGTTTCTTTTCGTTTTGTTTTTTTGGCTATATTTCATTTCCTCCCTTGTACACCCAGCGATGATAATGTGTCAGGCTTAAAAATAATCACTGCTTTGGTGTTTGTTTGTTTTTTGCACAACGGCCTGTCTGGCAACTAAACCTCAAGAAAAAAACAACCTTTTCCCTCTCAAACAATTCCCAAGGCCTTCTGAAAGAGCGCAGACCACAAAGCTGTTTTCCCCCTTCCCTCATAACCATTTAGGTCACTGAGATATGTGACAGGGGGGGGTTGTCTCCCTCTCCCCGGCACAAATAAACAGATGGAAATTTGGGGACACTTTTGACCCAGCTCCTGTCATAAGAGTCTCCCTGTGTTTCATGATGACTTATCATCTGAGAATGCAATTAAAACATGTATTTTCTGCATTGTTTTCCTAACTCGGCATGCTCGATTTGGAAATTTCTAGATTCTCAGTGCCAGGTTATGAGATGTCCTTGCTTAGAGCTGTTTTGTACTTTTCCTGCATGCTCCTGCCTAGAATGGGTGGGGAAAGCTGAGGTAATATTTTCTACTGTTGCAACAGCCTTGCAAGAGCACAAGCAGGCTCATCGCAAAGAAATTTCTGCGTGATTCTCTCTGTTTCTGTCTGTCATTCTGAAGCTCAGCAAAAAAAAAGAGGGGAGAGAGATTTGTGACACGCTTCACAGCATCTACAATTTTACAGCTGAAAATAGGAGCATTCTTGGGGACGGGGACCCTCCAAATACTGATACCATAGATTACTGCGCTGAACAATCCTTGTAATAGTAAATAAACCATAATTAAGCCAAGGGGGTGGTTCAGACAGTCGACTTTAACTATGGTTAAACTAAACCATGGTTAACTGTTATATGTGAACCAGGGCATTCCTGAAAGTTCTATTCCAGGTGTGTGAAACATTGGGCCCTCCAGATGTTGCAGAACTACATCTCCCATCATCCCTGGCCATTGGCCACGCTTGCTATGGATGCTGGGAGTTGTAGTTCGGCAACATCTGAAGAACAAAAGGTTCCCAGCACCTGTTCAACTCCATGTACCACAGGGCGAGCAACCTGTAACCACCCCCGCCAAGATAATAACAATAATAATATTTTTTTATTTATACCCCGCCCTTCCTGGTTCAGAAAACCGGGCTCAAGGTGGCTAACAACAAATTTAAAACACAATTGTGATACAACAAAAAAACCAGCATAAAATACAATATAAAAGCGTGAATAACAATAAATTCAAAGTTCAAAAATCAATTTAGGGGAAAATCCATCCAATAAACATTAGATGATCACAAGGGCTAGCTGGCTAAATTAGTCCTATTTGGGCCAGCGAGGAGACCAGGGGAGAATTAGCTGTGGGATCCCAGAGCGGGTAATCTTCATAAAAAAGGTAGGGGGAGGGAAGGAAGGGGAATAAAAGATCAGGCTAAATTCAAATTGAAAGTCAGGTGGAATAGCTCTGTCTTACAGGCCCTGTGGAAGGAGGTTAAATCCTGCAGGGCCCTGGTCTCATGGGACAGAGCATTCCACCAGGTCGGAGCCATCACTGAGAAGGCCCTGGCCTTGGAGGATAATCTGACTTCCTTAGGGCCCAGGACCTCTAATCTATGATTATTCATGGACCTTAAGGTCCTCTGCGGGGCATACCAGGAGAGGCGGTCCCGTAAATATGAGGGCCCTAAGCTGTATAACAAAATATACCATCCAAATATCAGGCTGCGTCTTCAGATACTTAGCATTATCTCTCCTGGATTGTGCTATAAAAATAAATGAAAAAATCTCCCTTCCTTTCTCTCTTTCAGAGAAGCACGAGTATGATCTCCTAGTCGTCGGGGGTGGATCTGGCGGCCTTGCTTGCGCGAAAGAAGGTAATTCATGGCATCATGCGCAGTTGTGAGGCGCCCTAACTTTGCTAGGGATAATTGTGAAAGGGGTCAAGAATAAAACTCAACATCATAGCACCATTCTATAAATCAATGGAATACGAATACTGTGGGAGAGCAGGGGGTAGAGGAGGAAGACTCTGTGTAGACAAGGAAGAATTAAAGGAGGAAGAAGGGGCTTACAATCCACATTAAGCACAAAGGGCTTGTCCACACTTCCACTTGTGGTCTGAACTGTTTTCCACTTGAACCATACTTTTCTAGGCATGGGTCAAAGCGGTTCTGCCTTTCCCCTTCCGCTTCCCCTGGAAAACCTGCTCTTTGGTTCTGAGAACCAAATGACTAACCACAGAAAACCCGATTGCTGTTTGTTCCGATTGAGCTCCAAAGATCAGGTTTTCCTGAGGGAAGGAGGCAGGGCATACAGAGATGTGGATAGTCTATCAGTGGCTATTCACCACAATTGCTATGCTCTGTCTCCACTGTTGGGGGCACTATGCCTCTAAATATTTGTTTTGCTAGGAATTTCAGGTGGGCAGAGCACTGTGGCGCCCAGGTCCTCCTTTTGAGCTTCCCGTGGGCATCTGGTTGGCCGTTTTGAGAACAAGGTGCTGGATTTTGGCCCGAATTATTAGCAGGGCTCTCCTTGGGTTGAGTTATCTCAACATTATCTCTGCCTGGCCTTTCGCCCAAAAGGGGTAATGAAATTCACCATGCTGTAGCAAGGTCTGCATCTGTAAATCATTATTGCAATGTGTTAGTTGGCAGCTCATCTGAGGGTGATCCTCCCAGTTGCTTTTGTTGCTCTAAAGGTAAAGGTACCCTTGACCATTAGGTCCAGTCGTGGCCAACTGGGGTTGCAGCGCTCATCTCGCTTTATTGGCCGAGAGAGCCGGTGTACAGCTTCCAGGTCATGTGGCCATCTGGCGAACCAGAGCAGCGCACGGAAACACCATTTATCTTCCCGCCAGAGCGGTACCTATTTATCTACTTGCACTTTGATGTGCTTTGGAACTGCTAGGTTGGCAGGAGCAGGGACCGAGCAACAGGAGCTCACCCCGTCGTGGGGATTCAAACTGCTCACCTTCTGATTGGCAAGTCCTAGGCTCTGTGGTTTAACCCACAGCGCCACCCGCGTCCTTTTGTTGCTCTCGCTCAGGGTTATTAGCTAGTCTGTTTCTCCCATATGTTTTTGGACTCCCAACTGCAATCATCTCTGGCCAGCATGACCAATGGTCAGGAACAATGGGAGTTGTGGTCCAGCAGAACTTAGATCACCTTTCCTTTGTGGGGCTGCTTGTCCGGATTGCCTTTAATAGAGGGCTTGTGATTCCCACTACCCTGACTGGCTTGGGGCTGGGGCGGCAGGTGTTGTCAGATGAGGAAGAGGGGCAGGAAGACATGGATGGTGCCATAGGCAAAGAGCAGCTTGAGAGGGAGGATGGAGGCCCTTTGCCCCTCTGCCGCATCCCAGAGGTTGCAATTAAGAGTCAAGCAGCAGTGGTGTTTAATGTAGATCACAGGAGCCAAAGTGTTCCCTCCTGGTTTTGTTGGACCACAACTCCAATCATCCCTAACCATTGGCTGTGCTGGCTGGGACTGATGGAAATTATAGCCCAAAACATCCAGAGAGTGATTACCGTACTTTTCTGTGTATAACACGCCCCCTTGTATAACACCCCCCCTATTTTGGGGACTCCAAAATGGCCCAAAGTTGTTGCTTTTTGGGGGAGGATTGAGAAGAGTTGTTGAGTTTGGGGGGGGGATGCAGTAAATCACTAGCCCGACGATTGCAATTGCTTGCACCGCTTGCTAACAATCGCTCGCATCTGCTACAAGCGTCTACCCAGTCACCAACAGCAGAAGTAAATAGCAGCTCTTGACGCAGCAACCAATCACACACCCATTTCCCACAGCCAATACAAAGCGACCCTTCGCCACAGCCGCCAATCACACTTCAGTTCGCCAGTGACAATCTGCAGCTCGCGGTTGCAACCAATCACCCGTCACCCCTACTCACTACCCATGTATAAGACGCCCCCAGTTTTTAAACCTTGTTTTTGAGTAAAAATAAACCCCTAGTCTTATACACAGAAAACTACGGTACATTGGCTACCTCTGGCCTGATTTATTGTGGAACATCATAATGTGACAGCAAAGTTACTGTCATTGAAATTCAGAATGAAAATAAGGGAACAGCGTCTTGGCCAGCTCTTGGTTATTTAATTTATTGTGTATTACTGTATTCTAAATTTAAGTTATTGTGTATTCTAATGGGCTATTGGATATTACTTTATTGTTCATTTTATAGCTGTGCTTCTTTGTATTGGGTCAAATTTTTAGGATGTGTGTGACCTTCATTGTATTTTCTGTTTGTTTGTTTGTTTGTTTGTTTCTTCTGCTTATAGACTGCCTTATTCGTAGTAATATAGAAAGGCGGTATACAAATTAAAAGTGAGAATGAAGTGAAATGAAATTGAATGTGCTGTGATTACAGTAAGGTGCGGTGGATGTTGGGTACAGGCAGTGGCAAAACTACCATATTTTTCGCTCTATAAGACACACCAGACCACAAGACGTGCCTAGTTTTTGGAGGAGGAAAACAAGAAAAAAAATATTCTGAATCTCAGAAGCCATAACAGCAAGAGGGATCGCTGCGCAGTGAAAGCAGCAATCCCTCTTGCTGTTCCGGCTTCTGGGATAACTGCGCAGCCTGCATTCGCTCCATAAGACGCACACACATTTCCCCTTACTTTTTAGGAGGCAAAAAGTGAGTCTTATAGAGCAAAAAATACAGTAACTCACCAAAGCAAACCCCCCCCCCAACATTGGCACCCTAATGTTGATGCCTTACTCTTTCCTTTAAAATAACTGTGCGATTTCTTTTTATTTCTGAAGCTTCCCAATTTGGAAAGAAGGTAGCTGTGTTAGATTATGTGGAACCATCTCCAAAAGGTAAGAAACAATTTGGTCATCATCACCCTCATGTAATATATTGTTATGGATCTGCGGTTGCTAAATGCTTGGGTTTAATCAATGTTTAGGATTTAATTCGAACTGGTACGTTATGACTGGCAATAGCCAGACTCCTGCGTATTTAAGAGAGGGGTTAGCCGCTGTCAACCCCTTGGAATTAGCATATGTGAAGAGCTAACCCAGGAATGGCTTCATGAGTTGTGCCTTGGACATTGTAATCCTAGCAAAATCAACAAGTGTTAATGGAGTCGGACAGACTTCTTTGTGAGGTGAACGGCCAGGGGGAGGATAAACAATTAGGGAGTTCAGAGCATCAAAGGATTAGGCATTAACACAATACAGGATCAAAGGAAATAGGCGTGAGAATGCAGATGTGAGGCCTCTTCCTGAGGTAGAAATGGAAAGCTGGGAAGCTATGGGGTCAGAAGGGATGTAACCAGGAAGCAGAGAAAAGAACAGTAAAGCTAGGTTGTGCCCTGCAGCACAGGATAGGCTGCAGAGAAAAGATGGTGCTGGGTTTTTGTTGCTGCTGCTATGAAATAAGCTGTCACATCTTGGGGTGCTGCTGCTACGAGCCCCTCCATAAGTAAGCTCATGTTCGGCGAAAGATTCCAGCATTGCAGGGGGTTGGACTAGATGACCCTTGTGGTCCCTTCCAACTCTACAATTTTATGATTTTATAAATGTGTAAATAAGCCTTATATGATCAATATACTATAGCCGTCATCGTGCCTCATTGCCAAAGGTACGCCTACACCAACTGGAATCTTGTGTAGCAGCTTCACGAAGATTGGAGTGGCACATAACAATATGAATCAAAATACAGATTGGTTTTAGGAAGTTTTCACTGTTTTCAGATGGTATTGTATTTGCTTTAAGTTGCATTTCTCTTTGCCGCCCCGGGCTCCTTGGGGAGGAAAGGTGGAGCATAAATTCAAATAATAACAATATTTATATATGTCGTTTTAAGGACAGGCTGGGGCACTGAACACATGCGCCCGTTTGTTCTGTTTTTCTGCAGGAACCAAATGGGGTCTTGGTGGAACCTGTGTGAATGTTGGTTGCATTCCTAAGAAGCTGATGCACCAAGCAGCTCTTCTGGGAAGTTCTCTCAAAGACGCCCAGCGCTATGGCTGGAATGTATCCTATCCTGTGAACCATGACTGGTAAAATGAATCCCATTTATCTCCTTTGCTGAAGGGACGGGGGAATTTATAGTTGTTTCTAAACTACGACTCCCATCACCTCTGACCAGTGGCCTTGCCAGCTGGAAGTGGTGGAATTTGGAGTCTTAACAACATCTGGAGGCCCACAGATTCCCCATTCTTACTTTATGGTGTTCCACATATATGTGATGGAGGGAACACCACATTTCTTCTGGAATAACTAAGAACTGTGGTCATTTGTTCTGGGATAACAAACCTGGACGCAATCTGTCCAATACACACAATACTCTGCCCCGATGCCTCGCATCTTGTTCTGCAGAGGCCTGGAGTTCATGGGGATAGGATGTGGGCAGCAGTCCTAGACTGACTTAAGCCACATCTGCATTGTACATTTAAAACGCCGTATTTTTCACTCTATAGGACGCACTTTTTCCCCTCCAAAAATGAAGGGGAAATGTGTGTGTGTCCTATGGAGCGAATGCAGGCTTTCGCTGACTCGCTCTCCAGGCTTCAGGAAGCTATCCGCAAGCCTTCAAAGTCCGCAGGGAGTTCCCGCCGAGCTCCGAAGGCCTGCGGATTGCAGCCTGCAGCCCGAAGCCCGGGAAGCGCAGTGCTGAGCTCCCCGGGCTTCGGGCAGCTATCCGCAGCGCTTGCCGCCACTCCCGGACCTGTTCTGGGGGCTGGGGTGGGGGAAGCTCGGGCTTCCCCCGCCCCATCCGCGCGGCTAAAAACGAAGCCGCGCGTAGCCTCTCCCGGCTGGAGAGGTTGTGCGTGGCTAAAGAGGAAGCCAAGACAGCCAGCGGGATGGAAATATATTTTTTTTCTTTATTTCCCTCCCCAAAAACAAGGTGCGCCCTATGGTCCGGTGCGCCTATAGAGCGAAAAATATGGTACCACCATATCGTTTTAAACAGGGCTTCCACAAAAGCATCCTGGGAACTGTCATTTCTTAAGGGCACTGAGGGTTGTTAGGAAACCCCTGTTCTCCTCACAGGGTTACAGTGCCTGAGTCCCCTGGTTTTTAAACTGCTCTGGGAATTGTAGCTCTTCAGAGGAAAGTACAGTTCCTAGGATTCTTTCGGGGGGAGTTTGTGACTGTCCAAGTAGTATAATAGTGCTTTAAATGCATGCTGCAGATGTGGCCTGAATTGAGCGAAAGCTCATCAGGCAGATGCATCGGGCAAATTCACAGCAGGAGGAGTCGAATCAGATCAAGTCAGTTGTATGGAGAGAGAGGCCAGGAAAGTTGGGTTCAGGAGAAAGCAGCACAGGTTCAGCACCTTGGAAAGCTCCAGGTTCAGCACCACGGAAAGCTCCTAGTGGGTTTGTAGTGCAAGGCAGGGAAACCTCACGACTGGGGCTGAATGTGGCCCTCCGGGAGTTTCTGTCTGGCCCTCAAATAGAGCTACGCCCCTCGCTGGCTGTACTTATCATCCAATGAGAAAGCGCTGCATGGACAGAGGCTTGGTGGTATTCTCCATCTGGGACCCACACTTGTGCCTTCAGGGCAAACGGACTCGGATATTTGCATGGAAATTCCAGGTTCTTCTCCTGCTCTGTTCCCAGCTTGGCGTCCTTGCCCAGAAGAGTGCCTTTATTTATGGTCTTGATTTGCAATCATTCCCTAAGTAATAGCTCACAGCGCTTGCAGATAAATCAAACTGAAAGCCGGTTACTGTGCAGCGTGGTAAAATAAACAGCAGGATTCTAACGCCGCCTTGTATTATCCAGAGCGCTAAAGAATTCGGCTGGAGCTTCGGAAGGGAAGGAGGGGGAATGGAACTAGGGGAGGCACGGAAATCAGCAGTGGGGTGGTGGGGAAGCTCCGGGTTCAGTTTCTGAAAAGACAGTGGAGGCTGGTGCCAACTAGGACCAGTGCGGCAGGAAGGAGAGAAAGTCCAGCACAAGATGGAGACAGGGACAGGTGGAGACAGTGCTATGATGGACAGAGCCCACTAATTCTGGTTTTGCTTCCCGCCTGCTCCCTGTTGAGTTCTACAAAGGCAGTACTGACACTTAGGAGGAGGAAGAGTGGCCAGTGCCACTCGCTGGACTGCTTGTAAATCAAGGGGCCCTACTGCTTCTGACATTGTTAGGGAGGGACCAGGCTTTTTTTTTTTTAAAAAAAATACTTTTTATTGATTTTTTCACAAGCATAACAAACTTAAATAAAGCATAACAAAATTAAATAAAACTTAACTTTTACAATCAACCTTTTTCATCTTCTTATTTACCTTGCACAGTTTTGCACCCGGACTTCCCTGCTTCGGTTTTCCCACCTTACATCCACTATTGCAGTTTCTTAATTACATTCTATATACATCACTAGATTTATGTCAGCCCTGCCACAGTTTTTAAACTTCTGCAGTTGTTTCGTATGTGCCCAAAAGTGGAAATCCCAAGAGTTACCAACCCTAATGGAGTGGCAGACGAAATTATTCGACTATGTAGAATTGGCAAAAATAAGTTATAAAATTAGAGACCAAAAAGTGACAAAGTTTGAGGAAGAGTGGAGGGAGGGACCAGGATTTGGATGGAGAAGGTCTCGTGTCTATTATCAGGTGGATCAGGTACAAAGGATGGGAAAGACCCTTCTGGCTAAGGCCCTGGGGAACTGCCAGTAAGATGCTAGCTGAGAGGGACAAAAAGTATAATGCAACCTCATATGGAAACATGGAAACTGACCCTTGTGGCAAGGGCCACGTGATATTAGTGTTGCACTTGCTCTCTGAAACTCCCTGCCCATTGATATTAAGGAAAGCGTCTTGGTGGAATGATTTTTCGGCACTGGCTAAAAAGCTTTTTTGTTTAGGCAAGGCTACCCAGCCGTGCAATTACGACATGCAATTTTAACAAGTACAGTGGTACCTCAGGTTACAGACACTTCAGGTTACAGACTAACCCAGAAATAGTACCTTAGGTTAAGAACTTTACCTCAGGATAAGATCAGAAATCGCGTGGTGGCAGGCGAGGCGGCAGCGGGAGGCCCCATTAGCTAAAGTGGTACCTCAGGTTAAGAACGGTTTCAGGTTAAGAACGGACCTCCGGAACGAATTAAGTTCTTAACCTGAGTTACCACTGTAGGTTTATTATGTGTATTCCTTTTTAGAACTGCTGGTTTTATTTGTACTTTGATAAATTTGTATGCCAATTTGTTTTTAGTGTATTAATTTTATGAGTTTTTAAATGAATGTTTTAGATGGTTTTATGTAAAGTGCATGGTTGTTGTTGTTTTTTAAAAAAAAACCAATTAAGCGATAGATAAATCTATTCAAATAAAAAATAAATAAGCAGCATATATTCCTGGGCCAGCTGGACACTCTGCTGGGTGGTCCAGGAGGGGACTGTGGTTTGGTTCTTGCACGCGCGGCGTCATGTAACTTGCCCATGACTGCAAGTGGCACTTTTGCGCATATTGTGGCCTCCACATTGCCTTTTCCACAAGTGGTTATGGGAAACTGCAGCCTCATACCTGGTGTTGCTTGGAAATCAAACAAAAGTCAGTGCCATTTTGAGATCTTCATTCAAAATGGCATCAAAACATAGACAAAAACCATCATGCCAAATTTGCTTATGATTTGCTTAAGAGATGTCTGGATACATAGAGAACAGACAGGTGAACGTCTTCTACAAAATATCTTGCAGATATGCCTCTTTCTCTCATTATTCTCTTAAAACAAGGGATAGTTCAGTGGGCAAAGCCTGAGACTCTTAATCTCGTGGGTTCGAGCCCCATGTTGGGTGAAAGATTCCTACAGTCCTAGATGATCCTCGTGTTCCAGCTCTAGTATTCTGTGATTCTTCGTCTCCTGTTTTGTTTTAAATCAAATATAACATTCCTATTCTTCTTTCTTCCCAGGTCGTCAATGTCAAAAGCTGTTCAAAACTATGTCAAATCCTTGAACTGGGGCCACAGGGTACAGCTGCAGGATAAGTAAATGCAATTCTTCTTTCTCACACGGTCAAACGGTTTTTACTTAATAAGTATCAACCATTGTGTTACCAATAGACGTAATTAGGTCAGGACGTGCACCAGATCCAGCTGAATCCCAGATCAAGGCAATTTGGATCTACCGAGGAATCGGCTGGATCAGGTTGAGGATCGTGCTACAAATAGGGTAGCATTGAAGCTACTGTTTTCTTTTTTCATTATAATAGGAAAGTGAAATACCTAAACTTGAAAGGGAGTTTTGTGGATCCACACACAATTCGTGGGCTGATGAAAGGCAAAGAGGTAAGTTGCTTGGCTATATTTCCTTTGTTTTTAAATAAAATGAAAATAAAATAAAATGTAGTTTTAATAGTTTTGCAAATACAGTAAAGGATCCTTTTGAATAGTGTACACATGCTCGGGCTTGATGGCAGCTCTTTCCTTTAAACTCTCCTTTCTGATTTATTTTCATTTTTTATCCCCAGACATTGCTCACAGCAGAAAACATAGTCCTTGCCACGGGGGGAAGGCCTAAATATCCCACAAACGTAAGTTTTTTTGCATTAATCTAACCCTGGCTGGTGTCAACCATGGTTAGCGGCGGTACAGCTGTCAAACCACAGTGAAGGGAGCGGGAGATTTGCAACAAGGAGGGGAGAGAAAGCGATCACACCTATACCCAGCCATGGATCCTGATTTGCAAGCTACGGCAGTGGTGGTAAACACTCTCAGCCCAAGGGCCACGTGGTCTTCTGGGCAACCTTGTGAGGGCCACATTCCGGTGGTAAAGGTAAAGGGACCACTGACCATTAGGTCCAGTCGTGACCGACTCTGGGGTTGCTGCGCTCATCTCGCTTTATTGACCGAGGGAGCCGGCGTACAGCTTCCAGGTCATGTGGCCAGCATGACAAAGCCACTTCTGGCGAGCCAGAGCAGCACACGGAAATGCCGTTTACCTTCCCGCTGGAGTGGTACCTATTTATCTACTTGCACTTGGCGTGCTTTCAAACTGCTAGGTTGGCAGGAGCTGGGACCGAGCAACAGGAGCTCACCCCGTTGCGGGGATTCGAGCCGCCGACCTTCTGATCATCAAGCCCTAGGCTCTGTGGTTTAACCCTCAGCGCCACCCACGTCCCTACATTCCGGTGATAGGCAGGGGCAAATTATGGCAGTGTGCCTCTCGGCACCAGTTTCCAGGAATCGGGGATGGAAAACACCCAGGAGCTGCTGAAGAGATTCCTTTAGGCATTTGTTTGGCCACTGTAAGAGCAGGACATTGGGCTAGATGGGCCTTTGGCCTGATGCGGCAGGTTTGCTCTTGTCTGCTTATGATGGTTTCACCTTTCTTTTGTTCTTTCTCCTAGATCGCAGGAGCACGGGAGTATGGGATTACGAGTGACGATCTCTTCTGGCTGAAAAGGTCTCCTGGGAAAACGTAAGTGTCGCAGATCGAGGTCTCCCACGTGAGCGATAACATTTATTCCCCAGAGCATGGGACGTTTGCGGTGGTTTCTTGCCTTGAATATCCCAGGGGCAAGAAGGAACGTACAGTGGTACCTTGGTTCTCAAACTTAATCTCTTCCGGGAGTCTGGTAGACTTCCGAAACTGTTCGAAAACCAAGGCGCGGCTTCTGATTGGCTGCAGGAGCTTCCTGGACTCAAGCAGAAGTTGTTCGGCTTCCGAAAAAGTCTGCAAACCGGAACACTTACTTCCGGGTTTGTGGCATTTGTTCGTCAACTAAGCCATTCAAGAACCAAGGTACCACTGTACAGTGGACCCTCTAGTTACGTACCGCTCTGGATATGTAACTTTCGGGTTACAAACACGGCAAACCTGGAAGTGTATACTTCTGGGTTTCGTTGCATGCGCAGATGCGCTCTGTGTGCCGTGCGCATGCGCAGAAGCGGTGCCTCTGCCTATGGACTTTTCGGGTTGTGGACACCTCCGGAATCAATTTAATTTGTATCCGGAGGGTCCACTGTATAACGTTTTGCTGGCTCAGTCTGCTGGGGCACTTGCTTGTCTATGTCAGGATATTAGTAAGGGGATAGATTCAGAAAAAGTGTGCGAGAAAACTCCATTTCCTTCCTCATCAGCAAAGCTTAAAGATAATTCTTTTAGATTGGTTCATGTGTGATATCTGACTCTGAGATGAATATTTCAGTGCCACCCCAAATTTTGGGAGGATGGGAGACTAGGTCCATGTTGCCATATGCAGTGGACATACGTGGTAGACAGTGATTGAAGAGTTTTAGAAGAAGTGCCAATAAAGATGCTTTATCAGAGTTTATCAGTTTCCTTTTCTGTTAGGGCGGAAGCCCAAAATTGGAAACCGGTAACAGCTAATTTGACGGAGGAGCGGTATTTTCAGGGTGGTAGCTGTAGCTATTAATGGGAAAACCTGTTAGTTGAGAGAACGTCAACATCCAAGGAGAATATATATAGAGAGAGAGAAAAAGAGAGAGAGAGAGAGTGAAATGGTTCTGTTTTATTAAATACGTTTTGGTCAAATGGCATGATTGAGTGAACCAGTGTGCTACAACAGTTAAGGGTGTCAGGCTAGGATTTGGGAGACCAGAGTTCAAATCCTCCCACTCTGACATGAAGCTCATTGGGTGACCTTGAGCCAGGCACGGCCTCTCAGGCTAACTTACCTCACAGGGCTGTTATGGGGATAAAATGGGGAGGGGAGAACCACGTACACGACCTTGAGCTCCTGGGAGAGAAAAAAGGTGGGATATTGATGCAGTAGTTAAACTCAGAACGTGAGTTAACAGAGGCCATATAAGAACGGTGACTTCTAGACTGTAAAGCCCCACTGTAGATTTCAATCAGTGTTGATGGTGTGCAATAAGCAGAAGGGACGACGATAAATATCTTAAGCGAGTCATACATTCCCCGTTTTCTTGATTTCTCTTTTGCTGGTCGCTTGCCACAAGAGGGCAGCAAGTGCTTTAAGATGCAGACACGATCACCTATTTTGGTTTATGTAATTCTAGAGTCTCTTCTCCATGCATCTGTTGTGTCTTCTATCGGAGTTGGCGGCAGAGGAGGAGGGGAAGAATACAATTTGCTTTGTTGCGAACATTGATAACCTGGCAGAGTTCAAAGGGCTTGAAAACCGCTGAAATTTGAAGCGCAGGGTGGTGGTGGTAGAAGGAATTATCGTTATCAGTGCTTTTTTCCTGGGGGGACCCCTAAACATTTTGTGAATCTTTGTACAGTCGTACCCTGGTTTTCGAACAGCCTAGTTCTCGAACGTTTTGGCTCCTGAACAATCAAAACCCGGAAGTGAGTGTTCTGGTTTTCGAACGTTCTTTCGGAAGCCGAACGTCTGACATGGCTTCCGATTGGCTTCCTGCAGCCAATCGGAAGCCGTGCTTTGGTTTTTGAACGTTTTGAAAGTTGAACAGACTTCTGGAACGGATTCCGTTCGACTTCCGAGGTACGACTGTACTTTTATCCATTTGCTGTATTTATTTTCCCCGATTTGAACTATTTTGTTGTTGTTGTTGCTTAGTCGTTTAGTCGTGTCCGACTCTTCATGACCAGAGCATGCAAGGCACTCCTGTCTTCCACTGCCTCCCGCAGTTTAGTCAAACTCATGCTGGTAGCTTCGGGAACACCATCCAACCATCTCGTCCTCTGTCGTCCCCTTCTCCTTGTGCCCTCCATCTTTCCCAACATCAGGGCCTTTTCCAGGGAGTCTTCTCTTCTCGTGAGGTGGCCAAAGTATTGGAGCCTCAGCTTCAGGATCTGTCCTTCCAGTGAGAGCTCAGGGCTGATTTCCTTCAGAATGGATAGGTTTGATCTTCTTGCAGTCCATGGGACTCTCAAGAGTCTCCTCCAGCACCATAATTCAAAAGCATCAATTCTTTGGCGATCAGCCTTCTTTATGGTCTTTATGATTTGAACTATAAAATGGTGATTTTCTTGAGTCAAAATGAGAGTACCCCTAAACATTTTTTTGGGGGGGGAAGCACTGATCCTTATCCTAGAATTGTAGAGTTGGAAAGGGACCCTGAAGACCATCTAGAGTTCAGCCTTGTGCAATGCAAGAACCGGCAGCTGTCCCATATGGGGATCAAACCTGCAACCTTTGCATGACCATTACCATGCTGTAACCAACTGAGCTATCCAGTTGGTTGGATTCAGTTGATTTCACCAGTGGCTGATCAGACCTTATTCTTTATTCCATTTTTATCGTGCCTTTTCCTCCCGTGAGCTCAAGGTGGTAAACATGGTTCTCTTTCTCCTTACTTAACTCCCACAACAGCCCTGCTGTGCTCAGTCAGTGAGCCAGCGTGGTGTAGTGGTTAAGAGCAGTGGACTCGTAATCTGGTGAACCGGGTTCGCTTCCCCGCTCCTCCACATGCAGCTGCTGGGTGACCTTGGGCTGGTCACACTTCTCTGAAGTCTCTCAGCCTCACTCACCTCACCTGTTTGTTGTGAGGGAGGAAGGGAAAGGAGATTGTTAGCCACTTTGAGACTCCTTAGGGTAGTGATAAAGTGGGATATCAAATCCAAACTCCTCAGTCACCTTTACTGGTTTCCAGTTGCTGTTAGTATACAAAGCCCTCAATAAGTTGGGACTCGAGATAAGTTGCTCGCGAGATTGTCTTACTCCATATATCCCTACTTGACCGCTTCCATCTGTGGAATTGGCACTGTTACAAGTGCCATGCCAATACCTGTTCTATATTTGTTAGAAAACCTACCTTTCAGGGTGGCAGCACCTTGACTTTGGAACTCCTTCCTCTTGACATCAGGCAGGTGCCTTTGCTGTGCTCTTTTTGGTGTCTGCAAAAAACATTTCGGACAAGCCTCCCCAAATATGCAGAATGCTGCTGTGTGTTTTAATCTTTGTTTGTTTGTTTGTTTATCACTGGTTTTGTTTTTGTTCTTTAATTAAATACAGTGGTGCCCCGCAAGACGAATGCCTCGCAAGACGAAAAACTCGCTAGTCGAAAGGGTTTTGCGTTTTTTGAGTCGTTCCGCAAGACGAATTTCCCTATGGGCTTGCTTCGCAAGACGAAACGTCTTGCGAGTTCTTGCGAGTTTGTTTCCTTTTCTTAAAGCCGCTAAGCCGTTAATAGCCGCTAAGCCGCTAATAGCCGTGCTTCGCAAGATGAAAAAACCGCAAGAGGAAGAGACTCGCGGAACGGATTAATTTCGTCTTGCGAGGCACCACTGTAGTTGTTTTTAACTGTTTTTACTGATCATTTTATTCTTTTTTTGTAAACCCCTTTTAGGTTTTTGGGGGTTGCCGTTTTTACAATCAGTGAGCATGTAAATTTTACCCCCCCCCAAAAAAAAATATGAAAAGAAGGGACATAGGCTAGCAGAGATCCATTGATTTCGATGGGTCTACTCAAAGTTGAACGTAATTGGATGCCACCTTTTTGCATTGGTTCTGTTCATCCTCGCCCAGGTAAACAGGGTGGTGGCCTTTTGATAGTGCTGAAAGCGAGATAAACTGAACCTGCAGTTGCTTGCAGTATATCAGTCACCTCTTGGATTTTGGGAGCGTGATTTATGTGAGGAAATTGTGTGTGTGTGTGTGTGTGTTTTAAAAAAAGAAGAAGCCAAAAAAAGCTAAACACGAGATTTATCCCTGTGAGATATTTCTCTGTAAATGTGGCTTTTGTCCAGTGCAAGTTGTAACAGTGTAATGCGGGAGTCCTGTGTTTATACGTTGCATTCCTAAGCTTTAGTCAAAATAAGCCTTGAGGCCTACAGTAGCACTTCTGTACTTTATCAGACTGTGTTACGGCAGATGGAGAGCGAGAGCTAGTGCATTCAGCAACAATTTGTTTCTGTCAAACGAATTTCCCGTAGAAATGTTCCCATGATTCAGTTTAATGCCTTGACATTTGAAAACAATAATAATCTCCCAACTTTGCTTTGCATCTATGTGCTCTGCCTCTGTTTTACCTCTGTGTGTGTGTGTGTGTGTGTGTGTGTGTGTGTGTATATATATATATATATATATATATATATATATATATATATATACTATATATGAGCTACACAGTCAGCAGCACAGGGGGGCCTTTGCCAAGCTGCCGCCTTCGAATTTGTTTTTGTTGTTATTTAATATATTTATATACTCCCTTTCTCCCAAGTGGGGGTTCAAGGCAGCTTACAACATCTAAAAAGAACATTGTAAAATACAGAGTGATAAAAACAAACAAGTTAGTTTAGAGCACGAGACTCTTAATCCCAAAGCTGTGGGTTCAAGCCCCATGTTGGGCAAAAAGTTTCCTGCATTTAATTTTAATAATAATAATAATAATAATTTGGAGTCCAGCGTACAGTTCTGGCCACCTTGCCTCAAAAGGGATATTGCAGAGTTGGAAGCGGGTGGCGCTGTGGGTTAAACCACAGAGCCTAGGACTTGCCGATCAGAAGGTCTGCGGTTCGAATCCCCGCGACGGGGTGAGCTCCTGTTGCTCAGTCCCTGCTCCTGCCAACCTAGCAGCTCAAAAGCATGCCAGTGCAAGTAGATAAATAGGTACCGCTCCGGCGGGAAGGTAAACGGCGTTTCCGTGCGCTGCTCTAGTTCGCCAGAAGCGGCTTAGTCATGCTGGCCACATGACCCGGAAGCTGAACGCCGGCTCCCTCGGCCAATAAAGCGAGATGAGCGCCGCAACCCCAGAGTCGTCCACGACTGGACCTAATGGTCAGGGGTCCCTTTACCTTTTAGAGTTGGAAGAGGTTCAGAAAAGGGCAGCCAAAATGACCTGTGAGGAAGGGTAGCATCATTTGGGACTTTTTCATTTAGAGAAAAAGTGAGTACCGTACTTTTCCGTGTATAAGACTAGGTTTTTTTCTTTAAAAATTATGCTAAAAAGTTGGGGTCATCTTATACATGGATAGTGCATAGGGTGGCCGTTTGTCAGTGGCTATTGGGCGTGTTATTGTTTGTTGCATCCAGGGCTGGTGTTGATTGGCTGACGCTGCAGCATTTGGGCAGGCGATTGGCAGCTTCTGCCGGCGAGCGGACAGACGAGAGGCAGATTTTTTGCCGCGTGCGAAAAAATTTCAGCAATCCCCCCTAAAAAAAGCTCAAGAACCCTGTCCCCCCCCCCCCGTTTTCTTAATTTTGAGTCCCCCAAAATAGGGGGCGTCTTATACATGGGGTGTGTCTTATACACGGAAAAATACGGTAACAGGCGGCAAGATAGAATTTTGTAAAATTAGTCATGGTGCTCAGAAAGTGGGCAAAGAAAATGTTCATCTCCCTCACGCCTAACACTAGAACAAGTGGAACCGCTGGAGGATTCAGGGAAGGGAAAAGGAACGACTTCTTCACAAAGCGCATTGTTAAACTGCAGAACTCACTCCCACAAGAGGCAGTCCCAACTGGGATGGCTTTAAAAAGAGGATTAGACAAATTCATGAGGGGAAAGGCTACCAGTGACAACTACTGCTGCTATTACTATTATTTATTAAAGTTCTATACCACCCCTTATCTCAAGATCACAGGGCAATTTGCAATACGAAAACATAAAAATGCATATTATAACAACAAACAAAAACAGCAGCAACACCCCAACACAGTTTAAAAGGCTATTGATGGTTTAATGAGCCAAAGGCCTGGTAGAAGAGGAATGTTTCTGCCTGGCGCCTAAAGATTGTGTGACAAAGGCTATGCCCTGCGTCTATGCCCAGCAGTGCGTCTGAATACTGCAGGGGGTGGAAAGGGCTCTTGTGCCCAAATCCTGCTTGCATCTGGTTGGCTGCTGTGAGAACAGGATGCTGGACTAGGTGGGCCATTGGCCTGATCCAGCAGGCTCTCTTTACATGGATAGAAATTCCCACGTGCAAACAGGCACACCCTTAACATTAAGTAGCGTTTGACGTTCGTGACTTGCGAGAGAACAGAAAAAGCGTCACGCTTCTTTGTTTTGATTCGTTGACTGCCACCCCTGCTTGCGCCACTCACGAACCCTGCCTGCCCCTTTGCCAACCGCCCTTCCTGCACAGCTGACCAACCCCCTTCCTTTTACACCTCACAGACCCGCCCCTCGCATGCCTCTTGGCTGTCACACAAACTGAAGCGTGACGACAGCCTTACGTTTTTATGTATATAGGAAGATATGCTCTTATAACAGGGGGGAAGAAACATCAGCAGCAGATGCTAACAGTAAAAGCATTCTGTAGATCCCGATTTAAGAATACAAATGAACGTAGGCAATCCGAACGTCCCATTAGGTATCCAAGATTGGATTTAGCTTTGCATTCCGATGTAGGAGGGACAGTGAGAACTTTCGCTCAATGAATCACAGATGGTGGGTGTTTCTCCTCCCACCCTTCCTGGACCTTTACAACCACAAGGGCTCCCAGGATCCCACTTTTCTTTCTCATCTGTTAGCCCCTCACCCCCAGGAATACCATTTTAAGAGCGCCTGAACATCCGCAAAGTGTCACGCTCTTGTCTGTCTCCATTGTGGAAGCCAAATCTCAGGTCTGACCCTCCTGAGCCCCATCTATTCTCAGAAGCCGAATCGTGGTTTACGAAAGCCGGACAATTGCAAGCCCGCCCTGTCTGTGCGGGAGCCGTAAGATAATATCTCTAGGCGCATTCCTGTCACTCCACCCCTCGTGGCGCGGCGGAGGGTGGGTGATTCTCGTCGGGGCACCCACAGTATTATTTGAAGAGCCTGCCTTTTTTTGTTTCTTTCTGAGGTGGAATTATATTATTAGTACCTCTTGGGGATTAGCTTTGACATGGCTATTATCTGATCTAGCGTTGCCTTATCCTTTTGAAAGGGCCAATGCGCAGGGCCACCCACACGTTAGTTTGCCTTGCTGAGGAGTTGCTGTCTTAATGTACAATATTTGCACATTCTTTCCATCTCTACCTCTCTCCCCGAGTTAAAATCTGCCTGCAGATTATCCCCATTAATTTCCCCCTCCTCCTCCCTTTAAGTTTTTCTCTTTCCTGCCGTCGGGCAGCCTTTTCGCAAACAGCTCAGTTTTTCATAAGGAGCCCCTCCCACATCACAACCAAAAATCACTGTCTTCCCCTCCATCAGTTTTTTTTTAAATGGTTTTGTAGTGAAAGGGTTTGGATTTTTTTCTGTTATGAAGTGTGGGGAAACCTGGCCGGCAAACTGTTTTATTTCCACTTTGATTGAGGGGGCAGAAAGGATTCTTGGGTAAAACATCAACCTTCGTCTGATTGGCCAGTTGGATGAGTTGGTTAAGAAGGAACATAGAAGAAAGATAGGAAGCTGCGTTATATCGAGTCAGACCATTGTAAGAGACCAAATGTGCCTGGTATCACGTTATGCACACACATACAGTGGTACCTTGGGTTAAGAACTTAATTCGTTCCGGAGGTCCATTCTTAACCTGAAACTGTTCTTAACCTGAGTTACCACTTTAGCTAATGGGGCCTCCTGCTGCTGCCGTGCCGCGATTTCTGTTCTCATGCTGAAGCAAAGTTCTTAACCCGAGGTACTATTTCTGGGTTCGTGGAATCTGTGACCTGAAGCATCTGTAACCTGAAGCACCTGTAACCCGAGGTACCACTGTATTGAAAAGGAACAAAAAACTGCCTCCACCCTATCCTGCTTTCTGCCCTGGCCAGTCCAAACTGACATGGCTTGCAATGTGTTGGAGTACATCTGCCAATCCGCTCCTGCCCAGAATTGCTCTGCCCTCCCTGTGGAAATCTGATACAGTTTGACAGTGTAGTTCTCTATCTCTGTCCTTGGACCAAGTCCCATTAAGTTCCGTGGCCCTTTCATCCCAGTTCAGTGTCTGTAATGTTGCACCCATGATTGTCTAATGGTTTTAATAATCAACTTAGGTAAAGGTAAAGGGACCCCTGACCATTAGGTCTAGTCGTGACTGACTCTGGGGTTGCGGCGCTCATCTTGCATTATTGGCTGAGGGAGCCGGCGTACAGCTTCCGGGTCATGTGGCCAGCATGACTAAGCCGCTTCTGGCGAACCAGAGCAGCACATGGAAACGGCGTTTACCTTCCCGCCGGAGCGGTACCTATTTATCTACTTGCACTTTGACATGCTTTCGAACTGCTAGGTTGGCAGGAGCAGGGACCGAGCAACGGGAGCTCACCCCATTGCAGGGATTCGAACCGCCAACCTTCTGATTGGCAAGTCCAAGGCTCTGTGGTTTAACCCACAGCGCCACCCGCGTCCCACAAATAATCAACTTAAGACTCCTTTAATTGTCTGCAAGCTAAACAAGCTATAGCTTAGGGCCCCACTCTCTTGGGGGCCCCAAAAAATTTTAAAGGAAAAAAACAACTGGATGTACATTTCCAAAATATAAGATAAAAAACAAATACAATAAAACCTACATACAGCAAAAGTGTTTTGTGTTGTGTTGGCTCCTATGATATAAGCAGTGGGCCCCGCCTGCTAGCCAGCTCCCTAAAATATCACTGGTTTGCTAATTTCTATATATAGGGTGCCTACATTCTGCATAGACTTTGCATTCTGCATGGACGTTTCAACAATTACTTTGATAAAATACATATTTTGTTATGTGCAAATGGCTTTAGATACCTATTAGGTCCATAAATTACCATATAGCATATATTCAACACAAAAAACAGCGGCAATTTGTTGTTGACAAAGGACAGCTGGACATATAAGGGGCCCCATTACCTTCAGCAGCTTAGGGCCTCGTCATACCTTAATCCGGCCCTGATCGGGTGACATCTTAGCAAGGGTTAATGTACAGGTAGATCTTAACCCTTGTCTCACACAGAAGGAAGTGGACCCTCCCAATGCTCACCTGGGCGTTTGCTTTCTGGGATTTCTTTTGAACCCACGTTGCTGAGAAATCTCGTCTGAATCACTTTCTCACATAGAACGTCAGTGCTGTTGATGGCCTATTGCAAAATACAACAACAGAAATCTTCGCCAGTCTGAAGGGGCTGTAGGCGTGCTTAGGATTGCAGCCTGGCTGTGCCTATCTGTGCATATTTACTCAGAAGCTAGTCCCACTGTGTTCCATGCAGCTTACTTCTCACGAAGTGCTTTTTTGGGTTTGCAGCCTCAACGTTTTTCAATCACTGGAGGTGCCTTGGGAGCGTCATGTAATTTCTAGCTGTTTTAACTTTTCAAAATGGGCACTCCAGTTAAGCTCTGTGTATATTTTGTTTTTGAAAAGCTGTTTTTTCTCTATCCCTGTCCACCTGTGAAACCTGACACATGTCAAGGACCGCGTCTTTCTGTGCAATTTACCTGTTATCGTGCCGCACTGTGCTCCAGAAAATAATTTGTTTTGTCTACAGCAATATTCCCCATCTCATTCCTCTTCTCTTTTCTTCCCCCGCTTCGCATTGAACAGGTTGGTTGTCGGAGCCAGCTGTATCTTTTGTAAACGCTGTAACAATTTATTATATCACGTGACCGATTTACATTTCCTGTGAAGGTTCAATAGTCTCAAGTGTTGAAATCCATGGTTAAAACAAATCCATGGTTTAATTGTCATGGGGGGCCCTTAGCAGCCAGCAACCATGGTCTGGTTAACCACTTTTATCTTATTCACTGAGTTTGTTCCATGGCAGATCACCACACCTTTACAACATTTGTGCTACTAACTCTCAAACTTTGGAGTTGTTGAACTATAGACAACAAATTAGGTCTACTAGACCCAACATTTTAAATCCATGGAGGCTAAAGTTTTTCCTGGGGCTCCTCCAGGATTAGGGACACTGAAACATAATGTTCATTACTTTCATAGCCCCAGTCCCCATCAGCTGTTGGGTGGTGAGTTCAACCCTGATGAGTTAACTGTGCAACTGAGACTAGTGACTGGGAGTGGACACTGGGATCATATAACCCTGGTCCTAAAGGATCTACACTGGCTTCCAATATGTTTTCAAGCACAATTCAAAGTGTTGGTGCTGACTTTTAAAGCCCTAAATGGCCTTGGTCCTGTATACCTGAAGGAGTGTCTCCACCCCATCGTTCAGCCCGTACACTGAGGTCCAGCTCCAAGGGCCTTCAGGAGGTTCCCTCACTGCAAGAAGTGAGGTTTCAGGGAACCAGGCAGAGGGCCTTCTCGGTAGTGGCATCCTCCCTGTGGAACGCCCTCCCACCAGATGTCAAGGAAATAAACAACTATCAGACTTTTAGAAGACATCTGAAGGCAGCCCTGTTCAGGGAAGTTTTTAGTGTTTGATGTTTTATTATGTGTTGGAAGCTGCCCAGAGTGTCTGGGGAAACCCAGCCAGATGGGCAAGGTATAAATAATAAAATTATTATTATGAGTACATACACCACGGCCACCTCTGCTCCACAGAAAGAAGCCTCGCCAGCCCTGTGCTTTGCCTGGCCCTTTGCCCTGCGGTTCTCAGACACCCAGCAACCAGCTGGATGATAGGTGCTTGAGAAGCATCGCACTGGGTTGGACCAAAGGACAAAACATGGCTGCCTTACGTCTTGCTGTTGCAGTTCTTGTCCATTTGCCCTCTCAAAATACTTGAGCTGTTTTCCTTGAGCCGCAACCCTCCAGATGTTTCCCTCGAATGTGCTGGCTTTCTCACTGGCCTCGGACTGAACGCAACAGTTATGATGAGGAGCATCCCACTCCGAGGATTTGACCAGGTAAGTTGTTTGCTGTTTTTTGGGCACCCTACTCTGGCTTCTCGGTTTTACTGGCAGGTGGTTCCCAAGCTCCTTCACTACTTTCTGCCCAAGTCTACACGGTGTGGGGCTTAGTTGTCAGATATCAGAAGATGTCTCCTGCTCACAGTTCATCAGGTAAAGGTAAAAAGGTCAAGGACCCCTGGATGGTTAAGTCCAGTCAAAGGCGACTATGGGGTTGCGGCGCTCATCTCGCTTTCAGGCCGAGGGAACCGGCGTTTGTCCACAGACAGCTTTCCAGGTCATGTGGCCAGCATGATTAAACTGCTTCTGGTGCAACGGAATACAGTGACGGAAGCCAGAGTGCATGAAAATGCCGTTTACTTTCCTGCCGCAGCGGTACCTATTTATCTACTTGCACTGGTGTTCTTTCAAACTGCTAGGGTGGCAGGAGCTGGGACCGAGCAACAGGGGCTCACTCTGTTACGGGGATTCGAACCGCCAACCTTCCAGTTGGCAAGCCCAAGAGGCTCTGTGGTTTAGACCACAGCGCCACCCGTGTCCCTATTCACGGTTCATCAAGCCCAGTGCTGTCACTCCGGACAGATCACCATCCTTAGGCAGCAATCTTTCTCAAGGGCCCCCAGCAGACTCCCCACCCCTGAGCTCTTAAGAGCGTTAGGCGAGCCTTGCTGGGTGAAACCAAAGCCCACCTAGTCCAGCATCCTGTTCTCACAGTGGCCAACCAGATGTTCACAGGGAGCCTACAAGAAGGACCTGAACACAAGAGTGCTCTCCCCAGTTGTGATTCTCACCAACTAGCATTCAGAGGCATGCTATTTCCAATGGTGGAGATAAAACATAGCTGCAGGACCTTTTTTTAAAAAAAGAAACTGGCTATGCCAGACATTAGACCTGAGACTTTTTGCCTGAAAACAAGGGTGATGAACCTCTTTTTTCTATGAAGGGCCATTGACCCATGCGATAAAATCAATGCAGGATTGCAACCAGCAGAGCCAAAATCTAAACTGGGCAGAGTTTACAACATTTCAGGATTGTATAGCTCTTCCCCTTCGCATTTCCCATCTCATCCTTCCTTTTTTGTGCAACCCCATCCATCTTTCTCTCTCTCCCCTGCCCTTCTACATTTGTGCCATCCCATCTTCAAGGACCACAAAAGTTGGGCAGGGGCCATATGCAACCCACAGTCCACAGTTTTCCCCACTAGGTCTGGGCGGTGTGTCAATACATCACCCAGGACTGCTTTGAGGGCCAGAGAGCGATGGCTCCCAGAGCTATATTGCAGGTGAGACTTACCTATGCCTTACCACCTCCCGCCGAGTGCTGGCAGTGGAGGGAGCTGCGGCGGTTTCACCCAGGCGGCTCGCGGGGCCAATGGCCAATGGCCTTCCTTTTCAACATTGCCATGTATCACTATATTGTGATGTTTAGCTGGTGATACATCGCTATGCTGGAAATCTGGTATCGCCCAGCTCACTGAAAAAGCTCGGGCTTTAATTCTGGATTTGCTTGGTCTTTTCTGCTTTAGGGAAGTAGTGTTGAGTTGACTCATGCCTCCTCATTAATTACCATATTTTTCGCTCCATAAGACGCACTTTTTCCCTCCTAAAAAGTAAGGGGAAATGTGTGTGCGTCTTATGGAGCGAATGCGGGTGGGAGGCTCTGCTCAGCACTTCCTTTAAAGAGCCGCGCGGAGCATGTATGCGGCTCTTGGGGGCTTTTCCACGAGGCGGGAGAAGGGACTGACGGGCTGACCTCTGTCCCTTCCCACACCTCCTGGAAAAGCCAGCAAGAGCCACTACCAGGCTCTGCTCCGCGCTCCCTTGTAAGGGTTCCTTTTCGTCCCTCATCCTGCTTTGCTGGGAAGCCAGCAGAAGAGGTGCTGCGCAGCTATCGCTCTTGCTCTGCTGGCTTCTCAGCGAAGCGGGAGGTGGGACGGAAGGGTTTAAAGCAAGAAAAGCGAGAGCCCCTTACATGCTCTGCGCAGAATATTTTTTTTCTTGCTTTCCCCCTCTAAAAGCTAGCTGCGTCTTTTGGTCAGGTGCGTCTTATGGAGCGAAAAATATGGTAGTTGATCAGGATTAGATCCCTCTTTGGAAAGGATAAAGGGTAGGGCTGCTGGAACTAGGCTGTGTTTCAGATTGAGGTGGGGGGTCGGGTTCCTGCTGAGACGAAATAGGTGTGGGGGCTCAAGTTGGCACAGGCTGAAAGGGAAACACAGGAGTGTCAAGTTTCAGAAGAGAACAAACATCTTGCCCCCCACGTTTTTGGCCAGTTGCAACTGAGAGCATGAGTGTAAAATGTATTTTTTAAATTTATTTTTAAAAAGCCAAACACCAGCACTTAAATTCTCCTGTGTGGGCGTTTTGTGATATTTCCTTTACACGACTACCAGACTCATCCTTTGACGGATGACAGTTTTGACTTATCGCCATCAACAGCTGTGGCATCTTTTTTGAACAAAGTTGTCAGTAGGAGCGCTTAGAGCCTGACAGCAGCATGGCATTGGTTCAAACATTTGGAGATGTCTTCTGCAAAGGCATCTTTTCCATCTGTAAAACGAGCCCTCCAGGATACCTTAACGACTCGTCTATATTGACAAGGCATCTGACAGGTGCCGTGGGGAGGGGGTAAAACCCTTTGTGTTCTCGGGGCTAGGTATGAAGTACGGGGTTCAAACAACCTGTTTCCTTTGGGTGCGCAGGCACAGTTTGGGCACCGGGAACCAGCTTTCTGCTAATCCCTCGTCTACACTGGGTTTTGGGGACAAACTCAACTCACTTCCTATTTAAAAGTGAAGCTTCCAGATTTGCACACTCCAGAACAATTCGTGAATCGAAACGCTTCCATCTTTTGAAATTCACACTTCTCTGAATTTTGCAGTACACTTCTCCAGCCTTGCAATGTGCGCATTATATTGGGATAACTTGTGCATAGATATGCATATGTTTATGAAGGTAACGTGCAAAAATGCACTACGTCGGGAGAAATTGCCTTACGAAAATGTATATTGGGAGAAAATTGCACTGGAATCACATTTGTGGAATGCTTTTCCCCCAGGAAGACTCGCCTGGTGTCTTTGTTGTATATCTTTAGGCACTAGCCAAAAATGTTTCTTTTTCACCAGGCCTTTGGCTGATTAACATTTTATGTCCTTTTAAATATGCTTGTGGGAAGGGGGTTATTGGTTTGTTGTTACTTTTGTTCTTGTTTTTATTGTGTATTTTGTGTTCTTGTTTTGTATTTTTATTTTGTGAACCGCTCTGTGATCTTCAGATTAAGGGTGGTATACGAATTTTAATAATAATAATAATAATAATAATAATAATAATTTGCTGGTGAATTTTCATGAGGGATTTAGAAAAAGCAAATTGATAACTAAATTTAAGATTGGGGAAATGAGAAACTGAGAGAAACCAAAATTGACAGATTTAGCCATTCCCACTGCCAGCCAATAGGACTATTAATTTTTGTTGTGAGGCAGTAGTTGCTTATTATATACCACAGGAATGGAAACCGCTTTTCTGACTGAGGACCACATTGCCTTCTGGCAACGTCCTTCAGGCCACATGCCTTGTAGTAAGTAAATGATATATAAAAGTAAAAATAAAAAATGCAGTTTGTTTGTTCATTTTTCTCATCACCTTTGTAGCAAATGGCTACTCTTGTGGCAGATCACATGGAAGGCCACGGGACGAGATTCCTGAAGAAATGTAGCCCAACGAAAGTGAAGAAGGCGGAGAACGGCCGGCTGCGCGTGACGTGGAAATACCTCGATTCTGGCAAAGAAAAGTCGGATGAATTTGACACGGTGATGTGGGCAGTAGGTAAAAAGAAACGGTGTTTTGAAATACCTCTGGCACTCCTTTTCCTTTTGTTCCCTCTCATGGTTTTTTTTTTAAAAAAATGCAGCACAGGAAATTTTGGCGGAAGGGAAGCACATGGGAAGAGATAGGCATGCAAGAGTGATCGCAAATACCTCTCAGTTCCGAACAATGTTCTATATACGGAGGGTTGCATCCAATCTTCTCTGTTTGCTAGCACAAGGGTGAGATTTACTATTGTGTTGCAGAGGAACCCAATGCAAAAATTGCCCTAGCAGAAATTGTGCTATCTGTCACGCAAGGCAGGGCAACCTTCCACATGCTCTGGCACTGAGCTATAGCCCTTCCTCTACTAAGAAGCTGCCTTCTTTTTGAGTTAGATGATTGGATCACCCAATTGTTAACCTCAACTAGCAGTAGCTCTCTGAGATTTCAGGCAGGGAGCCATTCCCAAGCCTTCCCTGGCAATTCCGGAGACTGAAGCTGGGATTGTTCGCCTGCAGAATGCATGCTCTACCACTGAGATATGTGGCTTTTTTTCCTATCTACTGTTGTTGTTGTCGTTTAGTCGTGTCCGACTCTTCGTGACCCCCTGGACCAGAGCACGCCAGGCACTCCTGTCTTCCACTGCCTTCCGCAGTTTGGTCAAACTCATGTTACTAGCTTTGAGAACACTGTCCTCTGTCATTCCCTTCTCCTTGTGCCGTCAGTCTTTCCCAGCATCAGGATCTTTGCCAGGGAGTCTTCTCTTCTCATGAGGTGGCCAAAGTATTGGAGCCTAAGCTTTAGGATCTGTCCTTCCAGTGAGCAATCAGGGCTGATTTCCTTCAGAATGGATAGATTTGATCTTCTTGCAGTCCATGGGACTCTCAAGAGTCTCTTCCAGCACCATAATTCAAAAGCATAAATTCTGCGGCGATCAGCCTTCTTTATGGTCCAGCTCTCACTTCCATACATCACTACTGGGAAAACCATAGCTTTAACTATGTACGGACCTTTGTTGGCAAGGTGATGTCTCTGCTTTTTAAGATGCTGTCTAGGTTTATCATCACTTTTCTCCCAAGAAGCAGTTGTCTTTTAATTTCATGGCTGCTGTCACCATCTGCAGTGATCATGGAACCCAAGAAAGTAACATCTCTTACTGCCTCCATTTCTTCCCCTTCTATTTGTCAGGAGGTGATGGGACCAATGGCCATGATCTTACTGTTTTTGATGTTGAGCTTCAGACCATATTTTGCCCTCTCCTCTTTCACCCTCATTAAGAGGCTCTTTAATTCCTCCTCACTTTCTACCATCAAAGTTGTGTCATCTGCATATCTGAGGTTGTTGATATTTCTTCCGGCAATCTTAATTCCGGCTAGGGATTCATCCAGCCCAGCCCTAGGCCTGTTTTGCACACAACCATGGATTGACTTATGTGTGCAAAACAGGCCTATATGCAAGTCTCCACAAGGGCTTTTCTCTTGCTGTAGTAGCTTAAAACGTGTCCGCTATGAAATAATTGTGTTGCCTGGATGGTACCTTCTTGCACAATTACATTCTTTCTCTGAAAACTGTCTCTGTGGGGGGCCTTGTCACAAAGTCCACCAGTGTTACCACATCCTCACTCACCTGCCCATCTACCTCTCTTCTGTTACCTAAAATCTATCAACTAATTAGGCTGTTTGCTTGATTCCCTGGCTGTGATTCGCACTCGCTCCAGCTGACTAGGCAAAGAGGTTGTTCCAAGCATTACTGTTTACTTTATCCGGGTGGCAAGGCCTAGTTCTTACCATAGGTATCAACTTGTTGCTCTTCAAACTGCAGGTGTTTGTTTACATGACTAGATGCACGATTACAAATAAATCTTCCTGCGTAGATGTCAGGGAGAACTATTGCAGACTTGCCTTTTTCCTGAGACAAAATCATAGAATTGTAGAGTTGGAAGGGACCCCAAGGGTCATCTAGTCCAACCCTCTGCAATGCAGGAATCTCAGCTTGATCACACACGACAGATGTCCATCCAACCTCTGCTTAAAAGCATCCAAGGAAGGAGAGTCTGGCACTTCTTGTGGGAGTCTGTTCCACTGTCAAATGGCTCTTACTATGCTATGCTTATGGGGAGATTTGTTGTTTTGGTTGGCACATTCATATATAGTCATACCTCGGGTTACAGACGCTTCAGGTTGTGTTTTTTTGGGTTACGGACCCGCCGAAACCCGGAAGTACCGGAATGGGTTACTTCTGGGTTTCAGCGGACGCGCATGCGCAGAAGCGCTAAATCACGCTTTGCGCATGCGCAGTCGCAATGCAGGAATATGCAACTTTCCCATAAGGGGATCAGATTTGCCACTCCTGGCATTCCCAGCGCCATGCTCTTAACCAGCTGAGCTATTGCTACCTGCTTATAGGTGAGAGTGGGGAGGAGATTCCGGGGAGGGAGAGAAATAACAAAGCCGGTTCGAAAGGTATCTTTCCATCTGCCTTGTCAAGGGGTGTCGCCTGACAGTTGTGATGCATATCAAGAAAAGTTAAGGAAAGGTTTGTTCTGCATATCTGAGGGTGTTTCCCCTCTGCGCTCTTCCCCGAGCGGCTTATCTGATTTGCCTCAAACGCCTGGAATGGCGCCAAGCCCAACGCTTGATTTAGGAGCCGTATGTCGAAGAAGACTCCAGGTGTACTTGGCGTAACATTCAGCCGTGTTTGGAACTGCCGCTACGGAAGGGAAAGTGGCCATGGAGCGCAATTGTCGGGATGTTTAGCATACTTGCTTGGAAAAGGTGTAGCTCCCAAGAGCCACAGGGACAGGAGCCAAGACTGCCTACGTGGTCCTGTGCCTATGGAAAAACAACACCTAGGTTGCCAGCAAGAGGTGCATTGAGTTCCTGTGGGGTTACATAGGTTGGGGTGTAAGGAGGCGGCAATTTCCGTCCTGATTTTCTTTTGCATTTCCATATCGCCGCACTTCGGCTTCTGGGTTTGTTGATATCATGGCTTATTAAAGCAAGATGCGGGTGGCGCTGTGGTCTAAACCACTGAGCCTCTTTGGCTTGCCGATCAGAAGGTTGGCGGTTCGAATCCGCGCAATGGGGTGAGCTCCTGTTGCTCTGTCCCAGCTCCTGCCAACCTAGCAGTTCGAAAGCACGCCTGCGCAAGTAGATAAATAGGTACCACTGCAGCGGGAAGGTAAACGGCCTTTTCATGTGCTCTGGCGTCCGTCACAGTGTCCAGTTGCGCCAGAAGTGGTTTAGTCCTGCTGGCCACAAGACCCGGAAAGCTGTCTGTGGACAAACACCGGCTCCCTTGGCCTGAAAGTGAAATGAGTACCGCAACCCTATAGTCGCCTTTGACTGGACTTAACTGTCCAGGGGTCCTTGTCCTTTTTTAATAAGACGCATTGCTGCCTCCAACCGCGAAGGCAGGGCATAGCCGTCTTGGCTAGCAGTCATCAATATTCCTCTTTGCCATGAATTTGCCCAATCCTCTTTCAAAGCCATCTAAACTTGGAGGCAATCACTGCCTCCTGAAAGAGTGAGTTCTGCAGATTAATTCCATCGGGCATTAACTACCAGAGTTTTAGAAGACATCTGAAGGCAGCCCTGTTTAGGGAAGTTTTTAACATTTGATGGATTACTGAATTTTAATATTTTGTTGGAAGCCGCTCAGAGTGGCTGGGGAAGCCCAGCCAGATGGGTGGGGTATAAATAATAAATTATTATTATTATTATTATTATTATTACCTTTCCCTTTAAGAATGCTGGATGTGGGAGCAGATAAGCCAATGGCCTGATCCAGCAACCTCTTTTTATGACCCCCAAGTTAACCTTGCAAGGTGAGGAAGAGGAACCATTCCAGGCAACGGTCAGCTCAGTTACGAGATCATCACGCCAGGCCAGTGTGGGGTCAAGATCCAGAAACAGAAATCTAGATTAGAAATTTTCCACCTGACTTTTTTATTTTTAAAGCCTTTTAAGAGGCTTATATCAGGAAAACAGAATAAAAGCATTCTCTCCCTCCCTCTCTTCACTGGGAGAGGGAACACGGTTCCAACGTTTGATGTGAACTTGAGAGTCTCCTCCGGGATGGGAAATGTGTTTGCGTTCCGAAAACAAGAGCTGAGCGGAGGAAAACACTTAAGGGCCTTTGATGTGGAGGGAGGGAAATTATTAAACAAAAGGGAAGCCCGGCCCCTGCATTGGAGATCTGATTATAAATAAACATATGATTCACTGTATTATCCGCCTGCCTGAAAAGCCAGGGTCCTCCCCGCTCTACCAATCCAAACAATGCTGAATCTGAACGGCTCTGAGGCGGGGAGGTTGGGAAGGCTCCAGCAGATTCATTTCAGCTGGCGAAACTGACACTTCCTCTGGGATCGGCGAGTGGAGCTGTCGGCACTCAAGCTATCTGTCTGCCTTCCTTCAGGCCTCCCTGTGGGACGCCGGATCCCTGCCGTCCCTCTCTTGGCCCTCTGGTCCCCCAGCTCCGATGCTATCAGGCACCAAAAATAATAACAACGACAATACTTTTAAAGAAAACACAACCGAGACCTTATCTCGGGCTCGGATGTGAAACAACTTCCTCCTGTTGTACTTCTTTTGTGCGCCGAGAATAAAACGTCTGGGGAGGCCTGCAAGCCGGCAGCTTAATGGGGGCTTTTCCAGTTTCCCCATTTTCCGGCTCAGGCAGAGCTTAGAGGAACAAGTTAGCACGCAATATGCTAACTTTTAAGAGAGAGAGAGAAACAGAGAGAAGTGGGAGGGCAGAGAAGGAGAGAGAGAAACAGCCACACAAATTTCTCATCCCAGCACATTAGGAAGGGGCGAATCTGCCCATTTTGATTTCCACCATTTTCTGTCAGGCCCGGGAAGTGGGCGAATTAAAGCTTTCGTTTTAATGCAGCACCTTGCAACCACAACTAGGGGTGGGAGATACAGTGGTACCTCGGGTTAAGTACTTAATTCGTTCCGGAGGTCCGTTCTTAACCTGAAACTGTTCTTAATCTGAAGCACCACTTTAGCTAATGGGGCCTCCTGCTGCCGCTGTGCCACCGGAGCACGATTTCTGTTCTCATCATGAAGCAAAGTTCTTAACCCCAGGTACTATTTCTGCGTTAGCGGAGTCTGTAACCTGAAGCATATGCAACCTGAAGCCTATGTAACCCGAGGTACCACTGAACAGTCAGTTTAGGTTTCTCTCAGTTTCTCATTTTTCCAATCTTGAGCTGAGTTTTCCACATCAGTCTGCATTTTTTTTTAAGTCCTCATGAAAATTCACCAGCATTTTAGTGTGAATTTCTCCTGCTCTGCACATTTTTGTATCCGATTTTTCCAAATTCACATTTTTATTTTTATTTTTGCATACCAGTTTCTCCACATACAATGCGTTTGTGCATGCCACTTTCACAAATATATACCCATTTCCATGCACACTTTCCTCTTAATGTTTCGGTATTTGTACAGGTTAGCTGAAGGGAGGGTAGCGTTGCAAAATTCAGAAAAGTGCAAATTCGAAGGATCGCTGTCTTCCAGTGTGCAAATTGTTAGAGAAAGTGCAGATTAGATAAGTGTGCATTTAAAGGGGAACTGAACTGACTCTCTCCCCCCTCCCTAAAACAGGCTGACAATTTTTTTTTTATGCTGTAACCAAAACAACAGCAGAGATGATCAAATCTGCAGGGCAATGTTTAATTTCTCTCGGTTCCAATCTCCTGACATCTGAATATCTGGGCATTAGCCTGGAGAAGAGGAGGTTAAGGGGTGATATGATAGCCATGTTCAAATATATAAAAGGATGTCACATAGAGGAGGGAGAAAGGTTGTTTTCTGCTGCTCCAGAGAAGCGGACACGGAGCAATGGATCCAAACTACAAGAAAGAAGATTCCACCTAAACATTAGGAAGAACTTCCTGACAGTAAGAGCTGTTTGACAGTGGAATTTGCTGCCAAGGAGTGTGGTGGAGTCTCCTTCTTTGGAGGTCTTTAAGCAGAGGCTTGACAACCATATGTCAGGAGTGCTCTGATGGTGTTTCCTGCTTGGCAGGGGGTTGGACTCGATGGCCCTTGTGGTCTCTTCCAACTCTATGATTCTATGATTCTAACGAAAAGTAAGATAGTGAAATGCATTTGGCCGACCCAAAGCGAAACCTCATCCTCTTTCCCCCGTGTGTCCCATGCGGAATCCTAAAAGCAGCGACGAAAATGTTAAAACTTAACGTTGAAATTTTATTGGCTGGAAGCCATGTCCAGCTCTGGTTTCCAAGCCGAAGGATCTATTCAATACCCTCCATTAAGATCAAATGGGCGAAAGTATTTTGGTTTGGGAAAATGCTTTAGTTGCGTCTAGAGGCTTAGCTAGCTCCACTTCCAAATTTTGAAGCCCCCCCCCAAGGTGTTCTTAATCTCCAGCTGTTTCTAGACTACCATTCCCATCATCCCTGACCGCTGGCCCTGCTAGCTAGGGATGATGGGAGTTGTAGTCCAAAAACAGCTGGAGACCCAAGTTTGGGAAACATTGGTGTAAAAAGAGGCCCTACTGGATCTGGCCATTGGCCCCTGTAGCCCAGCACCCTCTTCTAATAATAATAATACCTTTCCCTTTAGGTGCTGTGGGTTAAACCACAGAGCCTAGGACTTGCCGATCAGAAGGTCGGCGGTTCGAATCCCCGCGACGGGGTGAGCTCCCGTTGCTCGGTCCCTGCTCCTGCCAACCTAGCAGTTCGAAAGCACGTCAAAGTGCAAGTAGATAAATAGGTACCGCTCCGGCGGGAAGGTAAACGGCATTTCCGTGCGCTGCTCTGGTTCGCCAGAAGGGGCTTAGTCATGCTGGCAACATGACCCGGAAGCTGTACGCCGGCTCCCTCGGCCAGTAAAGCGAGATGAGCGCTGCAACCCCAGAGTCGGTCATGACTGGACCTAATGGTCAGGGGTCCCTTTACCTTTACCTTTTTATTATTTATACCCCAGCCATCTGGCTGGGTTTCCCCAGCCACTCTGGGCGGCTTCCACCAAAATATTAATATACAATAATTCATCAAATATTAAAAGCTTCCCTAAACAGGGCTGCCTTCGGATGTCTTCTAAAAGTCAGATGTCTTCTAAAAGTCATAGTGGCCAACCAGATGCCCCAATGGGAAGACAAGATCTGAGCACAACAGCCGCGCTTTTCCTCCTTGCAATTCCAGACACTGGCGTTCAGAGCCTAATGCTGGCTTTCTTCAGATGCCTAGACCCTTGAAAGCAGGAGGTGAAGGTGGCACACTGAACGCACCAAGTGGTAAAGGGTACTTAAGAATGCAGGAATCTGCCTGACAAAAGTCAAGAGGGTTGATCCAATACCAGGTCCAGTGTGGCCTACCCCATCCGAGATCCTAGACCAGGGCTGGTCCCTCCAGATGCTTCTGAACTACAGTTCCCACCAGTCCCTCAGTAAACAGGGCCAAATTGTAGATGGGAGGCTGCTCCTCACAGAGCTATGATTCCCAGAGTTCCCTTTGAAGAGGGGTTGGCTGTTAGACCATTCTGGGAACTGTAGCTCTGTGAGGTAAACAACAACTCTCAGCATCCTTGACAGACCATTTTGTTGTTGTTTAGTCATTTAGTTGTGTCCAACTCTTCGTGACCCCAGGCACTCCTGTCTTCCACTGCCTCCCGCAGTTTGGTCAAACTCATGTTACTAGCTTTGAGAACACTGTCCAACCATCTCGTCCTCTGTTGTCCCCTTCTCCTTGTGCCCTCAATCTTTCCCAACATCAGGGTCTTTTCCAGGGAGTCTTCTCTTCTCATGAGGTGGCCAAAGTAATGGTGTCTCAGCTTCAGGGTCTGTCCTTCCAGTGAGCACTCAGGGCTGATTTCCTTCAGAATGGATAGGTTTGATCTTCTTGCAGTCCATGGGACTCTCAAGAGTCTCCTCCAGCACCATAATTCAAAAGCATCAATTCTTTGGCGATCAGCCTTCTTTATGGTCCAGCTCTCACTTCCATACATCACTACTGAGAAAACCATAGCTTTAACTATTAGGACCTTTGTTGGCAAGGTGCTTTTTAAGATGCTGTCTAGGTTTGTCATTGACAGACCATAGCTCCCAGAATTCTTTGGGGAAAGCCATGACTGTTTAAAGCGGTATCACAGCGCTCTAAACACATGATGTGACTGTGGACAGTTGGTTGACGCAATAATAGTGCAACAGTGGTGGATTTATACTGGACTGTGCACGCATTGTTCTGTTACATTATTTGCTCTTTGGTCACACTATTGCCGCCTGGAGGAACGCTCTTGCACAATATATGCGGGTCCCGCTATGCAAATACATTGCAGATTCAGATATCCAAACTGCTGGACCTGCTTGCAGTACTGTAAACAAACAAGCCTTATTTTTTTGTGTTTTGCTGGTCTTTGACAGACATTTCACCAGAAACCATGGTGGGAAGGATGGAGGGGTTTGGACAAATAAGGAATCATTTTTTTCCCTTTCTTGTATGCCTTTTGTAAGGTTTTCTAAGGTTTTTCTGGGTTTTTGTTGTTGTCATTTTGGAGGTCAAAATTCTGCGTTCGGGAACGCATTAGAAATTTCCCCATAGGAATCAATGGAAATTGTTGGCTCATTTTGTGAACACTGGCAAACTATTTCCTGAGAATGCCTTGTGTATGAATATCAAGACTTGCACGTATAATGCCAAAAGTGGAGGGAAACAAAGAAACCTGGAACACAGAATCATAAGGTTGGAAGGAACCCTAAGGGCCAACATTTCGAATTCCCGGAAGTATGGGAATCACAGCTAAAGAATCACTGACAGATGGCCATCCAACCTCTGCTTAAAAAAATCAAATGAGGCAATATAGCATCAAGCAGTTGGTCCCTTACCTTTCCTGCCCCAACCTGGCCACAGTGATCCATGCGACGCTCATCTCCAGGGTTGACTACTGTAATTCGCTCTACGCGGGGCTGCCCTTGAAGCTGTCCCAGAAACTCCAGCGGGCGCAGAATGCTGCAGCGAGGCTCCTCACAGGGTCTCTGCTATGGGAGCATATTCATCCAGTGCTTTTCAAGCTGCACTGGCTCCCGGTGGAGTACAGGGTCAGATTTAAGGTGCTGCTTTTGACCTTTAAAGCCCTTCACGGCCTAGGACCCTCGTACCTACAGGACCGCCTCTCCTGGTGTGTCCCACGGAGAGCCTCAAGGTCCATAAATAGCAACACCCTAGTGGTCCCGGGCCCTAAGGAAGTTAGATTAGCTTCAACCAGAGCCAGGGCCTTTTCAACTCTGGCTCCGTCCTGGTGGAACGCTCTGCCTCATGAGACCAGGGCCCTGCAGGATCTGATTTCTTTCCGCAGGGCCTGTAAGACAGAGTTGTTCCACCTGGCCTTTGGCTTGGAGCCAATTTGATTCCCTCCCTCTCTTTCTTTTTTCTTTTCCTTCTCCTGCTGCGAGGAGGCTACATTTTAATATTTTAATGTTTCAATATTTTAATGTTGTATTTTAATTTTGTTTTTAAGTTGTAATCATTCAACTTGTTTTTATTATTGCTTGTAAGCCGCTCTGAGCCCGGCCTTGGCTGGAGAGGGCGGGGTATAAATAAAAATTATTATTATTATTATTATTATTATTATTATTTTACAGGATTTCACCAGGAAGCTACGAGAAATGCATAGATTAGAAAGAAAGCTGCATGTTTGCCCCAAAATTTTGCAGGCACAAACAGTATTTAAAGTGGGGTCATAATAAACCTCCCCCCCCCAATAATAATTAATGCACAATAAAAAGAACATCTGGATAGGCCCACAGAACCAAAATACCAATGGATCTTAGTTTAGGGTTCAAGGCAGTTCCTCCTTAAGGTTCAGTCAAAATCTGTCCACCTGTAACTTAAGAAGTTTCTAGGTTAACAATGGCCTGGTTGGGGGGGGGTGTGAATCTCTGTCATGTAATAAGAGGAAAAGCCTCTTGAGTCCAAGGAGATGTTTGGACCTCATTAAAAATCCCCGACAAGAGAATCGGCTGGCAAATTCCAAGCTGTTCCCCCCACCCTACCCCCAGCATGCCCCCTTGGGAAGGATTGAATCCGCAAAGCTGGAGGAAAATGAACAGCTGGGATTCATCCTTGTAGAAATCAGTCAAAGCCTTTGCTTTTCGCATTAATGAGTTGGCTAAATTGGTCTGCGTCTGCCCCAAAACTGCACGGACCTTTCTCAAAACAATCTGGAGAGCTTTCTGCAGAAGGCGACATTTGTCTGTGGGCAGGGGGGAGTTGATTCGTAAGTCGGCAACGGTTGATCAAGGCATCCTCTGCGGGAGTGTGCAGGATCCCAACGGAGTCTTGAAAACTCCGGTACCTATTTATCTACTTGTACTGGTGTGCTTTTGAATTGCTAGGTTGGCAGGAGTTGGGAGAGAGCAACAGGAGCTCACTCCATCGTGGGGATTCGAACCGCCATCCTTCCGATCGGCAAGCCCAAGAGGCTTAGTGGTTTAGACCACAGTGCCACCCGCATCCCTGCTTCTGAGTACCAGTCGATAGGAACCACAGAAGGGGAATGTACAATTGCACTAAGGTCCTGCTTACAGGTTTCCTGTATATAATTGAAATAATAGTAATAATAATAATAATAATTTCTTATTTATACCCCACCCATCTGGCTGGGCCTCCCCAGCCACTCTGGGCGGCTTCCAACAAAACACTAAAATACAATAACCTATTAAACATTAAAAGCTTCCCTAAACAGGGCTGCCTTCAGATGTCTTCTAAAAGTCAGATAGTTGTTTATTTTCTTGACATCTGGTGGGAGGGCGTCCACAGGGCAGGTGCCACTACCGAGAAGGCCCTCTGCCTGGTTCCCTGTAACTTGGCTTCTCGCAGTGAGGGAACCGCCAGAAGGCCCTCGGCGCTGGACCTAAGTGTCCGGGTAGAACAATGGGGGTGGAGACGCTCCTTCAGTTATACTGGACCGAGGATTCTGGACTAAATGGGTCACTGGCCTGATCTAGAAGGCTCTTCCTATGTCCTTACGTTGTTGGGGAATTTTTTTTTAAATTTTTTTGGTAAGAATTAAAACTGCTAAAATCTTTTAAAAATGTTTCTTTTAATTTTTATTGTTTTCTAAAACAACAACAACAACCATATGCACTCTCTTACTCTTTCTTTCCCAGGCCGAGCCCCTGACACCCAAACTCTCAACTTGGAGATGGCTGGAGTGAAAACAAATCCCGCGACGGGGAAAATCATTGTTGATGCAAGAGAAACTACTTCTGTTCCTCACATTTATGCAATTGGAGACATAACAGAGGTAGACGTCTACATAAACTCCTTGACAATGACAGGAAAACTTACTTTGTTCTTGATTAATAACCGCTGCCCATTTGTCGTCAAGCCTATATCAGCGTGTTAAAGCCCCGCTTTTCGTTTTCATTTGGAGTGTTTATGCCAGCAACACAGAACAGTAATTTCCTCCACGCAGAACACCTCTGCGTTAGAGATTATTACTGATGCTTATCAGGTGAAAAGCATTATGTGGCAACAGCTGGCAAGAAGGCTTTGTTATCTCTCCTATATCAATTCTGCCTCTGAAATAAATAGGTTTTGCTGCCCGTGGAAGGCAAAAAAAAATACAGCTATTTTTTTTAAAAAAAGGCTGAAGGTGTTAGTAATTTGACTGCGAAATCAAACTGATTGACAATTAAGTTCACACGGTTTTTGCAAAAACACTTCTTACTTGCTCTCTCTCTCTGAAAGCAATGCATCATGCTATCTTGCTGGCAGCAACTCACAACTTCTAACCATTCTTGCAAGAGAGGCAAAATGTTTTGGGGCTGAGAAGGTTTCCCCTCCATCTCTAGTAACACTGGACTTGAGGGCACCCAGAAAAGCCGAATGACAGAAGATTCAGTACAGACAAAAAAAGAAGTAGCTTCTCCACACAGCCCCTAGTTAAACTATAGAATTTGCTCCCACAAAATGTAATGATGGCCACCAACTGGAATGACATGTACATATAATTAAATTTTCTAATTTACATTTCAAAATATTCATTTACACAACCTTAAATCAAAGACTTCCCTTCCTCTCTTTCCATGGTTCATTTTACATACCATTCATCCCTGCGTATTTTACATGAACTGAACCATTCAATAATCCATTGTTACATCCATCAAAACTTATTTACATTGTTGAATCTATCTTAGTGCTACCAGCATTTTTAAATAAACACAATTTTTACCCATATATTCAGTAAACATTTTCCAGGCTTCTTTAAACGTACATTCTTCTTGTTCTCTTATTCAAAAAGTTAAGTCTGCAAGCTGCACGGATTCCATCAGTTTAAGCTGCCATTCTTCTTTGGTCGGGACCTCGCTCATTTTCCATTTGGGGGCTAACAAAACACGGGCTGCAGTAGTAGCATACACAAATAACCTTTTTTTGACATCTGGGAATTTCCCTCTGAATTATTCCCAACAAAAAGGACTCTGGTGGTTGTTTTTTTGGAACGGTACTTTTAAACATTTTTTTTTCCCAATTCATTATATATTATTTCCCAATATTCTTTTACCCTTTTACAAGTCCTCCAACGGGAATCACTTTTAAAGGAGAACAGAAAAAATTGTGGAGAAGAAAGCTATTAGTGCAGGGGTCAGCAAACTTTTTCAGCAGGGGGTTGGTCCACTGTCCCTCAGACCTTGTGGGGGGCTGGACTATATTTTGGGAGGAGAAATGAACGAATTCCTATGCCCCACAAATAACGCAATTTATACGTTTTCCAATTCTAATTACACTTATTACAGAATATCTCGGAAATTTAAATAAAGATAGAAAGAGAGAAAAATTCTCATTACAAGTCTTCAGACAACCCTGCTAGTGGTGTTAATTGTTTACAATGATCTTTCAGATACCGTATGAATTTACTCCAGTCTTTTTGGAATACTTGATCTTGCTGGTTTGGGATTTTTCCTGTCAGCTTCGCCAGTTCTGCAAAGTCCATCGTCTTCATCTGCCCCTCTTCTTTCGTTGGTATTTCTTGTTTCCATTTTGGGGCTAAAATAATTCTTGCTGCAGTTGTTGCGTACATGAACAGGCTTTTGTCTTCCCTTGATATCTCTTCACCCCCTATACCCAAGAGAAAAGTTTCCAGTTTTTTAACAAAATTATTTTTAAACACCTTCTTTAACTCATTATATACCATTTCCCAGAAAGCCTTTACGAGTTCTAGAATTTTTATTGCGATAATCTAACATAGTCCCACGCATGGGTGCAAAGCGAGCGTTTGTGTCGACTTGTTTACTCAGGGAAGTCTTAAGCCATTGTTTTTTCATACGCACAGAGAGCGAAAAATACCCTGCGCTTATGTCTGCAGGGATGTTTTAGTAATTAGCTTGGGTGTTCCTCGTGCTTTTTTTTAAAGGAATGTATGCCAGAGGCTTTCCTCCCCCACCCTCCAGGTTTTATCTCTTTCTCTGATCTCTGGAACGCCAAAATAACATCTGTATTTCCTGCCACAGAAATGATTGGCAGCTGCATTTCAGGCGGGGGAGAGGGAAACGGCAACGTTGACAAATCACATTGACAGACGATCTTGAAAGCCAAAACGTTAGTTCGGAAAAAGAGATAACACGTACATTTGCCTAAACCTTGGGATTAATCCCAAACTGCAACTTGGGACTTGCTTCCGATCTTTTTAATTATCATTAAACGTATAACAAACAAGGCGAACAGATTATATGAGTTTTTGATCTGCTGTTTATGACTTATCTTGAGGTGTTGCCGTATTGCCTCTTTTGTACAAATTTATTCCAATGTTTTTCTTTATATCTTTGGTCTCCTTATCTTATACCTGACCATTCTCAATTGTATCCCACCGCCCTTTTGATGATTTTTGGAAATATTCTGTTAGTCTTGTTTGTTATCCCTCTCCCACTCTCTCTCTCTCTCACACACACACGCACACAAAAACACTCTCACACACAAACACACACACACACACACAGAGGTGCCAGAACTCACCATGAATGCCCCCCTTGTTCTCTTCTAATGGCAATGGAACTCGCTAAGAGCTGCCAGAATTGAGTTCTGACTGAACAGATAGATAGATAGATAGATAGATAACATAACTTAGTCCAGGTCATGAGTTCAAGTCTCGCATTGACATTTTGGACCTCTCCTAATTCCGTTGTCTTGTCTTAGGGTCGCCCCGAACTAACGCCTACGGCCATTGCTGCAGGGAAGCTGGTTGCTCAGAGGCTATTTGGCCAGTCGGCAGAACTCATGGATTACGACAACGTGAGTAATTTTGCGAGTTTTTTTCTTCCCTGGGGGTTCGAAAATGAACGATTTGTTGCAAAGCAATCACATACAGCGGCCATACTTCTCCATGGGCGTGAATAAGTGTTTCGTTGTGGTTGTTATTTAACATCTATAGTACAGTGGTAGCTCGGTTTTTGGACGTCTCAGAAGCCTAACGTTTCAGTTTTCGAATGCCAAAAACTCGGAAGTAAATGCTTCCGTTTTCGAATGCGCCTCAGAAGTCAAACAGCTTCCACTGCCTGCATCTGTTGTTTTCCACAATTTTCTCTAGACTACCCTTTGCGCCTCGATTTTCGAACTTTTCGGAAATCAGGCGGTCTTCCGGAATGGATTACATTCGAAAACCGCGGTACCACTGTATTAAAGATAAAGGGACCCCTAACTGTTAGGTCCAGTCGCGGAGGACTCTGGGGTTGCGGCGCTCCTCTCATTTTACTGGCCGAGGGAGCTGACATTTGTCCGCAGACAGTTTTTCCGAGTCATGTGGGCAGCATGACCAAGCCACTTGTGACGAACCAGAGCAGCGCACGGAAATGCCATTTACCTTCCCACCAGAGCGCTATGTATTTACTTGCATTTTGACGTGCTTTCAAACTGTTAGGTTGGCAGGAGCAGGGACCGAGCAACCGGAGCTCACCCCGTCGCGGGAATTCAAACCACCAACCTTCTGATCGGCAAGCCCCAGGCTCTGTGGTTTAGACCATAGCACTACCCGCGTCCCTGCACCAGTGTATTAGTATTAATTAATTAATTAACCACTGTATTAGTGTTAATTAAATCAATATACCCCTTAGTTGCCAACATGGCATCAAAGCAGTTTATAAATTGCAAAACATGGATAATTCAAGTAAACAACAAAACAATGCTAGGGTCATGGGGGATCAACGACTTGTTAGTATTATTTCTGTAGCAGAGTCCTTGTCTATAGCATCTTAGAACCACCCAATCAGCATGAAAGGGGAGCTTTTTGGCCAATGAGAATAAGCCTTCTTGCTCTGTGGGTTGATGGGAGCCAATCAGAGTGCAAAGAGGTGAGTCAGCCACTGAGGATTGGCTCCCGGGATCACTCTGAAGAAGGGGTGAGGGAAGAACATGGAGAAGGAGTTGATCTAGGGGAAAGGCAATATATGGAGGATCTGCACTGATCATTGCAATATATCCCTAATTGTAGCTTGTATAATAATAAAGTTATTGTATAATCTAACTGTGAGTTGATCTGGTTGTCACTATTATGAAGGGGATGCTGCATCAACCCCTCTTAGTGGTGCAGCAATGAAACCGCTAGAACATTTGTGAAGCTAAGCAGGGTCCGGTATGGTTTGAAATCGGATGGGGGACCGCATGTTGAGATTCCTGCATTGTTGGGGGTTGGCCTAGATGGCTTTTCCCACTACACTACTACTGTGTGTCATTAAGTTTTGGGGGATAGGGAGAAGCATGGGGCTCTTGATCTATTGGCTTGAGAGTAACAGGATGGCCGCGAAGAATTGGAAGAAACAAGATTTACCAACTATCGAAGAATGGCAGATGAAGATGATGGACTATATGGAACTTGCTGAACTGACTGGGAGACTCCGAGACCAGAGAGAAGAGACGTTGGAAGAAGACTGGAAGAAGTTTAAGGAATATTTTTTTTTAAATGTTAATATTTAAACCTAAGAATAGCTTTGGAAGTGGATATAGGCTGTAGGGTTAGAAGTAGAAGTTAGGGTATTTTAAAATAGTATTATTTGTAAGTGATAAAATGTGAAGTTATTTTAAGTGTGATTAAAAAAAAGATGGTTAGAAATTATGATATATGTAAACTGCTAAAGATGAAGTAAAATGAAAATCAGATAGGTGGGACTTGGGGAAGCCCACTTAACAATGTTTAGAAAAATAAGGATATGAAAAGAATTTGTTCATTTTGTTTGTCTTTTCTGTTTGTGTTTTTTATTTGTGTTATAAAATGAATAAAAAATTTTGAGGGGGGGAAAGAAAGTAACAGGATGGCCTTCTATCGCCTAGGTGCCTACCACTGTTTTCACCCCCCTGGAGTATGGCTGTGTAGGACTCTCGGAAGAAGAAGCTGCAGGGCGGTTTGGAGCAGATCATATAGAGGTATGCTGGGCTCCTGACAGGCATGGCTGCTGGCCACCAGTGCTGAGTAGCCAGCTTCCTCTGCCACTGTGTGTCAGGGACTGTGCTGAGGAGGGCTGCACTGAGGAAGAATGGTGGGAGCCACCCCTCCTCCTGATCCTGAATCTTCCCGGGAGCAGGAGGACAGTATAGATTAGGAACAGTGGTTTGCAGAGGGGCCTAGTTTAGAAGGCAGAAGCTGGGAAATACTGGATGGGGAGCAAGCTAGCAGAAGAAACACTAGAAGAGAGAGATTTCTCTTATCAGAAATGATAAAAATGTAAAATGAAGCAATGATGTAAGGCAGGCGCTGGCTCTGATTGCATCTTCCGATATTCCTTTCTATTAGGTGTACCATGCGTTTTATAAGCCATTGGAATTTACCGTGGCCGAAAGAGATGCAGCTCAATGTTACATAAAAGTAAGTTCGTGTTCCTGGCGTTTGACCTCCACTTCCAGCACGGAGGCTCTGCATCCTTGGCTTTGCTGGAAAGATGGTGGGGACAAAGGTGGCTCGTAGTATGTGTGTTTGTTGTTATTTAGTCGTTTAGTCGTGTCCGACTCTTCGTGACCCCCTGGACCAGAACATGCCAGGCACTCCTGTCTTCCACTGCCTCCCGCAGTTTGGTCAAACTCATGTTAGTAGCTTCGAGAACACTGTCCAACCATCTCGTCCTCCGTCTTCCCCTTCTCCTTGTGCCCTCCATCTTTCCCAACATCAGGGTCTTTTCCAGGGAGTCTTCTCTTCTCATGAGGTGGCCAAAGTATTGGAGTCTCAGCTTCAGGATCTGTCCTTCCAGGGAGCACTCAGGGCTGATTTCCTTAAGAATGGAGAGGTTTGATCTTCTTGCAGTCCATGGCCCTTGCTATAATCACTTACCTGGGGAGGCTGGCATGGGGCAAATGCACTGTCGGAGCCTATCCAGCCTCCTTGCTGCTGCGTTTGCACTGCACCAACCTCCTCGTCTGCCGGGAAGCTGCCATAGCAGTTCTGCCCTACCTGATGATTTGCTTCTGCATAGCGGTAGGGTGTCAAAAAAACTGCCACCCCTGTCTTCCCAGTGCCAGGGTGTCCTGCTCTTGTCCAGGCTCACATTTGCCTCTGCTGTTGGCAGCCCCCCCCCCCCAGGTTGTGTATGTTTTGTGGCATTTTATGCATTGTTACTTGCCGTTATTTTTATAGTTCTTCATTGCAATTGTTAAGCGTAAACTACTTAATTATTATTTGCTGGTATTTAATTTTACTGTTTACTATTATATTCCAATGGATTGTTGAATACAGTGGTACCTGGGTCCTCAAACTTAAACCGTTCCAGAATTCTGTCCCAAAACCAAAGCATTCCAAAACCAAGGCGTACTTTCCCATAGAAAGTAATGTAAAATGGATTAATCCATTCCAGACTTTTAAAAGCAACTCCTAAAACAGCAATTTAACATGAATTTTACTATCTAACTTCCGGGTTTTCGGTGTTTGGGAACCAAGGTGTTTGAGTACCAAGGTGTTTGAGAACCAAGGTACCACTGCTTTATTTGCTGCAAGTTGTTTATTTTAAAGTTATCTCTTTATTATGACTTTTTTTTGTATTGAATCAGATTGTTATTGGGCGCTGTGCCCTTTGCTGTCTATTTTGTTGTTTCTTCAGCTTGCAAACCGCCTTGTGTATCATATTGTAGAAAGGCGTATACAAATCAAAAGGGAAATGAAAATGTCTGAAATCCTGGAGAACGGCTGCCTGTCAGTGTAGGCAGTACTGAGTTAGATGGACGAATAGTCCTCCTCCAAATAAGACAGCTTCCTATATTCTAAGCAAAAGGTGTAGTTTGGTGGTAGAGGAGATGGTTTGCATGCAGAATGCTCCCAGATTGGAAAGGACTTTCTCTGCCCTGAAAACCCTGGAGACCCACTGCCAGTCAGAGCAGACTAGGGCTAGGTGGATAAACAGTCTCACCTGTCCCAGTCTCAGTTCCTGGCATCTCCAGGCAGGCCTGTGGGTGTCCCCTGCCTGAAACCATGGAGAAGTTGCTGGCAGTCAGTGCGTGCAACACTGCGCTAGATGGACCGATGGTCTGAAGCGCTAGATAGTCAGCTATCCTCTGAGAGTGACAGAGCATCCACCTTGCAGAAGGCCCCAGATTCAGTCCCTGGTGTCTCCCGGTCAGGCTGAGAAGGTGCCTTGTCTGAAACCCTGGCGAAGGCACTGCCAGCCAGTGCAGACAGAACTGAGCTCCATGGGCCAGTGTTCAGCAGGAGGCAGTTTCTTGTGTCTTCTGACAGTCTCCTGCTGCTCCCCGTTTTGCTTTCAGATGGTGTGCTTACGCCAGCAAGAACAGCGAATCCTCGGCCTTCATTTCATTGGCCCAAACGCCGGCGAAGTTATTCAAGGATTTGCCCTTGGAATCAAGTAAGTGGAATTGAGAATTCTGCACTCCACCCCATCCGCTCCCTTCCTAGAGTTTTCCGAAAGCCTTCTCTTTTAAGTCACCCTAAGATTATGAAAGATAGCGGTTTAGCTTTTGGCAGTGCTAAAAAAAGAGCCCATGTTTCCATTTACTTTTATGTCTCGTTTCCTAGATTATCGTTTTTTTAAAAAATATGGCCTTTCCTTATTAATAAAACGTTGGGCTTAGTGACGGATGTACCAGGTTTCTTGCATTTATGTTTATGAAATATGTTTCTTGGCAAACCGTACAGCCCTCCTCCAAAAAAAAATCCATTTTGCTATGCAGCTGTTAACTCTTCAAAGTGCAGCAAAGGCAAAAGCTTTATGTTTTCAGGATAATAAATGATCGCTGAAATATGCAGAAGCCTTTCTTTTAAAAGAGATTGGGGGGGGGAATCTAAAAGCTTTTTTTGATTATGTTTTGTGGGGAGGCTTGCAGGAGGAATCATCAAAGCTTTGGAGAGAATGGTCATATTTTCTTTTAAAGTCTGCACCGTGGCAGGGGGGTAAAGGTAAAGGGATCCCTGACCATTAGGTCCAGTCGTGGCCGACTCTGGGGTTGTGGCGCTCATCTTGCTTTATTGGCCGAGGGAGCCGGCGTACAGCTTCCGGGTCATGTGGCCAGCATGACTTAAGCCACTTCTGGCGAACCAGAGCAGTGCACAGAAACACCGTTTACCTTCCCGCTGGAGAGGTACCTATTTATCTACTTGCATTTTGACATGCTTTCGAACTGCTAGGTTGGCAGGAGCAGGGACCGAGCAACGGGAGCTCACCCCGTCGTGGGGATTCGAACTGCCGACCTTCTGATTGGCAAGTCCTAGGCTCTGTGGTTTAACCCACAGCGCCACCCACGTCCACAGTGGGGGTGGGGTGTTGGTTTCACTAAACCAGAGGTGTGGAACCTGCAGCCCTCCAGATGTTGTTCAACTTCCAGCAGGTCCAATAGGCAGAGTTGGTGAGGATTGCAGTTTGGCAACATCAGAACTGAGGGGGTCCCACCTCCTGGAAAGTGTGGGGTTACCTAGCAGGGTGCTAAGAGACAAGGATGCAGCAGTAGGGCACTGTCAGTATAAACGATTATCAGACTGGATCAGATTCATCAGTTTTGTTGCATTAATTAAACTAAATAGTTCTGGATTTTGAATAAGCGTTCAATTAATTGTTACTGTTTTGAATTCGATCTTGTTAGTGGTTCATGCAAGCCCTATTCTGAATAATGCTTTTTATAGGGTTAGGGAGCACAGGGAATGAGGGTGGCGCTGTGGTCTAAACCACTGAACCTCTTGAGCTTGCTGATCAGAAGGTCGGTGGTTCGAATCCCCGCAATGGAGGGAGCTCCTGTTGCTCTGTCCCAACTCCTGCCAACCTAGCAGTGTGAAAGCATACCAGTGCAAGTAGATAAATAGGTACCGCTGCGGCGGGAAGGTAAACAGCGTTTCCGTGCACTCTGGTTTCCATCATGGTGTCCCATTGCACCAGAAGCGGTTTAGTCCTGCTGGCCACAAGACCCGGAAAGCTGTCTGTGGACAAATGCCGGCTTCCTCGGCCTGAAAGCAAGATGAGTGCCACAACCTCATAGTAGCCTTTGACTGGACTTAACTGTCCAGGGGTCCTTTACCTTTTACCTTAGGGGGCACAGGAGGTGAGTTTATGGAACCAAGCGTCCTGTAGCCCAAAATAGCTGGAGAGTCACTGAACACAGGCTGGGAAAGCGGAGGAGTTTGGTTGGCGCTTCTCGAAAACAGTACTCAGACTGAAACACGTGCCTTCAGAATTCACACATCTCCAAATGTCGCGATGCGTTTCTCTGTCCAAAATACTCTACGAAAGGAATATATATTTGGGGGAAAGCAGACCTCAAAATATACCCCCAAAAAACTTAAGTTAACAGTTCCTTAAAATGAAATAAAAACTGAATTGTGGCATCTTTTAATGTCATTAAAGTGCAATCTTGTGCATACTTTCCTGGGAGTCTGTCCCACTGAGTAGACATTGCATTGTAAGAAGTGGCTTTAAAATAAAATAAAAGCAACTTTTAAACTTTGCAGATTTGCTCTACCCACTCTCCGAGTTTCTCAAATTCAGCCTCCCCCAACCAGATGGAGACTCCATCTCCCATAAGCACCGGCCACCATGGCCAATCATCAGGGAGTTGCAGTTCACCACATCTGGAGTGAACTACAAGTTAGGAGAGGCTGATCTAATTACTTTAAACTGTTGCTAAAAGAGGACCGTGGTGCTCTTTGCGGACAGTGGGGGCAGACACTCCTGGAGATAAGCAATTTTGGTAAATTTCCATTCCGGAGAAACTTTGCTCTTCAAAAAATCCCAGGGCTGGTTGGGTGCTTTTGTAACATTTAGGAAATCTCCCTGTGCCTGGTGCCAGGTTCCTTTTCCTTGTCGCTGCTGCTCTCTAGCGTCTGAAAGGAGTAAGGTCTAAAAAAGGAAGCTGAGTTTCTGCATGGGATGAGAGCAGTGCTGGATTAACGTATAACCTGGACAAGCTATAGTTTAGGGCCCCACTCTCTGGGGGCCCCCAAAAAAATGTAAAGGAAAAAAACCTAGATGTACATTTCCAATATATAAGATAAAAAACAACTAAAATAAAACCTACATACAGCAACAATGTTTTGTGTTGCGTTGGCTCATATGATGTAAGGAATGCCAGCCTGCTCCCTAAAATATCACTGGTTTGCTCATTTCAATATATAGGGTGCCTACATTCTGCATAGACTTTGCAATCTGCATGGACTTTTCAACAATTACTTTGATAAAATACGTATTTTGTTATGTGCAAATGGCTTTAGGTACCTATTAGATTCATAAATTACCATATAGCATATATTCAACACAAAAAAACAGTGACAATTTGTTGTTGACAGCTGGACATATAAAGGGCCCCATTACCTTCAGTAGCTTAGGGCCTCATCAGACCTAAATCTGGTCCTGGATGATAGGAAATGAAGATTTGTTTCTGCTGTTTTGCAAAGGATCTGCTTTAACAAGACAAGTTATTGCAGATTGCTTGTTGTGGAGAGTACAGTGGTACCTCGAGTTAAGTACTTAATTCATTCTGGAGGTCCGTTCTTAACCTGAAACTGTTCTTAACCTGAAGCACCACTTTGGCTAATGGGGCCTCCTGCTGCTGCTGCTGCACCGCCGGAGCACAATTTCTGTTCTCATCCTGAAGCACTATTTCTGGGTTAGCGGAGTCTGTAACCTGAAGTGTATGTAACCTGAAGCGTATGTAACCCGAGGTACCACTGTAGTTACACTTTGCTTTGAGGGGAATTCACCTAAGACCCAGTGTGGATGAGTGAGGGCTGGACTCGGGTCTAAAAATGGTCCGAATCATGGAATCGTAGCGTTGGAAGGGACCCTGAGGGTCATCCAGTCCAACCCCCTGCAATGCTGGAATATGCAGCTGTCCCATACAGGGATCGAACCTGCAACCCTGGCATTATCAACACCATGCTCTAACCAACTGAGCTATCCAGGCCCATTCAGTTTAACTGCTTCCTCAGGCTGGTCCATAACCTGTGGGCCAGCATCATTGGGAAAGATATCATGCTGACACAGGAACAGATCTTCCCAAGTTAGGGCCCTTTCGCGAGGCCTTTCTCTTCCACAGTCAACTGGACATGGAATTTAAATCTCCATTTCTGCGGTCACAGTTGCCCCATGCATTCAGACCACCGATATACCACTGTTAACAGCCGTGGCTTCCCCCAAAGCATTCTGGGAGCTGTCATTGGTTCAATATGGCAAGAGTTCTTAGGAGACACAGAGCTAAAGTTCCCAGCATTCTCCGGGGGACGTGATAGAGCAGTGCTTTAAAATGTGTTGTATGGATGTCAGTAAACCACCATGTTTCCCCATAGCAACCCCACAACCAGCACAGTCCCATTCAGTTCAATGGGACTTGATTCCTAGAAAGTGTGCATAAGGTTGCAACCTTGAAGTGGATTTTGGTGCCACTTAATAATAATAACTTAAAGTTGCTGACGATCCTCTGCTCCTGACCCTTTAAAATACAGTGGTACCTCGGGTTACAGATGCTTCAGGTTACAGACTCCGCTAACCCAGAAATATTACCTTGGGTTAAGAACTTTGCTTCAGGATGAGAACAGAAATCGTGCTCCAGCAGCACGGCAGCAGCAGGAGGCCCCATTAGCTAAAGTGGTGCTTCAGGTTAAGAATGGTTTCAGGTTAAGAACGGACCTCCGGAATGAATTAAGTACTTAACCAGAGGTACCACTGTAGCTGCTTCTTGTTCACTCAGTTTTTGACATTACTGGATCCTCCCTTTACTAAGTCATTTCCTTGCCTGTGGAACCTTTAAAAAAAAAATTCCCCCTTTGCAGCCCGAACAGTTCCTTGCATACTTGTTTGTTTTGCTCTTGCAGTTGCAGTAAAAGAAGAAATAAACACGAGCGATCAATTGCTCTGGCTCCTAGGAGGAAACGTGTCATTAAAGCCCCTCCTGCCCAAGCAGGGGTAAATTACTGGTTTAAAGGCTGATTCAGTAATCCTGTAGCAGGAAAGATTTGATAGGGCTTTCGCTGTCCACGCAATTTTATCCCTTTTCCTTCTTTGTAGATGTGGCGCTACCTATTCCCAAATGGCAAAGACGGTTGGGATCCACCCAACCTCTGCAGAGGAAGTTGCCAAACTGCACATCACCAAGCGGTCGGGGGCCGATCCTACCGTCACTGGCTGCTGAGGTTAGCTGCCATCCCTGGGTAGCAACTGAAAGAGCACCCGGCGTCAGGAATCTAAAGAAAAGGAGAGAACAGCTGGAAGATTGAGATATGGCAGGTCGGTTGCTTTAGCCTTCTTTTGCCAGCCTTCAGCCTAGTCTCACTTGGGTCCAAGGAGAACGTGTTTCGGGATGCTTAAACTGTGGAACTCCCTGCCACATGGAATGGTGAATGCCACTAGCTTAGACAGCAGTAAAAGCGGGTGGGGGTGACCTTTCTCAGCCCAAAGGCCACATTTCCTTCTGAGCAAGTGACACGCCTGCTGTTGGGCGAGGCATTGCAGGGGGTTGGACTAGATGACCCTTGGGACCCAACTTTACAACTCTATGATTCTGTGAAATGTTTCCGTAGCGCAGTAGGCTAGCTTTTGCGCACAGTAGACAGCTTTATCCTCCATCCAGACAAGCAAAAGGCCTTGTTCCATTGACACATTCCAGTCGGACACAAACAGTGAGGGGTGTGTCTTGGTGGGGAGAGTTATTCTTATTATTAATTGAATTTATATACCGCCCTATACCCCGAGGTCTCAGGGCAGTTCACATAAAAGATCACAATATATAAAATCAAAGTAAAAACAATAACCCAATAACACGCCGCCGCCCCCCCAAAAAGAGCCGCATTTTAAAGAGGTACAGGGTGTTGATCAGGTCAACCAAAGGCCTGATTAAAAAGGAACATTTTTGCCTGGCACCTGACAGTATAATGAAGGCGTCAGGCAAACTTCCCTGGGGAGAGCATTCCACAGACAGGGAGCCACTGCAGAGAAGGCCCTGTTCATGTGTTGCCACCCTCTGGATCTCTTGAGTCCTGCGAGCCAGCTCCAAGGCCCCAGCACTGCTTTGAAAGAATATGAGACAAATGGATGGAGGGCAAGGCTGCTAGACATGATGCCTGTGTGCTAATCCAGGTGACAGGATCGAGCCAGCAGTAAACCACACTGAGCAAGATGGAGTTAACTCTTTATTAGCAAAAACAGGATCTGCAGTGTCAGGCCTAATGAGTGCAGCACCTATCTCTGGCAGGTCTTGCCTCTGTGACACAGTTGCTGAGATCGAGAGTCCCAGCCTCCCCACAGCTGCCTAAATCCTCTCATCTCCAGGGTTTTCCCCAAGCAATCTGAGGCTGCGCCAGCATGAAGCTAACTTCTCCACCCTCTGCATGCCTCTCTTGATTCTAGGAAACCAGGGGGAAGGAGTTTGTCAGTCCTATCTCATGGCAGGGCAGAGCCTCAAAAAAAGATGTGCTCCCCTAATTCCCCACATCCCCAGCATGTTTACACCCCTGTCTCAGCGGTCCCTGTTGTAAGGAACTCAGCCTACACTCGAGTAGGACCCTGGTAGAGACACACGCCCGACTGGCAGGTTCTCTCCCTCCTGGTCTTTCATCTGGGAGCTTCAAAAGCTTTCTTCAGCCCGAACATCACTGTGACCGATACCAACCGACAGCAGCACACTTAGGGATCCGCAGAGTTTGCGCATCATGCGTAACGGATCTCAGCAACTCAGCATTTGGGCTAATTACTTTATTTACATATAAACTTACACGGAGCCTGGGACGCAGGTGGCGCTGTGGGTTAAACCATGGCTCCCTTTCACTCTAGCATCAGACAGCAAAGAGAAAAAGAACAAAGGACAATAGTCCCACTTCACGGAACACAGTAACACAAACATCCTGTCTCCGTCACTTCCCACTCTGTGGAGTCGAAATATGCACCGTCATGTGAAAGACAACAATCCCATGACTGCAATCGTGGAGCAGGAATTCTAACACCCCCTGCATGTTTACATCCCTGTCTCAGCGACATCTACGCTGGCCTAGCCATGCCCACAGAATGGAAGATGGCAGGATCTGCAAGGACGTGCGCTACGGGGAGCTGGCTCCTGGCACCAGGCCTGTTGGCAGACCGGCTCTGTGTTACAAAAATGTCTGCAAACATGACATGAAGGCTGGCAACATCGACCCCGCCATGTGGGAATCCCTTGCAGATGACCGTAGATAGTCAGGTCATATCCAGAGCAGAAATGGCTGCTGGGAGGAGCGCAGAGAGAAGAAATAATAATAATAATAATAATAATAATAATAATAATAATAATAATAATTTTATTATTTATACCCCGCCCATCTGGCTGGGCTTCCCCAGCCACTCTGGGCGGCTTCCGAAAAAATATTAAAATACTATAATACATCAAACATTAAAAGCTTCCCTAAAGAGGGCTGCCTTCAGATGTCTTCTAAAAGTCTGGTAGTTGTTGTTCTCTTTGACATCTGGTGGGAGGGCATTCCACAGGGCGCCACTACCGAGAAGGCCCTCTGCCTGGTTCCCTGTAGCTTTGCTTCTCGCAGTGAGGGAACAGCCAGAAGGCCCTCGGAGCTGGACCTCAGTGTCCGGGCTGAACGATGGGGGTGGAGACGCTCCTTCAGATATACTGGACCAAGACAGTTTAGGGCTTTAAAGGTCAGCACCAACACTTTGAATTGTGCTCGGAAAAGTACTGGGAGCCAATGTAGGTCTTTCAAGAAAAGCTATTGAGCATTTGCAGCAGCGCAGGCAGACGCCATCATCTGCCCCAGTTGCAGCAAAACATGTCTCTCCCATATCGGACTCTATAGCCGCAGCAAACTGTCCAGTGGTTTGACTTCAACCCCGAAGGCGCACTCGGATGCCAACAATTTTTGGTCATGCTTGCTGTGGGCAGTTGGAATCCGAGAATATTTGGAGGGTCATATCCCGTTCCTGTTGTAAATATTACTGAGCTTAGATGGCTCAGTGACCTGATTCTGTGCCAGACAGCTTCTACGTCCCTATTTCTAGGCCTGAAAAATCTTAAATGAACTCGGCAGCTCAAGGTTACTGCTGGTGGAGCTCGGCTGCCTTTTATGAAACACGACCCTTTTTCATTTTCATTTGTTTTAGCATGGCATAATTTTAATTCCATTGATAAGGAAGCCTTTGTTCTCTCAGAGGGTTTAGCCTTCTGCTAAAATCAAGGCTTCGTGGCTGGGATCGAAAGAGCAGATAGGGTAAAGTAAACATCCTGATTTTGCTCTGCGAGTTCCCACTGCGGAAGAGGCAAGCCGTAGAATCAGGAAATGAAACTTTGGCCGGCTCCGTGGCTCTTTTGCTCGCCGCATCCTGGTTTCTGCATGGGGGCTGCGTCTCATCAAGCCGAATATTGCATCCTGTGTGCCGAGAGCAGTTGCGTTCTCTAATTTGGATCCAGAACAACACCATCCAAGCACAAAACAGGGACGTATCACCAGGCTTGGGGGAGCCGCAAAGTTAGCAGGTGGAGCAATCCCTGCACTCGGGACTTTTTAATTCTGCGAGTCGGAAGTGGCGGGATAGGCATTTAAACAATTGTACATGTTGTGGAAGCAAGTGGCTAGAGAATGGTTTCTCTCCTTCTCACTGGAGTTCGTGAACATCCAGCGAAGGCAAATGTTGGAAGATCCAAGCTAGATAACAGAAAGTACTTCTTCATGCAGTGCGTAGGTCGACTGTGGAACTCACTGCCACTGGAGGCAGGAATGGCCACCAATTTAGATGGATTTTAAAAGAAGATTAGACAAATCCATGAAGGAAAAGGCTATCAACGGCTACTAATCATGATGGTTATATTCTGCCTCCTTGGTCAGAGGCAATAATGCCTCTGAGTATCAGTTGCCCAAAAGCGCAGGAAGAGAGTACTGTTGTGCTCAGGTCCTGTTGAGATTTCCCACACATCTGGGCAACCACTGTGAGGCCAGGATGCTAGACTGGGTGGCCCCTGGCCTGACGCAGCAGGTTATTCTTACGTTCTCATGCAGATGTCCCGAAAGACTCTTCAGGGAAAAGGAGATTAAGGAGAAGAAACCACTTAAGAAGTGGCCTATTCGATCAGGCCAGAGGCCTATCCCTAACCCTAGAATTGTAGAGTTGGAAAGGACCCCGAGACTCATCTAGTCCAGCTGCTTGCAATGAGTGAATCCTGCCCACAGCTGTCCAACATCCTGTTCTCCAGTATACCTGAAGGAGCGTCTCCACCCTCATTGCCAGACACTGAGGTCCTCCTCCAAAGGTCTTCTGCTAGTTCCCTCACTGCGAGAAGTGAAACTCCAGGGAACCAGGAAGAGGGCCTTCTTGGTGGTGGTGCCCTCCCTGAGGAACACCCTCCCTTCAGATGTCAAGGAGATAAACAACTACAGTGGTACCTCTGGTTGCGAACGGGATCTGTTCCAGAGGCCCGTTCGCAACATGAAAAGAGCGCAACCTGAAGCGCAGTATCTGCGCAGGTACGTGGCACGATTTAGCGCTTCTGCACATGTGGCAAAACCAGGAAGTAACCCTTTCCGGTACTTCCAGGTCACTGTGGGACGTAACCTGAAAGAACGTAACATGAAGCAAACGTAACATGAAGTATGACTGTATCTGACTTTTACAAGACATCTGAAGGCAGTCCTGTATCAGGAAGTTTTTAATCTTTGGTGTTTTACTGTGCTTAATGTTTTAATTTGTTGGAAGCTGCCCAGAATGGCTGGGGCAGACCAGGCAGATGGACGGAACACCAACAACAACGGTTGCAGCTCCTACTTATTCCTTAAGGAAAACGGCCCTTCTAAATTTTTGCCTCATTCCTTTCCTAATTCCTTTCTTATTTCCGTCTTTGCCAGGAGGGGGAGATGCTCCCTAACATGAATCAAGGCAGATGCCTAGTTGGTCGGTTTGTCTGCTTAGCAGAAAATAATTAACTGGACCGTGATAGCAAAATCCAAATCTAAATTTTTAAAAAAGCCCTCTTGCTTGCCTTTCTGCAAAGGCAACCCTTGCCAGCGATTTGATCTGAAGATCCGGCTGCCAACTTCCAGCGGGAGCCCTAACCCTGTCTACTCGGAAGTCAATCCTATTGAACTCAATGGGGCTTACTCCCAATTACACAGGAACACAGGATTCTCCCACGAAGGCTGTAGCTCAGTGGCAGAGCCCCTGCTTTGCTTGCAGAAAGTCCCAGGCAGGGGAAAGACCCTGGAGGGCTGCTGCCAGTCAGTGTCAGCAATACTGACCTAGATGCATCAATGGTCTGACTCAGTACAGTGCAAATTCATTTGTACTCCACTGGAGTACAAAACCTCCATTGCCTGGTAGGTTTTGTCCGTGGAAAAAGAGGGTTCTCCCAGGGACCCCTGTATTCAGATGGGGTTCAGTCACATCCCAGCAAATTCAGGTCATGTGCAGTTACAGCCTTGTGCAACCAGCCTGCTTCCCATAAAAAAAAAGAAGAAGAAGAGACTTTCTTGCCATAAGGAAAAAGATGGGACGATTCCCTGGAAAAGAGTGGGGTGAGACTTGCTTTGACGCAACATCTTAATTTCCTGGCAAGCACATCAGGACAAACGCTCAATAAACAGGTAATCTGGAAGCTCCTAAATGCGACATTAAAATGATAAGTCGGGCATCTGTTTCCCAGTAGCACCAGTCTGAAGCTTCACCTCTTCTGGTTTGGTTTGGTTTGGTTTTGGAAGGATGGCACAGAACGCCTCGTGGCCTCAGCACTCCTGATTCCTCCTGCCCTGCCCTGTATTTCAGCCTGTGATGAAGAGACCTTTTGCATTATTTTAGCTAAAGATTCCACCCTGTTCCAAGACATTTTGGCACCGGACGTGCATAATAAAATGGTTTCCCCCTTCCCTGCCAGGGGAGAAAGGGCGAGTGAAGATCTGTGTCAGAAACAAGGGGGAATGAACATCTACACTGGGATCGGCTGCCCCTGTGGATCGTGATGCCTGAGGCAGTCGCCTCACCTTGCCTCATGGGTGGGCCAGCCCCATCCAGTTGTTTGTATACTTGTGGGCCTTGCAGATAAATCGATTTCCCTCTTCTGTCGTGAGACCACCAAAGGACGCTTTGCTGCAGCCAAACCGGAGGGGGGGGAAAAACCATACACAGTTACACACAGGGTACAAAGCTAATCCTCACCATCTCTATCCAAAGCTCCTTCCTTTAATTGATCCCTTTATGTTGCAAGTCTTTTATTTCTGTTGTTTTAGCATCGTGATACTGCGGCCTCCTGGAGGGCTTCTCAGAAACCGAACTCGAGTCTTCGATGTTGTTGTTTGTCAGCTATTTCCCCCCTTCTTTTTCCTTTTCTTTCCATAGACGTCAATCTGGATTTATGCTGACGGGATGGAACGGACGGCAAAGCAGGACGGATGGAAACGAAAAGGGATTTGCTCCTTTCCTGACGGATTGTGCCTCGTGCTCTCCAGGGATGGCCTCGTTGTAACAATATCGGCCAGGCTAACGTTGACTTGAATGGCCTGATGGATGATTCGGATTATTTCCTGTGTGTGTGCGGAGCTGAAAAATGTGTGTGTGAGTTCACCAAACAAATAAATGCAGTCTGGCCAGCGGCCCCCCACCCCTTTTCCCGGATGCCAGTTAATGACAGCTTGTGTATTAAACCACACATTGGACTGCACAAGTCTTGATGATCTGCTGGGACCCTCTTCAACACAACAGATCCCCTTATATTTATGGTGCATATCCTTATGGAAAAATAAACATACTCCCTTACCCGCCAAGCAAATGTGGTTAATATCTGTAGTGCCATTTTCTACTCTACTATCTTGGATGTAATCTCGTTTTTCCTCTAAGTCAGGCATCCCCAAACTTGGCCCTCCAGCTGTTTGGGGACTACAACTCCCATCATCCCTAGCTAACAGGTCTAGTGGTCTGGGATGATGGGAATTGTAGTCCCAAAACATCTGGAGGGCCGAGTTTGGGGGTGCCTGCTTTAAGTAGATGTTGCTTCCATCATTCTGCCTTAGTTTTTTTCCAGAGGGGTGGTAAAATGAAGGGTGTGGCCTGGCATTGACCCCAAAGTTGAAGAAATGGGCAGAAAGACGTTGGGTGGCTTTAGAAGAAAATTAGGCAACTCCATGGAAGATCAGGCTATCAGAGACTGCTAGCCACAACAACATCTCTGTCCAAGACCCCTTGATCCTTTTCATGTGTTCCATCTTATATTTGTGCAGCTGGTTATTCCTGCCCAAGTGCAGAACCTTACCTTAGTCCTCCTGAAATTCATTTTGTTAGTTTTGGCCCAATCATAGAATAGAATCATAGAATCATAGAGTTGGAAGAGACCACAATGGCCATCGAGTCCAACCCCCTGCCAAGCAGGAAACACCATCAGAGCACTCCTGACATATGGTTGTCAAGCCTCTGCTTAAAGACCTCCAAAGAAGGAGACTCCACCACACTCCTTGGCAGCAAATTCCACTGTCGAACAGCTCTTACTGTCAGGAAGTTCTTCCTAATGTTTAGGTGGAATCCTCCAGTCTATTGAATCCCAGTTCTGTCTTCTTCATGATTAGCGGGGTTTGGGATCATGTGCAAATTGGATGAGCATCCCCTCAACTCCTTCATCCAAGATCATTCATTACCTGTTGTGTTACGGAACCGTGGCCTTCTGGTCAGTTTACCACTTTGTCACACTACGTTTCAAATGGCGGGAAAGAACTCCACGCCAGAATTCCTCCCCAGATTTTGCCGCATGAAATCACACGTGGAAATTGCCAGGTAAGGAAGCTGGAATCAGGAAAATGGAATGGAGTGCTGCCAGAATGCAGCCCAAGTCTTTCAAGAACACAAAAGAACACAAAAGAACGACATAGGCTATGAGATTAACCCCACTCAATGGACCAGAATGTGGTCTAAACCCCCCTTTAAATCCATATCAACGAAAAGAAAAGAACTCACACTGAAACTCACCTACAGGTGGTACCTAACACCAAGGAAACTAGCGCCAATACACCCAGGAACCTCACCAAAATGCTGGAGAGGGTGCACCTCCACAGGCACATACCTCCACATGTGGTGGGAGTGTCCCAAAATCCAACTATTCTGGACAACAGCCATACAAGAAATATGTAAAATAACTAAGCAAGTAAGAGACATCACCCCAGAATTGGCCCTACTAAACATCTTCCAAGACAACAATGCCCATTTACACCACAAAGAACTCATAACCCACCTACTTTCAGCAGCCAGAAACACCATAACCAGACACTGGAGAGACCTGTCAGGAGTAAACATGGACCAATGGTACCAAATAGTATGGGAAACAGCCCTACTAGAAAAATTAACTAATAAACTGAAACTGACACGGGGACAAACAGAAGAAGACGCCTTCACCCCGGTATGGCTCCCTTTATCACATACACAGCCCAACAGGACAATGACAATAATCCACCAACAGCATACAAATCAATATGGCTAACCTGATCCAAAACACCCACCTACCTCACTCACACACGAAAACAAAGATCACCACAGCCAATCACAAGCAAACAATCACACCCTAGGCCAACCCCAACCTCTCTCACCACCAAAGGAACACAAGTGAACAACACAAGCAACGCTGACACCAAACTCTACATACATTAAACATAATAGAAACACCGCCACCCGACCCCACCCCCATCCATCTTCCCTCTCTCCACCCCCCCTTTCTTTTTTCCTTTTTTTTTCTTCTCCCCCTAATGCCTCAACAAATGAAACGGATTTGTAAAAATGTTACATGGGAAAAAAAAATACGAGGCATTACACTTCTGTAAAACAAGAAAGTAAAATTTAAAAAAAAACCAAAAGATTCTATCCCACTTCAGCTCTTGCCTTCAGATCTGCCCTTCTTCCTACGATCTTGAAATGGTTGGACTTAATCCGTCATATTGGGAATGATTTTTCTGCTGGCTGATCCCAGAAATGGAAAGTCAAAACGTGTGTCCTGCATTCAGAAGAGGTCAGTGATGGGCTTGTGCCTTGAAAACCTTTAAGACAGGTCTGCGAAAGCTGTGGCCCTGCAGATGTTGCTGCAAAGCAAGTCCCATCAGCCTCAGCCAGCATGGCCAGTGGCCAGGAGTGATGGGACTTGAGGTCCTGCCACATCTGGAGGGCCAGTGTTTCCCCACACCTGGTTTAAGATAGGGAGGGGAGGAGGAACAACAACTACTTTTCCAATGAGGGGCCTTTGCCCCATGGGAAAAAATCCAGAACTGCAGGTGCTGAGAAGGCAGAAACAAAAGGAGTTTGCAGCCTTAAGAATACGGTCTGCAAACAACACTCTGAAGATCCGGGGCCCCAGGGAAATTAGACTGGCCTCGACCAGAGCCAGGGCCTTTTCGGCTGTGGCCCCGGCCTGGTGGAATGCTCTCCCACAAGAGACTAGGGCCGTCTTTCTGCAGGGCCTGCAAGACGGAGCTCTTCCGCCAGGCCTTTGGCCAGGGGGCCGTCTGACCTATTTTCCTTTGTATAACAGCAAGCATGAAGGAGGTCTCCCAGTCTGTTCACAGGTCCTTATATGATCAGTGAAAACAGTTGGTCCTGGCAAATATTAACCGCTCTCAGTCTTAACCTGATAACTGCCATTTGTCCAGATTTTAATTTGTCTGAATTAATTTTAAGATGTATTTTAATTAAGTGATGCCTGTTTTTATGTATACTTTGTTATTTGTATGATGTTAACCGCTCTGAGCCTGGCTTCGGCTGGGGAGGGAGGGATACAAATAAAAATTATTACAGTGGACGCTCGGGTTGCAAACGTGATCTGTGCAGGATGCACGTTCGCAACCCGCAGCGATGCGTCTGCGCATGCGCAGGTTGTTATTTGGTCTTCTGCACATGCGCAAAGTGCGATTTAGCGCTTCTGCGCATGCACAACCCCCGAAACCCAGAAGTTACCTGTTCTGGTACTTCCGGGTTTCGGCGGGTCTGTAACCCAAAAAAATGCAGCCCGAAGCATCTGTAACCCGAGGTATGACTGTATTATTATTATTACTGGAAGATGCTGTGTTGGACCATTGGTCCATTTAGCTTGATATTGTCTACACTGACTGGCAGCTGCTCTCTGAGACTCCAGGCAGGAGTCCCTCTCAACCCTACCTGGAGATGCTGGGGATTGAACCTGGGACCTTCTGCATGGCAACCAGGTACTCTGCCACAGCACTGCAAGAATGTAGAATTCCCATTGTTTCAGATGTTTGCATGCCCAGGCGCAGATCCGCGCCCCTCCAGGAGACAGTCCAAGAGCAATGAATTGCACATGACAATGTACTTCGGGATTTAAAATGGCCACAGCTTTATTAACCATTTCAGATGTAGGAAACCTTGGCTTAGGCAATGGGCGTGTATCCCTCTCAGTCCCCCAGCCGGGGCCCTGAGGCACAGCAGGGTTAATCGGATCAGAGGGGGCACTGCAAAACACATGTTTACACAGCCAGCCAGCCCCCTCCACGCAACTTAGGGGAGTTCACCAACTGCCTTTCAGCATTTGGCCAGTGACTCCCCTCGCACAACCCGCTTTAACGGGGAACCCTGAGAAAGCCGTCGCAGGGGCAGGTGAGTCACCACTTCACGCCCCCCTTATTTGAATGATAGACTAAAGGATTCTGCCCAAGACCTGAAACCGCCACCTGAGACCACGAAATCGCAGTCTCACCGCCAAGGCTACCTATGTAGGAATACAGTGGTACCTCAGGTTAAGTACTTATTTCGTTCCGGAGGTCCGTACTTAACCTGAAACTGTTCTTAACCTGAAGCACCACTTTAGTTAATTGGGCCTCCTGCTGCCGCCGCACCGTTGGAGCACGATTTCTGTTCTCATCCTGAGCAAAGTTCTTAATCTGAAGCACTATTTCTGGGTTAGCAGAGTCTGTAACCTGAAGCATATGTAACCCGAGGTACCACTGTAACAAAGACGACGGGAGGTTGAATGGCAAGCATGCTCCAAAACAAGCTGCCGACTAGCTCTGCAGAGACTCCTTTTATTAGCAGAAGCCGACAATTGGAAACAGTAGTGAAACCACTCTGAACAGGACGTATTTCCATCTAAGCACATTTCCAGCATTAGCAAATACACATGTCAAAAGGTGTTTCCCTAAAATGTTTTCTCCGATACTTGATTACGTCTGCGTCCCCGGTGATGCTCCAGCCAAGCGTTATGTCTAGTAACCCAATCTGTGAGAGGACAAATGACGGTCGGGGGAAAACCCTGTTTGCTAGCCAAGAAGGCAGAAGGTCAGGGAGAGCAGGCGCAAGGTTCCTTGGCACACTGTTGCATGCCTGGTGTGGGGTTTGCCTCAGCACAAGTGGAGCGTCACCTCCACATACCTACACCACCAGCAACTCGCCAACCATTCCTTCAGGCAATGCCTGACATCGCCCAACCAGTCTCCATTCCCTAAAGTGGTCAGCTGCCCCTGCCAGGTCTGAAAAATTCCACCCTATTGAGTTTAATGTCCGTATGGTTTAACCACTTGGCTGCTGTGACCTGGGACCTTCTGCATGCAAAACAGATGCTCTACCACAGCACCACAAGAATGTAGAACTCCCGTTGTTTCAAATGTTTTATTCAGGAGATGTCTAAACGGCACATGAAATCCCAAGTATACAATATTAAAACCAATGAAAATCGGAATGTAATTCTTTGCTCCATCCCATCTCCCTCTCCTGCACCTTTCCTGCTTTCCCCCTGTGCAACCCATCTCTGCGAACCACTTGAGGTTAAGCAGAAGACCACCTTTCAACCAAAGCTGC